CAGGTGGCGCTATGACTGTGGGTGAATGTCGGCATGTACATGTGTTCAGGGCGGGACTCTCATCCTACATGTACAGTTTGGTCCAGATGTGAGCATGTACACTGAAGTTACGACAACTTCCTGTTTCATAGCGAATCATCGACGCCACGGACACGCCCATTGACGAAAACTCGCAAATAGCACAACTTTTCATCGTCAATGCCTTTAGAAGGCACAGCAGAAATTTGACGTCGATCCGACTAAATCCCTAGGAGGAGTTCGTTAAAGTACGAAGTATGTAAATCATCCAAAAATGGCCATAAAATTCAAAATGGCCGACTTCCTGTTGACTTTAGGCTATGGGTTCTTGAGGCTTTTTTGTGCGTCTTGACATGATACATGTCCCCAGAAAATTTCGTAGATGTAGGTTGAACGTGAACGAGGGGCTAATTTTTTCCAATTTTCTAGGTGGCGCTAGCGAGTCATTTTGCAACGCCCATGTGCGAAATTGTAGAATACGAAATTTTTCACCGGTTCTGACATGTTTGCAAATTTTGGTGAGTTTTCGAGAATGTTTAGGCCATGTCAGTTGAGCCTACTTTGCAGAAAAAAGAAAAAAAAAAAAAAAAAAAAAAAAAAAAATAATAATCCGAGCAAATTCAATAGGGACCTCACACGGTCGTGCTCGGGCCCTAATAATCCGAGCAATTTCAATAGGGACCTCGCACGGTCGTGCTCGGGCCCTAACTAGCATCCTCTCTCATCCTGGTCAGAATCCATTTCTGCTGTTTACCAAACTTAATATTTCACAGTTTATACTGTTTGTAATGTACTTTTGACATCACCATTGATTCCTTTCTAATCTAATTCAGGCAAACACAACTGTCAACACACCAAGGAGAGGGCGGCCATCTTCAGCCAGTGGGAACCATCCTCAGGGAATGGGGGTCCACCAAACGGGGTCCCAGCCAAGAAGTCATGTGACCCAGCAGTGGAGACAAAGTTTTCATTCTGTTTTGTCAATAATATTTTATCCATTTGTTTAAATTTTAATAAATTCTGATTCATGGAAATATGACTATTGGGTGGTTATTAGTCATGATATTTACTGTTTTAGTGCAATGTAAGCAAACCACACTGCAAATAAGCCCTTAGTTGTTCTATATATTTGTTCAGTGTGAGTGCAAATGCTGAAGTTCTGCTCCCAACAAGGCCCAACGTTGCAATATTGTCCCTAAAAACTTCCTAAAACATAAAGAAATCTAAAATCCTTCATTATCTGCATCAGAGGCCTCCTACAGCAACATCTGGCAGCGGAAACAATTGTACGGGGTTCAGCTATTTAAGCCTCATCAGGGTGGAATGAGGTTGATTCAGGTTTCTTTTTATACAATCAGTTAATCAGTCACGTGACTTTACAAACGGTTATTTTAATTCAGTTAGTTTGGCTGTCCATAAATGTTGAGGTTTAAAGAGTTTCACTGAGGAATTCCTTGTTTGGAATATATGGAATACCCCCAACAGGAGGGGGTGAAAGGTTTTCTACATGAAACACTTCTCATTTCCTCTCTGAGCGCTGTTTGGGAAGTTTCAACCATGAAACCCACCATCTCAGGTGAAGCTGAGATAACGGACTCTACTAAATATTAACCTCGTCCAGAGACTAGCCTCACCCTGAACCAGGCCGTCAAGACCTCTGTGGACAGAGGCCATAAACTGAATCTGCAACACACACACAGCCACAGATCAAACGGGAAGGGTCCCCATTTGTTTACTCTTCACACATGAGCGTGGCCCCGCGACCCTGCAGGATAGGAAGTTGACAATGGACGGATGGACGGACATGAGTGTGGAAATGAGATGGCTACAGCTGCAGGTCATACTATGCTAGAGGACTTTGTGATTCTGAAGAGATACCCAATCCGTCCCTTTACAGGCACAATCTGTGCATCAAAGGGACGAATGTGAAAACAGAGAAATGATCTGGTACAGAAATATTATCCTGTGTTACACAATTCATTTTGTATCTGTGAAACTGACTGGTTAACTCTCTCTGTTGGTTTGTGGCTGGCTGGCTGGTTTATTTCTGATCTGCTGCTCTCTTCTGAAGCATCCGGACCCCTCAGGTGGTCTGGGATCAGGTTTAGTTGGGATCAAACTGAACCTGGAGAAGCAGCGTTGAGTTGTAACTGCAGCTCTGCTCCGACTCTCAGTTCTTTTAAATCAGGGCTGAAAACTTCCCTGTTTTCCTGCATTTTAATAAATTAAAATTGGAATTATTTATTTAATAATCTACTATTTTATCTATTGCATTTGATTTTAATCTTCCATTTTACTTTGTTTTAATATTTTAATCATCAGCTTTATTTGTCTCATACAATTATCCACAGCACAACTCATACTAAATTAGTTCTCTGCATTTAATCCATCCTAAACCAGACCAGTGCTCAGTTATTGTGCAGCACTTGGGGAACAGTTAGGGGTTCGGGGCCTTGCCAAGGGGCCCTTCGACCTTTGGTCCATGCTGGACTTCTCAACAAAGTCTCCACGTCCTATTTCTTTCTTTTTGTATCATCTTGTGTTTATTCTCCTAAAGCCTTTCTGTCTTAAAACACTTTGAATCACCTTGTCGTACAAATAAACTTTCTTCCTCTGTCCAAATTAAACTCTTTAAACTCAGCGCCCCCTGGTGGCAAAGTTCAGAACAATAATATTTATATTGTATTTGTTATTTACTTGTCCTGGATATAAAGATCCTGACTCTGGTCCCTGGTTCTGTTTCTCTGCAGGTAAAGAAAAACCAGCCGGTGAAGCCTGACGTTTTAAAAACTGTATTGTTCATCACTGTGGAACAGAACAGCATGAAGATGTTGTCCCGTCACACCTGTTTGTTCTTCACTGTCAAACAAACTTAGAAGCTTCAGCCGGGTTCAGAGAGGAGGCCCGAGTGTTTGGATTCATGTATCTGAATGTGTAAAAGATATTTGGGCTTATTTACTCAAGAAGGATTTTAAGTCTGTGAAATAAAAGTTTTCCTTCAATAACGTTTTGTGAAATAAACAGTTTATTACTCTGCATCTTCAGCAGCTGCTCTGAAGAGACTTCTACCAGATCACATGGTCTTCATCAGCAGACGGAGTTTGTTGTGTGGGAGATGAAGGATGTTCAAGTTTCTATATTTTTGTCTGAGCGTATTATGGACTTCTGATGAACGTTATACAAATTGTTTATTTTATTTTAATGCACATGTGAAGTAATAAATAATGATTCTGGTGTTTTGCAGTGAGCACCAACCTAAAGTTTAACGTTGATTTGTCGTTGAAACCTGATATCACCTCATGTACAAACGCTGCCTTATGCACAAAAAGATTACGTACGCTGGTTTTCACGCTTTCACGCACACGTGTGATCTATAACAATGAGCGTGATGTGAGCAAACTTTAGTCTGGCTCTGTCAGTAAACTCACAAAACTCACCAAATGTTTTAAAATAAAGTTTCTAATCCAGTTTTAAATTTGACTTTACATCACAGGTTATCGCTTTATCACTTAAACAGTCAGACCATCAGTTTTATTTGTGGCGCGACTTTAACTCTGCTCCCTGATGGAATTATCATCGTAACATAAAATAGTATATGCTCATTATATCACTGGCCTACTGTGAACCAATCAGATTGCTTGTTTTATAAGAAAGCGCCAGTTAGTTTAAACAGATCGGCCTTCTCACCTCGACTCACCGGACACAGCTTCACCACCTGCACACATGGACTGTACATCTACATTTATTCATTTAGCTGAGGCTTTAATCCAAAGCGATTTACAATTGCTATACCTGTCATGCTGGGATTGGCTCCAACCCCCCCGCGACCCTGTACACAGGAAAAGCGGTTGACGATGGATGGATTAATGTTTTCTATAAATTCAACAGTCTCTCCGATGGGTGGCGCTGTTGGTCTGTCCATCTGGGATCTTTAATACTTACTGTTTATGTTGAGCCTAAACTGCAAAAGACACCTTGAATTGAATAATTGATTAATTGATTAATCATTATTCCAATGCTTTGCATAGATCAGTAGTTTGTAAACACAGCAGTAAACTACAGGTTAACTTGTTTACTCCATTAGTCAGTTAAATTAATGAATCTGAAGGCATTTTAATAATTGATTCCTCTTCATTTCATTTTCCAGCTTCTCAAATGTTCATATCACAGTAAACTGAAAACCTTTGGGACATTTAAACTCATCACCTTGGTTTTTAGGAACCTGCCATGAGAATGTTTCACTATTTTCTGACTATTTATTGACTAAACCAAAAATCATCAAATTAATCAATAATGTAAGCATCTTCATTAATTGCAGTCTGACAGAAAACAGGCTCATAACTTTCAATTATGTAACATAAAATTGAGATTGTTCATGTAAAAGTGTTGTTGTTGCTGAAAAGGGTCTTTCTCTGCATGTTTTTAAGTTAAAAAGTAATTTAATCCATATTTATACAGTTAATATCCTCCATGAAAGTTAACATTTGATTATGAATCACCATTTAAAGATGAAGCAGTAGGCTAACACTCAGTCTTCTATCAAATAACTTAAACGTGTTAGTGAATTTACATAAGCCTACAGATATTTACATATGAAAGCTATATCGAAAGGGAGAGATAAAAACAATATAGCCTACTACAAGTAAAAGTTCTGTATTCAAGTAAGGTTAGGCTATTGTTAACAAATCACAATAGGCTAAAGCCTACACTACAAGTTTTATTGGGTAGTGCTATGCTCTTTAAAAACAACTTTATTGATGTGAATAAAACAGTGTTTTAATATTTAATTAATGGATGTTCGAGCTACTCCTTGTTTTGTAATTTAATTTAATAATTAAATGTTAATTTATTTTGTTGCTGTTTTGCCTTCAAAAGACGATGGATGGATGGAGTAGTAGCCTATAGGCTAATTTCGGGCTTTTGTTTTGAAGGCACTGGGCAGCTCGGGCAGTGAATCTTCATACAGAGGTAGTCACGTTTAGCACAGGTAGGCACCAGGAAGGATGTTTTTCTTTTTTACCAGGGCAAGAGAGGAAGCAGACGCCATTTTATTTGTTTACCTGCTTAAATGGAAATAATCCGCATAAACTCTACGCTTGCCTGGACATTGGACTTATTTTTCCCTGCGTAAGATTATTTCCGGAGGTGCCTCAGTGGCCATTTGATTTTTATTTTGTTTTATTTTTAGTTCTTTTTTGTTTGATTTAAATTGAGGACAAATCGTCAGTACAATAAATAATCAGGCTATTACGGTAACTTCTTGCAGGTAAAGTTCTTAAAGTATCTGAAGCCTCCTTATTCTTCAGTGAGTCAGCTCTGTTGATCTCGGTTCCATTTTCCCGTCATTCAGTGAAGAATCGAAAGTGAAAGCAGCCTGCAGTCTGCGGAGCTCCGCCGCTTCTTACTTCAGTCTGTCGGTGTGTTTTGTACCGGACGGCAGGATGGCTGACACCGGGTGTCCGCCGCTGATCGTGGAGGGGGACTGGAGTCCGGCTCAGAACAAAACCATGAAGAACAAACTGCAGCTGTACTTCCAGAGCAAGAAGAAGTCCGGCGGAGGAGACTGCCGCGTGGAGGCGGAGGACGGAGCTCCGAGGGCTGAAGTGTACTTCATATCAGAGGAGGGTGAGTCTCTGGATCAGGATCAGGCTGCAGAACAAGTTACTGCTCAGCTCTCTGAAGGGAACTCACATTATATTCGTTTATTTACTGGATTAAAGTTTCAAACTGAAACACAAAGTGAGTTTAAAAACGTTTCTGCGAGTCATTCTGATGAAGAACAGAAACAAACAGTTTCACTGCGACATGAACAACATGTAAACTGTAGAAACTCATTATAATATTATACAATAACATTTAGGAAACTTATTAACTAAAACGCTAAAAGAGTCGTTCCTCAGGCCTATCTGGTGTGAACACTAAGGATCCTGATCAGATAGAAAGCGTTTTGTTTGAGAGGTGAATCCTTTCCGGTTGAATTTGGAAAATGTTGCTAGGCAACCACAAAATCAGCTGTCCTGTCAGTCAGCGATCTGCAGGCTCGTCTTTGGTTTGCTGCTAAGTCGCCTAATAACTGTCTTATTAGCAGAAACTTGATCACTTCTCAACCTTTATCTTGTCAGAAGTTAGTTGGACATTCACCCAGGATCCGGTGACGGCTTCTTACTCAGATCTCCCAGTGTCGGAAGTATAAATGCGGTTCCCTTTTAACCACCGGGGGTCAGCTTAGGGACCGTCAATAAATTACTTTTGTTAAAATAGTGTTATGGGAAAATCATCATTTATTTCAATAGCTTCCATGTCATGTGATCCAAAGACATCAAACCAATGCCGAACTGTAGAGCTACACTGTGCAAATCAGACACACCTCTTCCTTTTAGATTTGAGTTCATATTTTATTTTATATGAATATTTATTAATATTTTATGGGAAAAAATTACCCTTTTTTTCCCAATAGCTTCCATTTCATGTGATTCATGGACTCCAAACCAATTTTCTCCAATAAAATATTTACAAATATTAATATAAAATAAAACAAATCTAAAATAAAGAGGTGTGTCTGATTTGCATAGTGTAGTAGGCCTACTACAATTCGGCATTGGTTTGGAGTCGATAGGTCACATGACATGGAAGCTATTGGAAAAAAAGCATTATTTTCCATAAATTATTAATAAATATTCATATACAATAAAACAAGGACTCAAATCTAAAAGGAAGAGGAGTGTCTCACTTGCCTAGTGAAGTACTACGGTTCGGCATTGGTTTGGAGTTGGTAGGTCACATGACGTGTAAAGGAGTCATTTCGCTCGGGTTGCGACGGTCAAATATATTGATTCATTGTGTTACAGCCGCCGTTGTGGCCGCTAGTAAAAGTTACTTCAAAGCGCGGGGTACTTCCGGTCGGCTCGGAGGCATTGCGAGGCTAACCAATCACAGAGCTTACGGTCCACATTGACTCTAGGTGTAGTTACATTTTTGAGGAGGTGCACGTCAGGCGGCCGAAACGCGAGGCACCCAGGGCGCACAAGCAGACCACAGAACGCTCACTGACAATAGAAAACAATTTTAAAAAGACGCCTCTCACTGCAGAAAACGCGTTCCGTCTGACTGGGGCCGAATGAATCCTGGTGAACTTTCCAGTTTTGTGATGACAGGCTATTTTGAAACTGATCTCAGCTCAGATTAAAGTTGGTAAATAAACTCTCTGAGCATGTCAGCTGATTTCCCAGCATACAATAAGATGCAGGTGTGGCAGCCACTGCAGCTGACACATCATCACCTGAAGGTAACACATCCGCCTGCCAGCTCCTCTAAAGCTCAGTTTGTTGTTTTATCTGATGCACTACTTCTTGGCTCTGAATGGCTGCCAAGCACAAACAGGGGCTCCATGAAATGACTGTTTGTGGGCCAACAAATGAAATAGTCCGGCACCTTGTTTCCCCCTGTTTCCAGTCTTTATGCTAAGCTAAGCTAACAGGCTGCTGGCTGGCAGCTTGCACAAATAAATGTTCACTAACTGAGGTTTATTTGCACAATAACATGTGATGCACTTTAAATATAGAAGAAACAAATGTGCATTGTCCAAAAAAATGCTGATTACTGCATTACATTCTGTTATATTTTTATATATGCCAGCTGAATGTTTTTGTATAAAGACATTTCCACCATGAATTGGAGCAGAAAATGTCTCCAGAATGCAGGAAGTTAAGTGTTTAATGCTCCAACTTTCAATAGTAAGAGTTAACTTAAGAGTTCCTGTTTTGAGAGAACTCTGCAGGATTGGTACTTGTTGGGAAACTGATGATGACTCGTGTGTGTCATGTGATTCCAGTGAGAGAGCAAGTCCTCGCCAGGACAAACCACGAGATCGTCCTGGAGAACCAAACTGTCAAGTTACGTCTGATCTCTGCGTCGGTAAGTACAGAAGATGTTCAGGCTGTCGACATGTTACAGTGACATTAAAGAACGTGACGTCCTCTGACTCCTTCCTGCCATATTTGTAGTTCTAGTGTTTTTTTTAAAGACTACATTTCCCCTCAACTGCATAAAATGTACTTATATTCTTGCTCCTCGGAGGAAAAAGCCTTGGTTACACCTTTACCTCACCTTCAGGACAAACTTAACATTGTTAGCTCCACAGTTGATAAAACTAAGAACAGATAAATCATCTGGACTTTTTAAATAGAACTTTTTAAGTAGAAAAAAAGCAGAACTTTATTCTTTAATTGTGTCGCAGCAGATAAAAGTAGCTGTGGGTTAATTGTTGACTATTTCTGTTTTCCAGGTTTAGTGTGAAGGTCATTCTTGACTTTGGGAACATTATTTTGATAACTTAATCTTAACTCAAGGTTCTCTTACTAGTTTCTTGACCTTTCAACCTCATGTCATAGTCTTCATCAGCGAGTTTTCTCACTTGAGTCAGTTGTTCAGTTCAACACTTGAGCCAAGACAATAAAACTTTTAGGACATATGGCCTTACGACTTTCAGACCTCTGTAGATCATCGTTAAATGTAGAGAATCCTTACATGTCTGCTTTGAATCATATTGAGTGATTTACATCCATCCATTGTCTTTAACCGCGGCTGGAGCCAATCCCAGCTGACACTGGGCAAGATGAACACCCTGGACAGGTTTATAGTGATTTAAAATATAATTTAATATAAAAGAAGAGGTCAACCAATCACTTCCCGTCTAACACACAGTGTGACCGCATTGGAGGGGCAAAAGTAACGTAAAGTGTTTGAATCGTCCTGTCAATGACTCCTGACTGTTAAACTTGACTCGCTTCTATTCGTTAAAAACAACATGGCAAACTCCAGGATTTGTGAAAGTATTAAATAATTGGTCACATGATCGTGACAATGAAGAACAGAGAGAACCCTGGTTGTCCCGGGCCTTTCTGTGTGGAGTTTGCATGTCATCATGGTTTTCCTGTCAGTGCCATTTGACCAGGGCACTGGCTTCGATCTGGGTCATTGTACAGTGGCTGCCCAGTCCCGATACTTTTCATATTCAGATCACCTGCAGTGGAAACATCCTGCCATAAGAAGATGATTAGGATGAGGGAGGGACGGGGAGGGAGAGCAGTTTATGTTGGAGGCTGTTCCTGCTTTCATGCCAGATTTAAACTTTTTTATTCATTCCGGGGAAGTCAATTTGTTTTTGTAAAGGGGAAAGTGTTAAAAAAAGAGTACGGCTGTATTTCTACTATTTTGTTGTGTTGCTTTCCTTCAGTCAGTATGACGGGTTTAAAGTCAGTCACCTGCTCCTTTTATAACATCATAGCTTTCTTCTTTTGTAAATAAATTCCTGGGTGTGACGGCAGCAAGATGTTTAACACTTCTGTTCTTCTGTTGTTGCTGTTCATGGGTGGTGGACTCTGACACTTTACAGGGTGTGTTTCATTATGACCTGACTGACTGACTCAGCAGCCGGCTGCTAATAGACTCAAGATGATCTAATGATGAAGAAATGTTTCAGTCTGTGTCTTTAAAAGACAATAAAAACACCAGAGAGGAAACGTGTTGAAGGAGCAGTTCTTCTTATTTAACGTTCCTACATGTTTTTCCCCTAAAATTTCCCCTTGGTTCCATTAAAGGAACAGTTAAAGTTCTACACTGTCTCATAATGTCACAAATGATGCAGTGTATGATCTTGTTTCACATCTTGATTGAAGCTTTACAGCAAGTAAAATAATCAAACTCTTGACTTCATGTATTTTACGGCTGCAGAATTCATTTGAATAAAAGTCGACGTCTTTTTTAAATCAGTGAAGAGCTGAAACATACTCCCCAGTCAAACAAACTGTGTCAGAGCTTAATAGATTTATAGAGCCAGATTAAACATTTACACACTGAGCAGCTGTAAAACCTCTTATATTTCAGACATGCTGACGTTTAAACATCAGATATCAGACAGTTATTCTTCTTGCAGATAAACAATAATGCAGAACCCATTTTATGTTTCTTTGCACATTTTCTTTGATTAATTTATTTGTACAAATGTGAATTCATTCTCAGCTTTGTTTAGCTTTTTTAGCCCATTAAAGAGCAAAAGTTTAGGGTTTCAGCTTGTGTAAATTATAAAGAGCGACATGAAATAAAACATGAAAGAAAAAGTGTAAATATATGTACAATAACTATTTACTGTAGATTTAGTTATTATAAATAAAGTTAACAAATAAGTTTGTTCACATGCATCTTGGAAGTATGTGAAGTTGTGCCAGAAAGCTCTGCTCTGCTTTAAATGACTCAAGCAGTTTACAGTCTGCTTGTAAAATATTTGTTAGATGTATGTTTTCTCCGTCGTTTCATTCTGTGTGATTAAAGTTTTGCTTCTGTTTTCACTCCTCAGAGCCTGAAGGACAGCGACGACGCCTCAGGTAAAACTGTCTGCTGTCTGATTTAAATCATCTGTTCTTTGATGTTTTTATTCTTATTGTCAAGATTCAAACCAGCAGCGTGTTACTCTGTTTATCAACGCTGTCTCACTTCCTGTCTGTGGCTCTCAGCTCTGAGCCCATTGGTTCCTACTGAAGACATAAATCAAACAAACATTTGTTGACTCTAGTGAGTATTTGGGGCAGCAGGACGGTGTATGTGGGACCGAGTCAGAATAAACTACAGTGTGTTCATGGTGATGAAGGAACATGTGACCCAGAGCAGCAGAGAGGCTCACTGATGGGTTCAATGGTTTCTATGGCTCAGAGGAAGAAGAGACTTCAGGCTGTGAGACACACAGGACTCATTAGGAGATACGTTCACCGCTGGTTCGAGTCTGAACATGAGATTTGATGATGAGAATTAAACAAAAAACACAGACCAAACTATGTAACACAGTTTTCCTTCCTGGGCGTGTGTTAAGTGTTATTTCCTAATTGCTTATGTCTCAAAAGTGTAATAAATTGCCACTGTTCCCCCACAGACTTTGCTTTTGTGACCAGGACAGGGGTATATTATAAATTACATATTTTCAGAAAACAGATTGTGTCATTTTATTCACATGAAGTCAGAAAAAAGCAACCTATGAATCTAAATGTAACTGTATAAATATAATGTATAAATATATAACTGTTAACACGTATTTATACATCTGCTTTGATCAATTTGGTCTTGACGGTACTTTAAGGCTGCCGACTGCTTCTCGCTCTGACAAATATTTTCATGAGGCCCAACTTGAAGTGCTGTGGTGGCTCCCACTTGACGTTGTCAAGAGAACGTGATCCGCTATGGCCTGTCCCGCCTGCCGTAGTGCGCCTTAGTGTCCCTGCTGCCCCAAAGGCAAAAATAGCAGGAGAACTTAGTTAAACCGCCTTGAAGACCCATCAGGAATGCCACTGTTTGGAAGTCTCCTTTGACCTCCCAGCCGTACTCATCAAAGTTCAAGGTGCCCAGCAAGGTCTTGGTGCTGTTGTAATCCTCTTTGAGGTGCACTGAGTGAGCCAGGGGGAAGAGACGGGTACTTGTTACCATTATGTAGCAGCACGGCTTTGAGGCAGGTGGACCTTTGAAAGTGGCCCTATGAAACAATTAGTCAGACCATTGAGGCATAAGCAATTAGGAAATACCACAGAACTACCCAGGAAGGGGAAAAAAATAAATTTGTTACAGGGTGCTGTCACCAGACTTCATTTAAGTTTTAAATGTTTTGTATTATGTATGTGAATATGTTGGACAAAAGGCTTTATGTTTTGTTACAAAGTGTCATGGGTCACTGAAGATTTATTTCTGCATCCTTAAACACTCTGGACTTTGGTTTACTGAGTTCCTGTGAGCATTAAATTAATCTGAACTGAACAAACCTGATTGTCTCGACAGATTCAAAGACAAAGACAAAGTCAGAAGTTAAGCCTGGAGGTGGAGCTTCAGCAGAGAGCAAAGAGGGTAAAAACAAGTTAAACTACAGGAGGCCTGTGTCTGTGAAATCAGCTGTCCTGGAGATAGTTCAGTCTTTAACCATTAATTCAACTAAACTTCAAGCACATTTTCTGGAAATTAGTTTGTAATTTCATTTAGTATTTTATCATTTAGTTATCAAATCTTTTGCTTATTTTCAATAATTACTGCATCTTTGCATTAAAGGACAAATAAAGTTATTATTAATATCATCAATATGGCTCTATTGTACATAAGACAGTTGGTTCTCAGCTATTGAGACTTTTAGTCAGTTTACAGCAGGTCGGCTGAAAATTCAAAAACGTGCAATGGAGAAGTTTTTCAGTAATTAATGAATCAAAATCTACTTTGGTTTAAATAAAACAGTATTTTTAAGGAAATTCTTTTAGAAATGAACAGCTGCTTTTAAACTCAATAAAACTGACTGAACTCTAATAACTGTTTCTGTCCTATGATTAGTGTCTTTCTTTAGATTCTTTTAGGAAATAACAGACCTGGGAAATAAACCTGTCCAATGTTTCTAACATTCAAAACAAATACAGATAAAGATACCAAGGTGGAGAAGGTAACGTCCGTTCAGAGCGTCGCTGTGGTGTTGGAAAACGTGGACAGCATGTCCAGAGATCTGCTGTCCATGCTGGTGGAGAACATCTCAGGTTTGGAGGACAGCGCCTACAGCCTGGAGATCATCTGGGAGACCAACAGAGCCGTGATCACCTTTAACAGCCCTGCAGGTAGGAAAGAACACAAGACGTCTTTCACCACGTCAAGACCAGGTCCCAGGTGGGTCAGTCTAAAGCAAACAGACTCATTTTTAAAAGCAGGATCACACAGACAAAAACATCTGTGCTGCCATATTGTTGGCATAGACCTCATTTATTCCTAACGACAGGTGTAACTGCCGTTTGTGTAGTAAAACTCTTCTAGCCTGTCTCAGTCTTTAAGGAGTAATCTGGAGTATTTTGCAGATGTGGAGAAGTTCCTCACTGTGAGTCAGTCCAGCCAGAAGCTGCAGAAATACGGACTGACCGCTCGGCCGCTGGAGGCTGCAAAGAGCGTCCGACTGGAGAGTCTTCCTCCGACTGTGACCAAAGGTACACAAACTGTTTAACACAAGCTGGTCTGGGTGTAGAGGAGGTTCTGTGGCTTCAACAGGGACATAAAGACCGGAGCTGCTCACATGATACTCAGATAAATGAGCTTCATGTCTTTCTTTTTATGTTTTGAGAGATTTGTTGCATGAAACCACACCTTTCTGTCACATTTTCTTCCACTGAAGTTGTTTCACCTCATTGTTGGTTTGCAGTGAATCCCAACAAGATGATGACATCTGTGCTTTTCATGACATTATACTGCACACCTCCATATAGTAATCCACATTTTGGAAAGAATTAAAAGTGTTCTTGAACTCTTCTTACTCTCTTTTAATGTTCTCTTTCTGCAAAATGTGTCCTTTATTTATTTCTGATTCCTTTCCAGATGTGTTTGAGCTGTATTCTGAGAAGAGCTGGTCTCTGCCGGACAATATTGTCATGATCCCGAGTGAACAGGCTGCCATTGTCACTTTCAGTGACCCTAAAGGTTTTTCATTTACACTTGTGATCTTTTACCAACTGTTATTTGTGTGTTCTTCTTTACAAACACCTGAAAGTCTGCACCTAGGTCTGAACCAAAGTTTATTTTTTGATACATGTTTATGTTTAGTTTTGGTTTGATTTCCCACTGCAATTCTGCTGAGCGCACTAAAGAACAGACAGTGCTTCCTTTCATCATCATCTGTTTGAGCTGCGTCGCCCTGTACTTGACACTGATTGGATTTGCAAAAGGTTTTGCGGGGAGCTTTAACTAGAATGAATGAAGAAATGCATATCGTTGCCACTATATTGTTATTGTAATGGAATTAGACTACTACCTCCTGCACCAACTTAACTCGAGACTAGTTCAAATTTCACCAAATGAACGTCCTCGTTGGGCGAACATTATATCCTTGCCAGCAGTAAAGGGGGAGACCAAAGAGGTCCTTTCATAGGGGACGTTTCAAAAGATGCGCTGAGATTTATAATTGTGTCCATTTTCAATGCATTTCATTTGATTGTTTCCAGTTTATATGGGAACCATGGGAGCTTCCTGTAAATAATCTGAAAGTGCGAACCATCCAAAAAAGGCTTTCTCACTAGAAATGAACCGAACCATGGTTCAGTTTGATCCAGACAGAGACTACCTCTTTTTGTCGGACCAAATATTGTCTGTTTGGTCGGGAACGTGGTCCAGGGATGTTTCACACCTTTAGTTTTGTTTGGGATCAAACTAAAAGTCTGAAAGCCTGGACCAAACGAGGTAGGTGTGAAAGCCCCCTAAAAGATGCTGGCAAGCTCAGAGACATTTTTAAGACCAAACAACAAGAAATACACTTGTTGGTCAAAAGTATGCAGGCACCTGAACATTTCACGCACGTTTCATTGTGTAACATGCAATTCCAAATCCATAGACTACTGCCCATAACAGCTTCCACTTCTGGTTGCAGACTTTCCACCTGCGTTAATTTTAGTGAGGTCAGTCATTAATGTTATGTTACAAGTGGCAATTCATAAGGAAATCTCATAGCATTTTTCATTTAGGGCAGGTACAGACTGTACCCTTTGAATTAATATTTACTGAGAACTTTCTATTTCTGTCATGAGCAAGCACTTCGCCACAGTGACAAGGAAAACGTCCTTTTAACAGGTCAAAACCTCAAGCTGAAACACCTGCAGAAAGTGACAAAAGCAGAAAGACAAGAAAGCACAAAACTATGGGAGAGGCAAGAAGCCCAGTTAGTAACATGCATTAATGAGATAAGAATGCATACAGATGAAGAGCGATAGGATGAGAGAAGAGCTCAGTGCATCATGGGAAGTCTCCCGGCAGTCTAAGGCTATAGCAGCATAACTGGTTCAGGACTCACCTGAGCCAGCCCTAACTATAAACTTTATCAAAGAGCAAAATCCTAAGCCTTCTCTTAAATGTGGAGATGGTGTCTGCCTCCTGAACCCAAACTGGAACCTGGTTCCACAGGAGAGGAGCTTGATAGCTGAACGCTCTGGCTCCCAGTCTACTTTTGGAGACTCTAGGAACCACAAGTAACCCTGCATTCTGGGAGCGCAATGATCTAGTAAGCTGGAGAGTCTTAAGGGACTTAGTCGAACAGCCTGATAATAAGGAATTGCAGTAATCCATCCTAGAAGTAAAAAATGCATGGACTAGTTTTTCTCCATGTCCTTGAAAGTACAATAACTTCAGCTTTTTTTTGTTAACATCTGAACATTGCAGGTCATAATTAATAGATAATTAGGTATCATCTGGATAACAATGAATGTTTATGAATCATTTCTTAATAATATTGCCTAAAGAAAGCATATATAGTCTGAATATGATTGGTCCAAGCACAGAACCTTTGTTTTGGTGATGTTCCAGTCCATCCCAATGGGGTTAAATGAAGCTGAGGTCAGGACTCAAGTTCAAGTCAAGTTCTTCCACACCAAACTTGGAAAACCAGTTCTTTATGGAGTTGCTTTATGTAGAGGGACAGAGACAAACACAAACTGTTGACACAAAGTTAGAAGAACGCTGTTCAGTAAAATATCATTGCAGCATTAAGATTCATTTTCATTGGAACTACTAGTGTATCTTATAACCTGGTAAGAAATTCAGTATTATTTATATGTAGCTACAAATAGAACAACCACTTACGAGAGCTTTCTGTTTTCTTCTCTTTGTTGCTGCAGTTGTGGAAAGCATTTGCACAAAAGACAACTATGTGATTTGCTCCACTACTGTCAAGGTGTATCCATACTACGAGTCCCTGGGCACCGCCTTGTACGGCAAAGAACGACCTACATGGAAGCTGCCAGAGCCCTTCACGGAGAGGGTTCATCCTGCTGTCTGGAAATTCCTCCAGATGAAGAAACAATTAAAAATCATCAACGATCAGATGAGTCTGCACTTCTGCAGTGTGGACTTGGATAACCCTGAGGTGAAACTCAGCCCTCTGCCGAGCTTTTTAAGGCAGAAAGGTCTGACTGCCAAACATTTAGATATGTGGATGAGTACCGCCCAAGAGGCCTTCCGTCAGCAAATGTCTCAGTACACTGCCTTTGAATGTCCAGTGGACACACCTGCATGGAAAGCTGCAGAGAAAGATGTCCGTTCGGTTATCAGGAAAGATGCCGTTCTGGTGATGGATGCATCCAGGGGGGTTTTGGTTGTGGCTGGCCGAGCTGATGATATAAAACAATTCAGGGCTCCTGTGGAGAACATTGTTCTCAATGCCATGAGTCAAATTAAACGGCAGACAGATGGTGTCTCTGAGAAAATGGATGTGTCCCCTGCAATGTTGTACATCCTACAGCAGGAAGGGTTGCAGAAAGCTGCACTGAACATTTCCCCTGACATGAACCTCTCCTATGATGGAGGAACCCAGAAGTTAACCATTACAGGACTTCCTGCAGAGGTTTTCCAGACTAAGGCGTGGATCTTGCAGAGGAACATGGGTATGTGTAAAAAACCAATGAATGTCCCTCCATGTCTTTTAGACTTTCTCAAGACTGTGGATCCCATGGAGATGTCGCAGGACTTGTTCACATCCCAAGGCATCAGTGCCATCTACAGCATTGAGGACAAAGGGGTTATGCTGTTAGGGAGTTCAGAGAATGCCCTTGCTGATGCAGAGAGTAAGATGAAGACGGTTTTTGCCGTGCAGACTCTGGATGTGGAAGACAAGAATGTTCTGAAACTTCACAACTGGGTGAGCCTGAATCAACAGCTGTTGGACACCTTCAACTCATTAAGGAAGAAAACAGTGACCATTCAGATCCATCCAGAGAGAAGAGACAAAATAACGGTGGCCGGCTTCCAGAATCCAGTGAAAGAGGTCAGCTGCACTCTGAAGGAATTCATTGTGAACTACTCACGAGTTCAAGAAATCTTTCAGGTAGAGTCCTGCGCTGTTGTTCAGTTTATTGACAAGAAAAAAACACAAGATTGGTGCAGTATTGCCAAAGCTAATGATGTGACAGTCCGTTTTGATGAAGAGAGGCCAAAAATCATCATCACTGGGGCTCGTCTTCACGTCCAGAAAGCCAGATTCTGCTTTCAGGAACTGACTGGCAGTCTCTTCAGCGACAGCCTTATCATTGACAAGCCTGGAGCCAAGAAGTACTTCCAGTCTCAAGGAAGTCTGTTTCTGTCTACAATAATAATGTCAGACTTCAACTGTGTGGTGGTGCTTCGCCCAGAGAATCAAGAGGAAGAGGAGGAAGAGAACTATGAAGAAGGAAATTGTTATTGCAAAGTTCAGACCAGCAGTGGAGTTCTGGTTTCGGTTAGCAAGGCAGACATCTGTATGTTCAGAGTTGATGCGGTGGTCAATGCAGCTAATGAAGACTTACAGCACATTGGCGGTCTGGCTTTGGCGTTGCTTAACGCTGCAGGACCTCAGCTGCAGAAAATCAGCAACGACTACATTTCCACAAATGGAAAACTACGTGCAGGTGACGCCATCGTTACAGGTGCGTGCAACCTGCCTTGCAAGTACGTCGTACATGCAGTCGGTCCCCGGTTCTCTGACTATGACATGAAGACATCAGTGTGGCGTCTGAAGCTTGCAGTTAAAGAAAGTCTGTCTCAAGCAGAGAAGGTCCACTGCTCCACCATTGCGCTACCTGCAATCAGCTCAGGTGTGTTTGGTTTTCCGGTTGACCTCTGTGCTGACACCATAGCTCAGGCAGTGCGAGAGTACTGCGAGAGTCCAGGAAGTCTGAGATCGTTGACTGAGATTCACCTGGTGGACAATAATGATAACACAGTGAGAGTCCTGGCTGCAGCAGTCAACAGAGAGTTCGGTGACCTTGGACCTACGATGACCGTTCCACAGTGGGCAGAAAGAAAAGGCACCGGAGCTTCAGGGTAAATTGAAGAGACGTTTTTATGATAATGAACTTGATTAGATGATTAGAACATACTACAAGGTAAGACGAGGAGATTGATACCAGTGGAATAATAAACGATAAATACACTGAACAAAATTATAGATGCAACACTTTTGTTTTTGTCCCCATTCATCATGAGCTGAACTCAAAGATCTAAGACTTTCTCTATGTACACAAAAGGCCTCAAGTATTGTTCAGAAATCTGTCAAAATCTGTGTCAGTGAACACTTCTCCTTTGCAGAGATAATCCATCCACCTCACAGGTGTGGCATATCAAGATGCTGATCAGACAAAGTGGGTATTTTTTTACAGGTGTGCTTTAGGCTGGCCACAATAAAAGGCCACTCAAAAATGATGTCGCAAGTTTTGAGGGAGCGTGCAGTTGGCATGCTGACATGCAGGAATGTCCACCAGAGCAGTTGCCCATGAATTGAATGTTCCTTTCTCTACCGTAAGCCATCTCCAAAGGCGTTTCAAAGAATTTGGCCCAATACAGTGAAACTGCATTTTCGAGTGGCCTTTTATTGTGGCCAGCCTAGGGCACACCTCATCAGCATCTTGATATGCCACACCTGTGAGGTGGATGGATTATCTCAGCAAAGGAGAAGTGCTCACTAACACAGATTTTGACAGATCTGTAAACAATATCTGAGAGAAATAGGCCTTTTGTGTACATGGAGAAAGTCTTAGATCTTTGAGTTCAGCTCATAATGAATGGGGGAAAAAACAAAAGTGTTGCATTTATAATTTTGTTCAGTATATGAATCTGCAGCCGGTTAGTTTAGCTTAGCTTAGCATATAGTCTGGAAACAGCTAGCCTGAATCTGTCCAAATGTAACAATATCCACCTACAAATAAAAACTATTTAAGTGTTAAATTAATTGTCTGTTTTTAGGTGAGTTTTATGCCATACTGTTCATTGGCTCTGAGTAGCTGCCAATCAATCAGCAGACACTCCATCAAATCATCCAATGGGACTATTTTACTCAGGACAGTGGTGTTTGACCGACCAGCCTTGCCATTGCTAGAGCCATATTAGCTGCTAGTCACCAATCATTCCAATTGCGTTTAGTTGTCAGTAGAGTTAGGAGAGGCTGTCAACATAACTACAGGTGACTAGAGATGCTGCCTTCAGTCAGAGCCCATAAATCCATCACAACATGCTGCTTAAACCACAATATCTCCATCTTACAATTCAGTTTCTACCTGTTAAATAAATAACATTCGTAAATCAGACAGACTTGGTGTTGGTGGTTTTTGTGTGTGTTTGAACTGTATTTTTCATTTCCCAGCAGATATCAGCGGGGTCGAGGTAGAGGTCAGAACCAGTCGCCCAGGGGCCAACAGTTTGGTGAAAGAGGACGAGGAAGAGGAGGAAGAGGAGGAAGAGGAGGAGGAAGAGGAGGAAGAGGAAGACGAGAAGGAGAGGCTGGGGGAACAGGAGCTGGATCTCGGGGAGGTTGGCAAAGTAAACGGGGAGGTCAGAGCTTCAGGGGACACACCAGGCCTGGAGGGCATGGATGGCATGGAGGGTAAGCTTCTTCCTCTTCTTTTTCTCATTGTTCTTTTCTGTTGTCTGTGTTTTCTTCTTCTGTCTTCTTAATTTCAGTTTTGCTCTTCAGTCAAGGTTTTAAGACATCATTGGAGTCTGAGATATTTATTATACCCGGTCCATCATAGGGTCAGAAACATTTCAAAACCGTTTCAAATTCTACAAAAGAAAAACACCAAAAGGAATAGAGAGAGCCGGAGACTACTATAGTGAGTGATTTCAGAAATCATGCAAAGGTGGGTAAAAGTACTGAAAGTAATTGTGTAGGGAATCAGTAGTGGAGGGAGGCTTCGGCAGGATGCAGCGTGTGGGAGACGTAAGACGGCGCTCCACGAGTAAACGGCAGGCGCTCTATGTATAGTAACCATGGCAACGTCTACACAGCTGTAGCCTATTTAACATAGTGTTAAAAATATAGGCCACATAACTTTACCTTATAGGCCTACATCTAGTTTTGTGGGGATGCTCTGCCATGTGAATTCCCTCCTGTTGATGTCCTATTTAGTTAAACAGTAATAGATTCTGGAAACTCAGAGACAGCGAGGTTCAGTCTGTCTTCCAATGATTTGTGCTGTGCATTGCGTACAAAAAGTTCAAGACAATTCAACTTTTTGCGTGAGGTGAGCACCCTCACGAACGCACGCACCCTTGTTGCTACACCTTGTGCTCGACCACTTCACCTCACTCTAACAGGGGACACTTGTTGTTACTGTCAGACTCTTTCTGCAGCTCCTTGATAAAAGAAAAATGTTTCTGCTGATACCTGATAAAACAAGAAAACTGGACTCTGATGGTAACTTGTTTTAACAAGCTAGATAAAAGGTAATTCCCAGATAGCTTTGGTTTAATATTTGATTTGACTACATTAATGTTAAGAGATTGGTGAGATTTACAAGAAATATTTTACTGCTGGTAAAAAACACCATATTTGTTTAAAGTGTTTGCAAACCACGTTATTGCAATTTTGTGTATATAGCAGTACATTTAAATTAAAAGTGCGCAATACACTACTTTAGAATTCATTATTCAGTTTTGCGTATATCAGTGCAATTAATCGCAAGAAAATCATGCGATTAATCGCGAAACAGAAATTTTAATCGTTGCCCAGCACTAGTATTCACTGTGATGACATCATCCTGTTCTTTGATTGGCTGTAGACCCGGGAGGATGGAGCAGACCACAGCTGGAGGCCTGAAGATTGCTCTCTGCAAGGGAAACATTCAGGACCAGACTGTGAGTACTGACCCTGTGATGCCTTTTAAAAGCATAATTTGAAGAACAGTTAAAACCACAGTATAGAATAGATGAACTGTTGATGCATGATTCTGACATGAAAGTGTGATGGTTTATATAAAAATTTCCACTAGATGGCATAATGGTGTATTATGCCTAACCCTGGTTTAAAGGATAGTTCCAGTGTTAAACTTGGATCTTATTTTTGTAGTTTTGTCTATTAATGCTATTAATTATGATAACATTATACTCATCAAAGTTTAAGATCTGTGAACACAGACATCACTAAAAAGAAGGCTGACGGGGGAAGAAACGAGCAGTCAGATGATCAGACACGAAACCAGACACCTGAAATGTCACTTATAAAAACTGTGTGACCAGAACTACGGTGAGTCCAGGAGGTCAGATGAGAAGCAGGAAGTCTGTTAACTGTGATGGTCAATTTGGGTTTAATCATTTAGTTGTTCACTTTCATTTTCAAATAAGTTTGTCTAACCATTTGGTTTGTTTCCTGTCCGATGGTCTGACTGCTGCTCTTCTTGACACTTCAGACTTTTTTTTTTAATATCTCAGTAATTGACTTTGTGAGTTCAACGTTATTACAGCTGGACATTCAAATAAGACCTAACCATAAGACCAGTTCAGGGGGGTCTTTCTTACAAGTAATTGGAAATATCACAATATATTTCCCATACTCATGCCTTGTATTTAAGAATCTTGAAATATGATTTCAGACACCCCTAAAATGGACCGTACCATTTCTCAACATTGACGTTAGTTGAACGTCTTGTCCGTCTGCAATCACTCGCTAATGGAGACGCTGCAGCTTAATGTCATTAGTTAGCCATCTAGCTGCTTTAATACACTTATCTTTCCTACCTTCAGAGTTTCATAATTAGCATTTCTTTTACTTAAAAAGAGCTATCAGATGTTAGCTGAGAGCCCGCTCTGTCATTTCCTTATCATTATGTAATTTCATATTTTATGTACACTGGTGCTTAGGCAGGAGCAGTGAAATTGGGGATTAGTTATTGTAGAGAAACATTTTTACATCAATATACAGTAGATTGGGAATTGAAGTCTTTTGTGAGTCCTTTCACATTAAACATGGCATTTGTTTTAACTCTGGAATTCCCAAAAATTCCCAGTTCCCCAACTGCTTTATTGGACGCAGATTACATCATTCACAGTCAACATGAGCAAGAGGAAAAGAGATATTTGCTAAAAAAGAGCAAGTTAAAACTTTGAATTTGATGAGAATTATAAGAATTTGGAATTGGAGATAATAATGCAGACTGTGTTTTATGATAGTGTCTTTGGTTCTGGTTCAGCATTGTATGGGTCTGTTTTGAGCGGTCATGAGGGTCTACCGTTGTGTGTCTGACTTGCTGCCAGTTTTTCTCTAGAAAACTTGGTGACCCCTAACTACAGAAGTTGTTGTGTGGTATGGGGCACCCATGAACTGTTGTAATGAATTTGATTTATTGTCATCTACTGACTGCAGACATTAGTTAAATAAGCAAGGATATTATAAGCATTGTAAGATTTTAGTTCACTGAAGCACGCGCCTGCGCTGTGCTGGTTTTCCTTTTTTGACCTGGAAAAAAGTTGCCCCCCCTGGTTGTTACTGTATAATTCGCACCCTTTGTACAGTGCTGCCATTTTGTTCCACAGACTTTCGTCATAGTCAACACCATATCCGAGAACATGGACCTGAACCGGGGAGCGGTTTCCAAAGCGATCCTGGAGGCGGCCGGATCCGGTCTGCAGTCAGCTGTTCGGTCTGAAGCCAGGGTGGCAACGCTGCAGCGTACTGACGTCGTCATCACAGACGGCTTCAACCTCAGGTGTCAGAAGGTCTTTCACGCTGTTTGCCCTTTTTGGGACAATGGAAGCGGCAAGGCAGAGGAGGTGATTAAAAACAAAGCTGTTCATGTTTTGTTCTGATGATTCACCAGGATATTTTCGTCTACTAGAGATTTGAAGAGAGAGAACTGCCATGGACTTCAGGAACCCTGAATGTCCCTGAAATAACTCCCTCTGCTTTACACCTCTGTTGGTAGAACAATGCCTCTTCAGTAACACCTAGTGGCAGCATTTGTAACTACACCCACATTAGCAAACGTGTGATCCTCCATGCGTGTGACGGAGGAAGTATTCTGATTCTTTACTTAAAGGTTCAGTGTGTGAGATTTAGTGGCATCTAGTGGTGAGGGTTGTGAATTGCAACCATCTATCTAGTCTACCACTGCCCCCTGACCTTTCAAAGAGCGCAGGACAGCAACGGTGGCTGACACAGTACAAAAGGTGTCTCTTCTGAGACAGCAGAGAGTGGCCAGTCAAGAAATGAGGTTTCTTTAGGTAGATTTATTAAGAAATGATATTTACTGAATTATTCAGTAAAACCATGTTATTGTGACTTTGCCACTGACAGACAACATGGAAAATGTGAGCCAAGAGTGTGAAACACTGTTTCTGCACCACAGTCCATTATAAACCACACATTAGATAAAGTTTATACAAACACTGACAAGGGAAACACATTAATTCTGTCTGTGATCATGGACCCTCGCCAAAACTGCCGCCAGCAATATGTGGCCCGCTGCCAGATTAGGAATAATTATAATTTATAACAAAATATAAATAAATACTTTGATAGCTTTGCTTAAAAATAGATCTTAGTCGGGACAGCAATAGTTGCTCACATAATCACTTCTTCTTTAGTGGTTTTGCCTACAAAATAAAAGCACGAGAAGCTTGATGTCTATGAAGATTCTCAGTCATCCAGGTCATAGTTATCCAATGAAGGTTAAAATCAAGGGCAACTGGACTTTTGAAGAAGGCCTTTGGATGAGGGACGAAACGTCTTCCAGTATCTTCAACCAAATCCAGTTGCCCTTGATTTTAACCTTCGTTGGATACACGAGAAGCTTGTTTGCTGTAATCTTCTATTTGAAGTTGAACTGAGCTTTTACTTTGAAAAACTCTGAACGACATTAAAAGACTCTGTAGCTGCTTAACACCCCTCTGAAAGAGCCGTTAGAAAACGTGATTTCCCTAAATGCCCTCTGCCTGGAGATACTGGGGAAATAAAAAAACGTCCGTAGCTTGATGGATGAGGATCAAACACCGAAACAAAAACACTGCAGCACATGCCGTGATCTCAGAAACATTCGCTGCAGAATCCATTTGTTGAAGAGAGAAAAAAAAGCCATCCCAAGGTGGGATCAAACCCTCAATGCTTGGGTTGCAAGTCCTGCACCTTACCAACTGAGCTAACCAAACAACATGTTGATGTAGGTCAATATTATTCCTTATATTCTCATCCACCATCTAACTTATTACTCAAAAACTTATTTGCAGACCCCTGCAGTAAATTATTACTACTTCTTCTTCTTCTAACGTACGTATTCAACATAGTGATGAGTATCGGCACTGGCTGAATTCTACCTGAAGAAGAACAAGAAGAACGCAGTGACGAAACGCGCTCTGTAGAAACATGACGATGCAACGTGGCAACGTTCATGGAAGGGGGTGCCCGCAGTTATGGAGATAGAAATGGCTCATTCTAAGGTAATAAAAACATAACAGTTTATTATGTAACGTCTTTACACACCACTGAAAACATGGGTATGGATCTTATATTGCATTTCTGTATATTACAAACTGAACCTTTGAGTAAAAGTTGCAGTACTGCAATTTAAAAATACTCCACTACAAGTAAAAGTCCTGCATTGAAAATATCACTATTTAAAAGCATTACTGGCACATTAATGTGTAAGTAGCATTTCAGTGTGTTTGTTAGTTGAGATGGAGCTAGTTTGAAATAATTTATATACTTGTGTGTTTAATCTGTCACAGTGCATCATATTTTTTTCACTCGTCCTTTTTTTTCGTTTTCTTTGGAAAATATAAATCTTGCAACTGTAACTGTAACTACAGCTGTCAGATACATGTAGTGAAGTATCTCCCTCTGATTGTAGTGGAGTAGAAGTTTTGACTTACTGTATTTCCCAGCCTGTACAGCAGCTGGTTTAAGCCCACAGTCTTTGTAGTCCAGCCTCACTCTGTCTTCTTTGTGTCTCAGGAGTTAATCACCACCGTCAGATATTGTCTGGATGCGGCTGAGAAGCGACAGATGACGTCACTGTCCTTCCCGGCCATCGGTACGGGAAACCTGGGCTTCCCCAGAGACTTGGTGTCCAGAGTCCTGCTGAGGGAGATCCACTCATTCAGCCAAAATAAAAATCCTCGCCATCTGAGAGAGGTGGTCATCGTCGTTCACCCGAGTGACAGCCAGACTGTGGATGTGAGTTTTCACTTTGTTGAAGACGGCGTGTTTGAGTGCTTATCATGTTCTGACAATGAATTCATCAGAGCTCTCTAAAAACACAGCTCTTATTTATCGGTCGAGACAATCAGAGCACAGTTTATGTATTAAAACCAAAGAAGAAGAAGTGCATACTGCACATATAAATACTGAGCGTTGATTCTGCCGCTTTCACTGCCGACATTTGAATTATTAAAATAATGAGCCAACATCTTGTTTGCCAGTGTTTCACCAGGGCGTTCAGAGGTCAGACTGACCAGAGAAACATGAGGGAAGCACAGGAATTTAACGAGGCACCAGTGGCATCTGTCAGCCAATCACAACAGCCCTCAGGTAAGGAGCCTTTCATTTAAACCTTTACCTTGTGTGTGGATTTCATGAACAACAAACTATTCAGAGAACACAAAACACATCAACAGAAGTAATCTGTGAATAGAGATTTACTCCGGATCTCCCGTCATGGATTGCTAAATATCTTCAGATTGGGAGTCAAACCAAAGACTTTAGCTCTTTGTTGTTGTTTTATAATTGATTACTCATGTTCACCTTTAACCAATCAGCTAACCAGTGAATTCAGCTGGTTCTGAAAACCTGCAGATTAGGGCTGCAGCTAACTTTTTAGTAATACACGCTTCTATAGATTATTTCAACAATTCATCGATGCGTCGTTTAAGAAGTACTTTTGCTTGGCAGCGGCCCTGCCCCCGGTAACAGGATCAGCTGTGTACGTTGATAGATATTTATTAGTCTTTTCTTTTCTTGCTGTCATACAGCAAACGTCAGACCAACAACAGACCAACAACCAGACAGCTGCTTTACCAACGCAAACAACACACAAAGTGCTACGAGTTATACTAAGGTGCTGCTCCCCGACACGCAGTTAACTCGTGACTGCAATGTTACAACACAAACTCACGGAGAACAACAAACGCACGTGTGCACATTTACAGCTGAGGATTGCAGCCGAGGCAACATAAGTTTCCTTTTACGGTGGACGGACTGCAACATTACAGATATGTTTTTTTCTTTTTGCTTTAAATAAACCCATACTTTGGACACTTTCTTCTTCGCCTCTTGCAATTTTCTCTCTCTTCCTCCACTTTGCAAACAGCGGCTTCATAATCACATTGAGTTCACAGCGTAAGCGCGATGTGCGACAGTAATAAATGTCTGTGAAAAACAGTATATAGTTATATGGATTAAACAAAGCCTCGATGCAATTTAGTAAACTATTTAATCGATGAATTGTTTCAGCCCTACTGCAGACTCTCGGCCTTTCATGGCAAACAGTTTGATATCTTTACTCTCAGTTTTGTCTGTTCAGTGTTACTGTAAGTGGTAACAGCTCATCTTTAATTGTGTGTGTGTGTGTGTGTGTGTGTGTGTTAGCCTCCTTCAGTCAGGTATCGTCGCCCTCCCTCGGTGTGCATCGGATGCAGATGGGTCAGCTCATCCTCGAGGTGTCGTCTGGAGACATCACCAAAGAGGCCAGTGATGTCATCATCAACTCCTCCAGTCCGGACTTTACCCTCAAAGCAGGTGAGCCTCCTTCCTGGCAGCGCTGCCATTGTCCTGGAGTGGATACCACAGTCAAGTAGTTTAGTGATGAACCTTGAGTAACAGTTCATTCAAATGACAAATTTTAACTGATGACCCTTTTTTACAGGCAGCCACTGGTTTCAGTTCATTTCAGTGAAAGTCGACTTGTAGAGACTTTTACTTGAAACAGCGTCATTTCTACTTTCATGTTACCTTTTCACTGTGTGCTGATGCAGTGAGGACTTTTAAATAAACCACAAGGTCTGCACACTTTAAAAATGTATTAATTGATATTATATTTTTAGATATGTGTAATTAACTGGCAATGAACATTAGACATACATTTTTGACATATCAATGAGAGGTCAAAGTGAAAGTCCCTATTTATATATATATATATAATATTAAATAGAAAAGCAATGAAATGTACCGTTGCTGAATTCAATGGACTCATGAGGTTTTACCGCTACAAGTGTACTCGTTCAGGTAGTCAGCAAACTCACTAATGTCAGTTAACTATGCAAACATTGGCCACTTTGTCCTGTCCCACTTTCAGCTGCTGCTTGGCAGAAGTCTTACTTTAAATCTGTAATCATTAAACATATCGTTACACTGACCACAAATAAAAAACAGAACATAGGATGTTTCCAGAAGTTCATTGAAACCAATGGATGATTAGGAGAATCATTCGGGAACCTGCAAACAAGAGCTTTTTTAATTTGTTTGTTTCTGTCTTTCCAAGGAGAACCACTCTTTTCTGCATCTGTCATTAGTATTCTTAAATTAATATGTTTATTTTGGTTCTTCTGACTAACAGCAGCCTCATTTGTTCTTCAATGTTCTTTCTATCATATATCAGGAGTGTCCAAGGCGATCTTAGACAGCGCTGGATTAAAAGTAGAGATGGAGTGCGCACAGATCGGTATGTAGCTGGAATTTAACCTTCATTTATCCACACACTGTTTGCTCTGGAGCAGCCGAGCGTTGCTCAAAGGTACATTTGCTTTGACATTCCCCGCACAGATTTTCACAGCTAGTCTAAGGATTTAATTTACTAAGGATCTGTGGCACATGTCCGAAATTATTTGTCCACAGTAACTACAGGGCCAGCCTGAAGATTTGTGATGCCAACGTGACAAAAAAGCAGGATTACTCGGGTTAATTCAAAGTGAAGGCTTTCACTTAGCTGTGTTGAAATGATTTTGTTGTGAGCCAGGTTCAGGTGTGAAGAACTTTCGGAGACTGATGAAGAAATAACATAGCATGGTTTATTGAGCCCGGTCGAGGAGATTCAGTGCCAGCATACAACATGTGAACACGTCAAATGCCAACACCAAATCTGAAGGAGAACATCTTGTGGTCCCTTTTGTGTTTCTGTCTTCCCCCTAGTGCCTGTAGGTTTCTCTATTTGGTCATCTTACACCTAGAACAACTAATCTATCTGATGTTTAGACTCCAATGCTTCGTCATATTGGAATCTCTCACAATCCATGAGTTGTACTCTAATCTGTGGAGTCAGTGAGTTCTTGCAAACATTTGTGTGGAACTCAACATTCTAAGATTCCCAGAGAACACTGATATCTGTTAGCCTGACTAACTAATCAGTCTATGGTTGTCTCCCTGACAAGGTCAAGTACATGTGAGAAATACCTTGAGCTAAATCGTCAGAAAACACTTATGGGGACAGCTAAATTACTCTATGCTAGACCTGTTACATCAATTAAGACAATTGAATCTGATTCTGGAGGCCACGGGGAGCCAGTGGAGGTCAAACAGTAATGGAGTGACAGTAATGGAGTCCTTTTGGCCTGATCAAAAACAAGACACACTGCTGCGTTCTGAACCATTTGTAGGGGTTTCACCGGACATGCTGGAAGACCTACTAGGAGGCCATTGCAATAGTCGAGAGAGATAACCATGGTCTGTACCAGAAGCTAGGTGGCGTACTGAGTGAGGGAGGGCCTGATTTTCCTTATGTTGTACAGAGCAAAGCGGCATGACTGAGAGTAGTTTGTAGTTTGACTTTGTAGTGGATAGATTGCTTGGCTGGAATGACCAAGAGGTCAGTCTTAGAGGTGGCAAGCCTGGAAGGATAGATAGAGTTGCGTATCGTCTGCATAGCAGTGGTAACAGAAGCCATGCCTGCGAATGATCGGCCCCAGTGAGGTAGTGTAAACTGAGAAGAGGAGGGGCCCTTGCACCGAGCCTTGGGGCATCCGTGTGGAGAGGCAGTGGGAGGAGGATAATTGTCCTTGCCACAAAACATTGTAGGAACGCCCCGAGAGGTAGGATTCGAACCACAGGAGTGCTTTGCCCGAGATGCCCATTGCTGAGAGAGCGGATAGCAGGATCATGTGGTTGACTGTGTCAAAGGCAGCTGAAAGGTCAAGCAGGATAAGAACCGAGGATTGGGCTGCAGCTTTAGCTGACCTTAGGGCTTCTGTTACAGACAGAAGAGCTGTTTCAGAAGAGTGGGCACTCTTAAAACCAGACTGATATGGATCTAGGAGGTCATTCTGTGAGAGGAATTCTCAGACCTGTTTGAATACTGCCTGTTCAATAGTTTTGGATAAAAATGCTAGGAGAGAAACTGGCCGATAGTTCTCAACTTGAGTTGGGTCGAAGGATGGCTTTTTGAGCTAGGGTTTAACCTGAGTGCTTTTGAAAGTTGTCGGGAAGGTTCCTGAAGCCAGAGAAGTATCAGTCACATGAGTGATTGTCAGGACCACGGTTGGAGATATGGCTTGTAGTTGGACGGGTCAGGAGTTCTGATACTTCGCTCTCCGTGAGAGGAGTAAACGAGTGAAATGCCATTGACCTGGGAGGACAGAGGAAAAGATGTAGTAGCTGTACTTGTGTTTAATGCTAATTAGCAAATGTTAGCGTGCTAAGGTGGTAAAACTATATAAATGCTAAACATCAGCATGTTGTCATTTGAGGATGTTAGCATTTAGCTCACAGCCCCTCTGTGTAGAAGTACAGCCTCAGAGTTGCCAGCATGGCTGCAGACGCTCAGTCTTGTTAATGTGTCTGACACAAGTCCACCAACATTTCTAGTGCAGCCCTTTCACTGCTTTTTCTGTAGTTTGTGATCGCATCTCTGAAATCTGACGTCATGGACACTTTGTATTTAAGTTAATACATTTATATTAAACGTCTTCAGTCGCACTGGATCTGTATTGTAAAATTAAACATATTAAATCAGTGGGTTTTGCCTGACTGTGTCATGAGCGTTGTTTGATTCCTCTCTGCAGTGAATTCTCCGGGTTACCAGCCTCAGCCGATGATCCTGACATCGGCCGGCCAGCTGCCCAGCAAAAACATCATCCACATTGTTGGTCGGAATGATCCTGCACAGATCAAGGACATGGTTAACTCAGTGCTGAAGGTCTGCGAGGAAAACAAGTTCAAGTCTGTCTCCTTCCCAGCCCTGGGAACAGGTCTGTGCAAACAAAAACAATATACTGTGTACATCTCTGTGCTAATTAGAATCTGACAAAGATTGTTTGATTTTTACTATGTTTTTTTAAGTGAAAAAATTTCCTTTTCTCTCTCACATGTTTCCTGTTTATTGATTCATGTCGTCATTCCTGTCATTTCACTGGTTTGCTGTTCAGCCATGTTTGGCTTTACAGTCAAACTTTGATTTCTTTAGTATTATTCACTCATTTCGCTGTATTAGAACAGACAGAAGATGCATTTAAAGTATATTTAGAAAGAAAAATATCTGAAAGTTTGTGTCACATCAATATTAAAATCCAACATCTTCAGGGGACAGAACTAAAACACACTGACTCATCACAAATATCCAATCCTCTTGTCTATCCTCTCATCATCATCACCGGCACTTGTCTGCCTGTTAGGTCAGGGAGGAGCCTCACCGTCGGCAGTGGCGGACGCCATGGTGGGAGCGGTGGTGGAGTTTGTGAGAAACAAACAGCCAAAGTTTGTTCGCAGCGTGAAGTTCCTGATCTTCCAGACGTTCATGGTGACGGAGTTTCAGAAGAGCATGATGAAGAGAGAGGAAGAGGGCGTGGAGGAGAAGAACGTCTTCACCAAGATCAAAGGTAATTCAACATTTCTTTGACTGTAAACTCCACCTGCTCTACATGTTGATGTCATTTCTTCTGGTTTATTTTGATCAAGATTACTCAGAAGTTATTTCTTAGTGATTAAGAGATAATGCTCCATGGCCATTGGTTCCTGCTGGAGACAAACAACTAACAAATAACAAATATATATCTTAATGTATCTTAAAAGGCTCAGTAATTTCCTAAAACAGCTGCTCACTGTAGTTTTTAATCAAACAAACAGGAGGATGTTGCATTTTTTATATTCAGCGGTGGATGAATCCACATGTGGCGCTCTAGTGAGTATTTGGGGCAGCAGGACGGTGTATGTGGGACCGAGTCAGAATAAACTACCATGTGTTCATGGTGATGAAGGAACATGTGACCCAGAGCAGCAGAGAGGCTCACTAATGGGTTTTAATGGTTTCTGGACAACAATGGAGTAAGAAGAGAAATCCGAGTGATACTACAAACAAGAACTGTCTGTTTGTCCAAATAACTGATGGACTCATTTAACATGAGACCAATGTACTGTAGAATCTCATAAATTTATCCGTTCAATGTCCTAATAAAGCTGCAGTCTTTGAGAATTTGTTACTTTTATTATCACTGCAAACATATCTTACTGTACTGTACTTAGTTCATTGTTTTATGTTCTTTCAGACCCGGTCCCTATATTTGTTAGTACTGTATCTGGTACGGAGCGGCGCAGCACTGGTGACTTGGTTCTGGAGAGGGAAGAGTTTGAGCCCACAGTGTTTCAGCTGTGTGCTGACAACAAAAAGGTGAACATGCATTTATTCTATACTTTGTGTTTTAGCTCTTTGTTCTGAAAGGATCTCAGCTTTCTGGACACAAGTCAGCACATTTTACATGAAGAAATGAACTAACAGAGAGAAACATAGTTGTATAGTTCATGCGACTAACAGGAAACACGTGGGACAGCAATACAGGTTTGTAAATTTTAAACCAATTAAAAACCAACAATAAAATCTCATGATGTGTTGAATGCATTATCTGCTTTGCCAGAAATATTTCACCATTTTGGGAAAAAACACTAAACTCTTTTCGTTTGCAAGACTGAGTAATTTGAAGATGGAAATCAGTCTCACGTCTAAGTGAGCTGGAGTCAGGACGTGGTTAGCCTAGCTTAGCATAAAGACTAGAAGTAGAGGGAAACAGCTAGCCTGTCCAACATTCAGAAATACACCTCTAAAAGACCTGGGCCGGTATTTATCAAGCTTCTCAAAGGGCCATTTTAGTCTTAAGTGCTGAGAATTCATGAAATTTACTCCTACTTTCAAACTTAAGAATAAAAGCAAGTTATCAAATGTCTTAAAGCTAAGAATGACTCTTACTCTCCCAGTTATTTAAGAAGCTCCAGAGGTCTCTCAGGTGGTTAGGAGCTGCCAGCAGTAGCTTGTGATGGCGCTGTGGAGACAGAGACATGCGCAAATATTTCAGGAGAGGAAGAATGTTTCTGAATTAGGCCTATTTGATGATGCGCAGTTAAGTAGACGGGGTCGGACAGCGCAGGCATGATCTTTGTCAGCGAGTTGGTGAGAGACGTCATCTCACAGTAATGAAGGTGGTGATGACGCTTTGTTTCTTTACCACAGGACAAACGCATTTGATGGCACTCATAAAGATCAACTTTTTTCATCTTTAATTTCCAATGTGTATATCATAAGGATTCTCTTGAAAATTCTTTATTGTTAAATGTGTGTTGAATATAAACTCCTGTTAGGAATTTCACCATTCAATGTGAATTTATCTGAGAATATTATTAAATAAGGAAATCAGTGATTGGTCCTTGGCTACATCGTCATCCAAAATCTTGTTTGTTGCACAGCAAAGTGTCGTGAATCAGCAGACTGACACTTAAGATTTAGTCCTACACTTCACTCAAATTAGGACTGAGATGCTTGATAACTAACTTTTTAAGTGCAGCTTTGAGCCAAGAATGTTTTTACTCTTAAGTCAGTTCTTAGCAGCGTTCTTATGAGTAATTCTGAGAAGCTTGATTAATACGGGCCCTGGTGTTCACATGATAGATCTTGCTTGTTTAATCTGAACAAAATGTAAAAAAACAGTTTTAGTTTAGGTATTAGTTACGTGCTCTGCTCTGATGAAACATAATTGGCAGCTGGATTAATATTTTCTGCTCTGCTGAATTGCTCCCAACTGTTATGTTCACATCTGCTGATTTACCTCTGGAGGACTGATTTTGTAAATAAAACTTTCCCACAATCTAAGCAGAACAGGAAGCTTTGTATAACAATTTGTGGGTCTTAATAAAATGTCACAGGCGCGCTGACCTCTTCATGAACACTTGGTATTAATCCATGAAGTATTTAGATCATTTACTGAAGTAAAAGTCCTGAACTGGTAAAAATTCAGACATCTGAAACATGACAAGGAGTCTAAATTAGGCCCTGACAAAAATGTTTTGCAGCCACTGGTTTAATCATTGTGTTGTATTTTATTAGCTTATCATTGGTTTCTATTTAACTAAAGCTGTCAGATAAATGCAGTAAAAAGTACAATAATTTACTCTGAGATATAGTGGAGTAGAAGTAGAAAGACAATATTAATACTCAAAGTACTTGAGACAATGTAGTAGGTTACCATTGTATTCATCCAGTTGAAACGAGCAAACCTCACAGAAAGATTAAGAGAGTGAGAATATGAAAGTGTTCTTTCATGATGCAGCAGTGCTTGTTTGTAACCTCCACAACCGTTACCGCCACTGCAGGCTGTGAGTCTGGCTAAGAAAAGGATTCAGGAGGTGATTGGGGCCGAGCAGGCGGAGCGCACCATCACAGATCAGTACATCAATCAGCTGTCGCAGGCTGACATGGACCAGCTGAAGGCCCTGCAGAGGGAACTGACGGTCAGCATCCGTCTGGACAAAGGGCAGGAGGACCAGGAGCCCAAAATCCACCTGGAGGGTCTGACCAGAGACGTCTTCACCGCCGAGGCTACGGTCAGGTCAGTTACGGTGGAGAGAAGAGAGCTTCGGTCCAGAGCGCCAAATGTTAGCGTATTCCTTTAAATGTGTTTTCTGGTGACCATCAGGGACATCATCCGGAAGGTGGAGAGGACGGAGACCTTGAGGAATAAGGCCTTGCTGGTGAGCGGGCTTGTAGAGTGGCAGTTTCAGCACGACAACAAGGCGACGGTGCCCTTCGACATTTACACCAACCTCAACCTGGAGGAGGCTCTGGAGAAAAAACAAAGTGTGAAGATCAAGATCGACAACGAAAATTACAACGCTGACGCAGTGCTCAGGAAAGCAGTTTCAGAGAAAGGCAATAAAATGGTGGAGCTGCTTAGAAAAGACCTGAAAGGTGAGTGGTTTTATTTCCACAGAGCTCATATTTAAAATAAAAACACGTTCATATTTACAGTGTTGTTGGAATCTCCGTTCATAAAACAGTTTGCCTCTGTTTATACAATATTTTAAATTTTAAATACAAAGATGTAACAACTGTAGTGCACACTCTAACACTGATGCAGAGTAATGGTCAAAACTATAAAAACAAGATCCAGGTTATAAAAACTGTACTTTACCTTATTCTCTTTGCAGGTACAGACGCCGCTCTGCCGCCACATTGGGATGACATGAAAGGCGACCTCCTCAAGCTGTTTCCTCTGACTACAGGATCCCAGGAATACAACGATGTGGAGACAGAAGTTAAAAAGACCGGCCTTGCTGCAAACATCATCAGTGTATGTTCAATCTCTGATAATCACAAATGGGTGTTAAAGCAACACAAAGTCTGTTTGTGTGGGCATGTTGTTTTAGGTACAGGAGAGATGATGAAATACAATCCAGGAAGTTCAGTTTGAGCACCACATCCAAGAGTTTGAAGGTTTGAGACACCAACAAAACTCTACAGAGGTTCATAAAACTGAGGGACTTGGATTTTATAACTCTGTAATGTTTTCACGGCGGCAGTAATTTTATCTTTCATTTCAACACATGCGAGGTAAACGGTAGAAATATGGTGTTTATGTTACAACGTTTTAATCAGAAATGTGGGCCTGCAAGTATTTGATTGGCCACCGCAGCGTCTTATTGGCCTATTTCAATTGAATGAGCGGATGCATTTTCTCACACAGAACTAAACGTGGCTCAAGTTTAACCTGATGGCCTCACACAGTCGAACTCAAACACATTTTGTTTGTTAGTCTTAGAATGACTTCATGACCTCAAAATCATTTATGTAAAGCATGTACACATTGAACAATAACATGAATTAATAAATATTATGTAGTTGCCAGTTGGACAATAAATCAATATAATATAGCCACGAGCGACAATGATCGGGATCCAAGCAAGTCGTGAATATTTGACATAATCAGAGGAGAAGAACCGACGCAGAAGACTTAAGAGATTAAAGTGATGAAAGAGTTTGGACTTTGAGATAATTGGGGAAAACGCAAACTTGATTATTATGGCATCACCTTGAGCTCAGAGAGTGTCGTATGTACCTGACTACTGGGTGAAATGTTCAACCCACCTGTGACATTTTGTCTTTCCAAGGTTTAAAGTTTAAGATGCACAAACACTTTTAAGCAGAGAAAAATAAGGAGAAAGTGCTCGGGATCCAAATAAAATGGAGCACTTTCACTATGATCTGAACAGTCTGATTTGGTCACCTCATTTGAACCCTGGATCTTCAGATCTCCAGAGTAGGTGACTTACTGACTGAACTACTGGTGAAACTACTGGTTTCCACACACCTTCTCACAAGTTAAGGCAGTGACATCACATGTGCAAGACTCGGATAGTTTTGTCAGTTTAAACTTAAAACGCTTACAACTGTCAAGATGTTGGTCAGGAAATTCTGAAAAAAATCATTCTGCTGGTTTTGGGTGCATTGTCAATTGTTTTGGTGGCACTTGATCGAACACTGAGGAAAACATAAAATGTTGTGCATACTGTACAAGTTACAGCAAGATACTAAATATCACTGCAGACTCATCGTTTGACCGATCTGAAAACCCTTTGAAACACTTGATATCGGCAATCCAGAGAATCTCTGTGTTGATTTTGGTAGTGTTTGAAGAAAGACTTGTGGAGATGATTGAATTAGCATATTCTGAAAAATATAGAGTGACTGACTTCTGAGGCAAACGTTAGTCACAAATCAGTGGATGTGCTGAAAAAATTTCAGCTCTCTAGGACGTACGGCTTATTTCTTGTAATAAGCCACGGCCATTTTGCGCTGTCATTACCAAATTTTATACATCAACGGAGTAGGGACCTGAGATCGTACAAAAATTCGTACAAATCCGTGCAGCGAATTACGAGGTATAAATGTTTTGCAAGTGTAGCGCTCCCTAATGGAAGAATATCACAGGACGAAGCTCAGCGAAGCTCAGACCGAGCATCTGAAGTTTGGTTACAATAGCTTAAGCCAGTTTTAATTTACAGGCATTTATGTAAAGTTGTACGTAATTACACAAAAGTAAAAATTTATGAAAAAAAAAACATTGAAATTCTTGGTTTTCTGGGACAATTTGGAAATTTATATATCCAGTCTGCTTGGAGTAGTACATTACAGTGTAAAACGTGTCATTTCCTGTTGCCAGCAGGTGGCGCTATGACTTTGAGTGAATATTCGCATATGGATGTGTTCAGAGCAGGACTATTGTTATACTGCAGATGTGATTATTTGTTCTGAAGTTCAACAACTTGAACAACTTCCTGTTTAATGGCGAATCACCAAATTTCAATGACACGCCACGGGCAAACTGGTCGACTGGTAATAACCGTTTGAATACCTTTTAATCGTCAATGGGTTTAGAGTGCACAGTGAAAATTTTAAGTTGATCGGACTAAATCCCTAAGAGGAGTTTGTTAAAGTACAAAATGTGTAAATCGCCAAAAATGACCATTAAATCCAAAATGGCCGACTTCCTGTTGGTGAATTTTTGAGTATGTGCAGGCCCCCAAAATTGAGGTTACTTTGCAGAAAAAAGAAAGAAAAAAAAAAGTTTCAATAGGGACCTCACACGTTTTGTGCTCGGGCCCTAATAATCAGAACAAAGCCAATGGGGCTCCAGCAGCTTCGCTGCTTGGATCCCTAAATATTGTAGCAGTTTTGAATGAACCACTGCTAAATAACAAGTGATGCTGGGCTGTTCAAGACACATCAAGTTTCCATTTCCTCCCTCCAGATGTTGTGGCACTAAATAGAAACAACCTAAAATACAAAAGTTGTAATAATCCTATACAAAATCTCAATGCAACCTTTTTAAGTTTAATGACTGTATTGAAATTACGAAATCACAAACTGTTGTCACCAACACGATGTTAGTTGTATGCAATACTGGACCATACTGGGATACCTTTTGTTGATTACTGAGTAATAGTAAAACCTTTGGACTGACAGAGCCAGATGCATCAACAAGCTCCCATGTTGGTCTTAGGTTGTGATCCGAACTTGGATGTTGCTCGGTGTCTGCTGGATGTAAATGCAGCACTACTTGATAAGCTAACAGGTTGTGTGGGGAGTCTTTCTGCATCCTAGTGATAATAGATGTAGTCGCACCTAAAATGCCACCACGGTGGTAAGACGGACGGTTGTTCCTGCTGAAAATAGTGTCTGGATTGAGTGATGTGTTGTATCTGTGTTGGCAGATTGACCGTGTTCAAAATACGACACTGTGGCAGAGCTACCAGCTCCTGAAGAAACAACTGGAGGTGAAGAACCAACACACAAACAACGAGAGGCGACTGTTCCACGGCACCGGAGCCAACTCCATCAATCTCATCAATACACAAGGATTCAACCGCAGCTACGCAGGAACACAAGGTAACCAAACCGATGACCACTCCTAAACAGTCCTAATGCACCATATGTACATTTAAAGGAGACCTATTATACTGCTTTTCCAGTCCTATATTGTAGCTCTGTGACTCGTGGATAGCAGCACTATTCAAAACAGTGTGTTCAGAACAGGAGAAGAAACGGAAAGGTTTTTGCTCACAGGGATTTCTTTTAAAGACTTTAACCTCATTATTTGAAGCCTTGTCCATGTTTAACATGAACGTCCAACATTGTAACATTGTAGATAAGTCATACAATGTGGAAAAGCATATTAGGTCTCCTTTAAAGGTTCAGTGTGTAATATTTCTGAGGATCTATCGACAGAAATGCAATATAATATCCATTATATCCACATGTTTTCAGTGGCGTATAAAGAGCATAATTAATAAACCATTATGTTTTCATTACGTTAGTATGAGCCATTTATATCTACAGAACCGCGGGTCCTCTTACATGGAAGTCTCATGTTGCGCCGCCATGTTTCTACAGTAGCCCAAACTGACAAACTGGTCCACAGAGCGCATTTTGTCACTGCGTTCTTCTTGTTCTCCTTGTAGAATTCTGGAAGTGTAGACGCTCACCACTACATTGAATATGTACGTTCGAAGAAGAAGTAGTAATAATATACAGCAGGGGTCAGCAAATAATAATAATAAAATGTTATCCATTAGATGGTCGGTGAGAACAAAAGACGAAGATAATATTAAAACCAAATGTTCTGGTGTTTGGTTAGCTCAGTCGGTAAAGTGCAAGACGCTCACCTAGAAGGTTGTGTGTTCAATCCCACAATGGGGATCAGCATCTCCAGGCAGAAGACATTTAGAGGACTCACGTTCTCTGGCGGCTCTTTCAGAGCTGTGTGTCAAGCAGGCTTCAGACTCTTTTAATGTCGTTCAGAATTTCAAAAAAAGTAAAAGCTCTCAATTCAACTCGAAATAAAACATTGCTGCAAAAACATTGTCTTGTTCTCTATTTCAGCTCCGCTATAAGTAATACTCTTGTTTATATTTATTTTTTGCCGTTATCAAAGCACCATAATCTGACGGCCAGTTTATAAAGGACTGTGGTGCAGAAACAGTGACAGTGTTTCACACTCTTGGCTTACATTTTCCATGTTGTCTGACTGTGGCTAAGTCGCAATAACATATGGTTTTACTGAATAATTAAGTAAATATAATTTATTAATATATCTATCTATAGAAACTTTCTTGACTGGCAATGGCGACATCTTTTGTCCTGTGTCAGCCACCTTAGCTATCCCACGCTCTTTGAAGGAGTAAAGAGTTTTGGGTTACTGTAATGTTTTCTCTTTCCATACTGAGTAATCTGCTGCAGTAATTTGTCTTACCACAGTCTGAGTAACAAGAATTATGTGGGTGTAGATTTATTGCCTTGCGACTATCGGGACGTGTCCTTTTGTTGAGGCTCAGCTAGGAAACACTGTCCAAGGAAACAAAAAGACGAAAGACCTTCACACTAACCCTATTTTATTGGTCAACGCGCTGAATTTCCGGGTGATGTAGCATTGTGTTGCAGCCATGTTCAAAGTTTTTTTGGCCTGACTGGAGTGCATGAGGCAGCATGTTTTACTGTGCTGTTGTCTGTTTGAATACGGCCTGACTGTTGGATTGTTGATTTTGTTTTCAGTAGGTGCGATGTACGGCAATGGCTCTTACTTTGCAGTGGACCCGGGATACTCGGCCAATGGCTACGCCACGCCCGACGCCAAGGGGCACAAGCGCATGTATCTGGCCAGGGTCCTGGTTGGAGACTTCACCGAGGGAAAAAGTGGCATGATCACCCCGCCCGCCAAAAGCTCTAGCAATTCTGCTGACCTGTATGACAGTGTTGTTGATCAAACTCCCAACCCAACCATGTTTGTCATCTTCAATGACATCCAGGCATACCCAGAATACCTGATCACATTTACATGAGCTGCTGGTAGTGCAACAGCTCTGGTAAAAAAAACAAACCTGTCATATGTGTTGTAGTTTAACTCAGTTTATAAAATAACTTATTTATAGTATTGTTTAATATCTGATATTGCTTAGTATTTCTCAAAGGTGGAGTTTCCGGTTTCTTGAAATTGGTTTCCAAACACTCATGAATAAATGTAAAAGAAAGTGTCACACTGTTTCTTAAGACAGCTAAAAACAGTTTCAATAAATTATCAAAAGCACTAAAATCTTGAGGATGAATTGTCATGGGTAAGGGTGCAGAGGCAAATAGGACCCAAATGCGGACAAAGGCGAGGAAGATACAGTTCAAACTGAAGATTTATTTGAGCACAAACTAAATGGAAACAGGCTTCCACAGAGCACAAGGCAAGAGTCCAAACAAAGGTAATCCAAAAGGAGGTAAATCTAACATAAAGGCAGAGTTATCCAAAACAAAGGAACAAACCAGAAATCCAGGGACCAGAGCACAATGCACAACACTCAGCATGAGCAACAAAGGATGTGACAAAAACTGAATAAAACTGAGGGCTTAAATACACAGGCAAACGAGCAGGGAGGGAAGCACAACTGAAACACATCAGGCAATCAACAACAGGAAACAAAGTACACGTGAGCACAGAATACAGTAAAACAGGAAGTACATGGGAACATACCAGGAGAGATCTACCAAAGTTAAACACAAAACATGGAAAGACCACAAAATCAGGGCAGGGAACAGAGACAGGACTACACTAAAACATGGAGACATAGGACTAAGGACTCCACCTGGTAAAAACATCAAAATAAACTAAGCTACAAAACCCTAAACAAGACAAAATCAAATAATGAACCACAGCCCAGGAATAACACTAACATGAACTAAGACACTGGAATAAGAACTGAGGCAAATAACTAAAACGCAGGACTAAGAACTAAGATAAGAGACAAGACAGATACTAAGTAAACTAAAACATGCAAATGAATAAAACAACAAGCAAGCCTAAACAGAGAAACACAGAACCAAAAACAGACTTAAACAGGAAAACATGAATACAAACCACATTCCTAACATGAATATTTTAAAACCTTCAACCTTTGTTTATGACGTTGTTTTGTTTTTGGAATATAATTTGAAATACTATATTAAAGGAACACTGTAACCATTTTGAAAATTCCTAGTTTTATTAAAAATCGGAGACGATTTTCAGTCTGCATCATTATATCTGGGACATTTCACTGCAACGTTGCTGGTTCTGTCTGGTATTTTTTATGCTAGCACCACGGCTGTGTGGACGGTTTTCCTTACAGGGTGATGTAGAGGATGAATCTGAGTGACCTTGGTGATCCCAGGACTTTTTATGGAGCCAACACGACGTTTGTTAGAGATATTTCTTAGGGGGCTCAATTGATGACGTAGCATTGGAGTCTAAACATCAGATAAATGGATAGATACTGTTTATTTTAAGTCTGTTAAATAAAAGTTTTCCTTCAATAACGTTTTGTGAAATAAACAGTTTATTACTCTGCATCTTCAGCAGCTGCTCTGAAGAGACTTCTACCAGATCACATGGTCTTCAGCAGCAGACAGAGTTTGTTGTGTGGGAGATGAAGGATGTTCAAGTTTCTATATTTTTGTCTGAGCATATTATGGACTTCTGATGAACGTTATACAAATTATTTATTTTTATTTTAATGCACATGTGAAGTAATAAATCATGATTCTGGTGTTTTGCAGTAACGCAATATTACAGATTGAGCCTGTTCATTTAGACATTTACAGTCTCCCTGCATGTGCCAGATGCAGGCGTGCTGCTGTCGTATTTCTGTAGTGCTACAGTTTAATCCTCGTCTGTAAAATATGACGCTCTGCTGCCAGTGGACTTGTTCATGTCTGTGATTGGTCTGCTGCTAACACCGCCTCTTCTATGTGAACGCGCTCCCGGCTGGATCGGGAAACCAGCTTCGTGGTGCCGCTTATCCAGACCGCGATTGTTAGGGTTAGTGAAGCAGGCCTATGGGCTGCGGCCTTTTTGGATTTTTTTTTAAGTAGGCCTTCCGTACATTGTTAACAATAGCCTACTTTTTAATAAGAGCAGGGCCTAAGCTTTTTGAATACAGGACTAATTTTACTTCTAATGGAGTAGGATACAGGATATCTATCTAATGTAAAAATATGTAGGCCTATTTAAATCCACTAACATGTTTAGTTGCTTTGATGGAGACCCCTATGACCAGGTGTTACTTATTTGTATGTAAATGTTGATCACAATCAAATATAAACTTTTATGGAGGCTATTAACTATAAAATTATGGATTTAATTAGCATACTTTTTAACTCAAAAACACAGAGAAAGACCCTTTTCAGCCCCAACAACAGTTTTACATGAAAAATTGCAATTTAATATTACATGATTGAATATTAGGAGCCTGTTTGTTGTCAGTTGCTCCGTATTTGTAAGTATTTGTCAGACTGCAGCTAGTGATGCTGCTGCTACATTTGATTAATTTGATCATTTTTTTGTTTAGTCAATAAAATGTCTGAAAATAGTGAAAAATTCCCACTTTCCTAAAAACCAAGTGATGTTTTCAGATGTCCCAAAGGTTTTCAGTTTCCTGTGATATAAAACATTTGATAAGCTGAAACTAGAAAATCAAATGAAGATGAATGGATGATGAAAATGCCTGCAGATTCATTAATTTAACTGACTAACAGAGTAAACTAGTTAACCTGTAGTTTACTGCTGTATTTACAAACTGACCAACGCAAAGTATTGGAATAGGCTAATGATTTATTAACTAATCAATTATTCAATTTAAGGTGTCTTTTGCACAACATAAACAATAAGTATTAAAGAACCCAGATGGACAGAACAGCGCCTCCCAGCGGAGAAACTGTTGAATTTATAGAAAACATTTTGTGTTCTCATTTTCAGTTGTTTATCGGAAGATCTCTAATGATCAGCAGGAGGACTTTGATGCCTTACCCCGGTTTTCTTTCCTTAATTTTCTGTCTATGTAGCCTATTTTAACTGGGGCGCTCTTTAACAACAGCTTTATTGATATGAATAAAAAATGTTTTCATATTTGTGAATAGGCTAATTAATGAGTAATCATTATGGTAACATCTTCCAGGTAAAGGTGTGGTGTCCGAACGATAATGCTGCGATGATGTGTTGAGAAGAAATCCGCTTGACACTGTTCTTGATTATAAAAGTTTATTACATCAAAGAATTCAGCATCAATTACAAGCTCTGCAGCAGCTTGGAGAGTGACCCAGCCCGATGGCCAGTCTGTCTCTCTGTACATCGAACACAGCTTATATAGGACATGTTTAGGTCTCTGCTAAATACCATATAAGGGCACAGTGCTGTAGAATAAGTGTAACCATCTGTTAGACACCACAGAAGGGTACAGTCCCTTCATTCACACTAATCTCTTCTTCCCCTAACACTGGGTCAGAGGTCAAATTCTATAGGAGGGTTCACTCTTTGTACACCCATCAATCATTACTTCACTGTCCCTCTCCCCAGCTGCAGAGCATTATGTTAAACTGTAATGGTCAAATGCACATATGTTATACACCACAAAGGTCCTCATGTATTGATCATAGTTTGAAGCCTCCTTATTCTTCAGTGAGTCAGCTCTGTTGATCTCGGTTCCATTTTCTCGTCATTCGGAAATTTCGAAGAATCGAAAGTGAAAGCAGCCTGCAGTCTGCGGAGCTCCGCCGCTTCTTACTTCAGTCTGTCGGTGTGTTTTGTACCGGACGGCAGGATGGCTGACACCGGGTGTCCGCCGCTGATCGTGGAGGGGGACTGGAGTCCGGCTCAGAACAAAACCATGAAGAACAAACTGCAGCTGTACTTCCAGAGCAAGAAGAAGTCCGGCGGAGGAGACTGCCGCGTGGAGGCGGAGGACGGAGCTCCGAGGGCTGAAGTGTACTTCATATCAGAGGAGGGTGAGTCTCTGGATCAGGATCAGGCTGCAGAACAAGTTACTGCTCAGCTCTCTGAAGGGAACTCACATTATATTCGTTTATTTACTGGATTAAAGTTTCAAACTGAAACAGGCCTACAATAACTTTTGGTTAATTATTAACTAAAACGCTCAAAGAGTCGTTTCCTTATCTGGTGTGAACACTAAGGATCCCGATCAGACTGAAAGTGTTTTGTTTGACATGAGAGGTGAAGCCTTTTCGGTTGAATTTGGAAAAGAGAAGTGCCCTGCGGTTCTTTATGTTGCTAGGCATCCACAAGTCAGTCTCATCAAAGATTACAGCGCCAGGATAGTACCACCAGCTGGTCAGGAGCTCTGTCTTAATGATGGTTATTTTAGGATGACTCAGGGACAGTTTGTTGCAGTCTCCGGACAATCCAACCAACTGGAAACTTCTGTCAGCACAGTTGAGGGCCCCTGGCTCCATTAATTTCATTGGACAATGGGGGAAAAACGCGAATGAGGTCGGGTGCTTTTCTGAGAGTTGAATTTATTTCAACTTCGTGCGTTCAGAAGAAAACAATTTTTAAAAGGCGCCTCTCACTGCAGAAAACGCATTCTGTTTGATTGGGGCCGAATGAATTTTGGTGAACTTTTCAGCTCTCTGATCAATTTTGAAACTGATGTCAGCTCAGATTAAAGTTGGTAAATAAACTCAGCTGTCTGTATGCTGATTTCCCAGCATACTGCCTCAGCAGCTGCATCTTATTGTGCAGATGAGTCCCAGCAGCTGATTTGTCCTCTAAGGTGGATGAGACGTGTTGACTGATGAAAAGTCCATCCATCGTCAACCGCTTATCCTGCCTACAGGGCTCCATGAAATGACTGTTTGTGGGCCAACAAATGAAATAGTCCGGCACCTTGTTTCCCCCTGTTTCCAGTCTTTATGCTAAGCTAAGCTAACATATTCATATTAAACTGACAGACAAAGACAGTGGCCTCAATCTGACCATCTAACGTCTGATCATTTACTAATATAGTGATAAAACACACTAGAATAATAACTTGTACATTTCCACACAGTGCAGCAGAGTTTCTATTGGCTGGATGAGAACATCCTCTCGGTCAAAGGTGAACTCTAACCTGTCAAACCACCGGAGCAGCTACAGGTTGCAGCGAAACAGGAAAAACACTTTTGACTTTGTCTATTGTTCGAGCTTTAGTAGAAGTGAATGAGAGACGGATGTTCGTAGGACAAAAGCATAGGTGTCATTTAATCTGGGACGCTGGACACATGTCACACTGAATTTGTCTCCATCACATCTTGAAAGCATTTGTTAAAATGTTCTGACAACAGCTTGCACAAATAAATGTTCACTAACTGAGGTTTATTTGCACAATAACGTGATGCAATTTAAATATAGAAGACACAAATGTGCATTGTCCAAAAAAACTAACATAATAACAAACAAGCTGCTGATTACTGCATTACATTCTGTTATATTTTTATATATGCCAGCTGAATGTTTTTGTATAAAGACATTTCCACCATGAATTGGAGCAGAAAATGTCTCCAGAATGCAGGAAGTTAAGTGTTTAATGCTCCAACTTTCAATAATAAGAGTTAACTTAAGAGTTCCTGTTTTGAGAGAACTCTGCAGGATTGGTACCTGTTGGGAAACTGATGATGACTCGTGTGTGTCATGTGATTCCAGTGAGAGAGCAAGTCCTCGCCAGGACAAACCACGAGATCGTCCTGGAGAACCAAACTGTCAAGTTACGTCTGATCTCTGCGTCGGTAAGTACAGAAGATGTTCAGGCTGTCGACATGTTACAGTGACATTAAAGAACGTGACGTCCTCTGACTCCTTCCTGCCATATTTGTAGTTCTAGTGTTTTTTTTAAAGACTACATTTCCCCTCAACTGCATAAAATGTACTTATATTCTTGCTCCTCGGAGGAAAAAGCCTTGGTTACACCTTTACCTCACCTTCAGGACAAACTTAACATTGTTAGCTCCACAGTTGATAAAACTAAGAACAGATAAATCATCTGGACTTTTTAAATAGAACTTTTTAAGTAGAAAAAAAGCAGAACTTTATTGTTTAATTGTGTCACAGCAGATAAAAGTAGCTGTGGGTTAATTGTTGACTATTTCTGTTTTCCAACAAGACTTTTTAAAGGTTTAGTGTGAAGTTCATTCTTGACTTTGGGAACATTATTTTGATAACTTAATCTTAACTCAAGGTTCTCTTACTAGTTTCTTGACCTTTCAACCTCATGTCATAGTCTTCATCAGCGAGTTTTCTCACTTGAGTCAGTTGTTCAGTTCAACACTTGAGCCAAGACAATAAAACTTTTAGAACATATGGCCTTACGACTTTCAGACCTCTGTAGATCATCGTTAAATGTAGAGAATCCTTACATGTCTGCTTTGAATCATATTGAGTGATTTCCATTGAGTCCGACTTAAGTCACACAGTGACTTCAGACTTGATTTGAGACTCGTCCTCAAAAGACTTGACTCGGACTCGAGGTGCAGGACTCGTGAACAATGTTTATTTTTAGGAAACATCTGATGAGCTTGCTGTTATTCCCTCCCTCCGTTACCTATAACCCGCCTATGTAACACGTAGTATCTGCTGCGTGCGGCCACACGTGAAAGAGGACAACACCAGCAGCTGCTCCCCCATTCATCGTAAACTTTGGCTTTAAACTTCATACAACAAGGCCCAAAGAAAGAAGCGCTGAACGCAAAATAGGTTAGTAACCTGAGTTTAGTAACATGTTTAGCTCAGCATTGGCCATCTAATGTTAGCTTGCTTCTTGCTTTAGCTACGATCTACGGTAGGTTAACTCCGACTGTCGTTCGTTATGAAAAGATGAATGAGCGTTTGTTTACTTGCCAAACTTGTGGTGGTCGATTAAAGTAATCATTTACGTCCCGCTGGCTGCCATCACGCTAATTATTAACGCTGGCTGCAAACAGGTTACCGGTTTATCGTTGATCATGTAATGTTACAGTTTTATTTAGTCAACTGGGTTTGAGAGCCTGCGGGGTGTGTTGACTTTCATTAAATAATAAGCTGTCATTAAAGATTCAGTGTGTAAGATTTAGTGGCATCTAGTGGTGAGGGTTGTGAATTGCAACCATCTATCCAGTCTACCACTGCCCCCAACCCTTACAAAGAGGGTAGGACAGCTACGGTGGCTGACACAGCACAAAAGGTGTCTCTTCTGAGACAGCAGAGAGTGGCCAGTCAAGAAATGAGGTTTCTTTAGGTAGATTTATTAAGAAATTATATTTACTTAATTATTCAGTAAAACCATGTTATTGTGACTTTGCCACTGACAGATAATTGTGAGCCAAGAATGTGAAACACTGTCACAGTCCATTTCTAAGGTAATAAAAACACAATGGTTTATTATGTGAGGTCTTTTTACACCAAAAAACATAGTTATGGATCCTATATTGCATTTCTGTCAGTAGATCCTGAGAAATATTACACACTGAACCTTTAATTGCATTGCACATACACGGCTGTGCACTGTAAGTGAAAAACAGGTTACAGTTACAGAATCCGTTATAGCTATGCAGTTTTATAAGCAGCCTGGATTGAAGGCAGCAGGTGATACAACATTCAAAATGACCATGAGAGACTTGAGACTTGACTTGGACTCAGAGACTTGTGAGCATCGGTCACTATGATCATGACAATGACACATGAAACAATAAACACAATGTCACAGCTTGAGTGAATTTACTTGATTGAACACAGCTTCTTCTGTATAACTTTGCAAAAGTGTGACGTATAACTTTGCAAAAGTGTGACGTATTCACCCAGTTTTGTTGCGTATTATGTTCTGTACGTGCTGAAATTGTTTGGCATATCAGACACTTGCTGTGTTACTTTTGCCCCGCGTTTTATTCGTCCAGGCTTTCCCCTACAGTAGGTCACATAAGCAAACACCATCTGCTCATGAAGACCATGAAATGCAGCTGAAAGGTCCAGGTAAAGCTAATAAGGGCTAGCCAATGTTAGCATACTTGCACAGTGACATGAGACTGTTTATTAGCAATCTGAAATAATAGCTCAATTTGTCTATATCATTGCTCAAAGAAAATTGGGGAGCACTAAAACCACGATGCTATCCAGCCCAGTGGCCCAGTGGATAGCACTGTGGCCTCACAGAAAGAACCCGGGCCTTTCTGTGTGGAGTTTGCATGTCATCATGGTTTTCCTGTCAGTGCCATTTGACCAGGGCACTGGCTTCGATCTGGGTCATTGTACAGTGGCTGCCCAGTCCCGATACTTTTCATATTCAGATCACCTGCAGTGGAAACATCCTGCCATAAGAAGATGATTTGGATGAGGGAGGGACGGGGAGGGAGAGCAGTTTATGTTGGAGGCTGTTCCTACTTTCATGCCAGATTTAAACTTTTTTTATTCATTCCGGGGTTGAAACTGAAGTCAATTTGTTTTTGTAATGGGAAAAGTGTTAAAAAAATTATAATAATGCAGTAAGGGCTCTTGCTTCCCGATAACTTTCCTTCAGTCAGTATGACGGGCTTAAAGTCATTCACCTGTTCCTTTTATAACATCATAGCTTTCTTTTTTCTGTAAATGAATTCCTGGGTGTGACGGCAGCAAGATGTTTAACACCTCTGTTCTTCTGTTGTTGCTCTTCATGGGTGGTGGACTCTGACACTTTACAGGGTGTGTTTCATTATGACCTGACTGACTGGCTCAGCAGCCGGCTGCTAATAGATTGAAGATGATCTAATGATGAAGAAATGTTTCAGTCTGTGTCTTTAAAAGACAATAAAAACAACCAGAGAGGAAACGTGTTGAAGGAGCAGTTCTTCTTATTTAACGTTCCTACATGTTTTTCCCCTAAAAGTTCCCCTTGGTTCCATTAAAGCAACAGTTAAAGTTCTACACTGTCTCATCATGTCACAAATGATGCAGTGTATGATTTTGTTTCTTTTTCTTTGATTATGTCACGGGTTTGAGGTGAAGGCAGGGTTGAGCAGGTTGGAGGACCCAAATGCAGGACGCAAGGCAAAGGAGGTACAGTTCAAGGGGTTTTAATAAACATACAAAGGCAAGCACACTTACAAACTGAGTGGCTGATGACAGAGTCCAAAACAAAGCAATCCAAACGAGAAAACCAGAATCCAAAATAAGCGGGGAAACAGCGAGACACGACGAGAGAGATCACTGGGGTAACAGACATGACAAGGGTTACCAAACACTAGACGAAAGACAAGACAGACCCCCAAAACCCAACAGACCAAAATAACGCTAACTAAAGACAAAAGTGCAAAACACCACATGGCAGACTCAAAAGGACGGCCCTTGACTTCCTAAAACGAATCATCATCATCAAACAAAAAACCAAACAGGTCAAGCCGGCCCAGGGTGGGCGGAGGGAGGCCAGAAAAACAAAAAGTCTCAAAGGGCCAACTACCGGCAGGGCAAGGCAGTTCAGGAGGCCAACCAAGGCGGCCAGAGGTGAACAAAAGTTCAGGGGGCAGACCTGGAGGTCGACACAGCAGACCAGGAGGGCAAAACAGTTCAGATGGACGTCCCGCGGGATGACCCATGAGGCCAGGCATACCAGAGTTCAGGAGGCCGTCCCGGAGGACGACCCAGCAGGCCAGGCAGAACAGGAAGGCAACAACATTCAGGAGGTCGCCTGGGAGGACGACCAAACTGGGCGGGAGGACCAGAGGGCCCACAGAGTTCAGGTGGCCATCCCGGTGTACGGCCCTGGAGGCCGGACTGTTCAGGGGGACGGTAGGAAGGCCAACAAAGAGCCTGGAAACCCACTGGAGGCCAAGCGGGGGACCGGCAAAGGTGGCGAATCCTCCCTGAAGGCCGGTGGCGAAGGCGAGATCGCTCCGGAGACTGAGCAGGAGGCCTGCGATGAAGGCGAGATCTCTCCAGAAGGTCTCAGCAGGGGTTGCAGATGACGGAAGGGACCCACCAGAGGCCGAAGAAGGCGAGGCTTCTCCAAAGGTCGGGCCGGGGACCGGCGTAGAGAGCCTGGGATCTCCGGTGGCAGAGCACAGCTGAGGACCACGGACTGAGCTGCTGGGCTGAGGACCACGGGCGAGACACGAGGAGCTGGAATCGGCTGGACCACCGACGAGGGACCAAGAGTCGATCGGGCCACCGGCGGAGCTGGTGCCGGTCGGACCACCGGCAATGCAGGTGCCGGTCGGACCAGCGACGGAGCACGAGGAATGGGAGTCGGCTGGTACCACGGGAACCCGAAAAGATGGCCAGGCGACTCCCTTCGAAGGAGGACTCCGGGGGAAGCCTAGCCTCCAGGCTATCAGGCCATAGGCTAGCTGCCCATGCTGTCTCTGACTCCCTTGCCTTCATGGTTATGTAGGCCAGGAGAGTCATCGTTTCAGAGTCCTTGGTAGGTGGGATAGGCAGGCAGACGGATAGGCTAGGCGGAGGACTAGCCGTGCTAGCCGAGCAGGAAACTGGCAGAGAGCTGGCAGCGCTAGCAGGACAGGGATCAGGCAGGCAGGGGTTAGCTGGCTGACAGCTAGCTGGTTGGCTGACTGTCCTTGGGCTCTCTGGCTCTAACACCAAGTCCATCAAAAAAGAGACCAGAGAGCTAGATGTCCAAGAGTCCCCAACCAGTCTGGATGCTGGAGCCAACACAGGAGGGAGATGACCAGGCGGGCGGCTAACAGCGCTAGCCGGCAGGGTGCTAGCAGGCCGGGAGAGGAAGAAGCCTCCCACCCTGCAGCTAGCAGGCCGGGAACAAGTCCTTTTGGGGTTAGCAGGCTGGGGAAAAGACGGCCTGGAGCTAGCAGCACTAGCCGACCTGAAGACTTGCGGATCAGGCTGACAGCTAGTAGCCCTAGCGGGCCGGGAAACAGACTGGACAGGCCGAGGGCTAGCAGCGCTAGCATTCACCCGCTGGGGTGACATTGACACGGTCTCTAAATCAAAAGTCTTTCTCCACCGGGAGGAGGCAACGAGCAGGGCCATTTCTGGGTCCGTTCTCCACATATTTGACAGTAGTTAAAAAAACTGGGATTCCTCCTCCACTAGCTCCTCTTTAGGCACCCCTAATGCCTCCCAAGTGCTGGGCAACTTAACTATGTCCGCTGGGTCCATGTTTGGTCGGGTCATTCTGTCACGGGTTTGAGGTGAAGGCAGGGTTGAGCAGGTTGGAGGACCCAAATGCAGGACGCAAGGCAAAGGAGGTACAGTCCAAAACAAAGTAATCCAAACGAGAAAACCAGAATCCAAAATCCAAAATAAGCAGGGAAACGGCGAGTAGGCTGGCGAGTAGGCTGGCGAGTAGGCTGGCGAGTAGGCTGGCGAGTAGGCTGGCGAGTAGGCTGGCGAGTAGGCTGGCGAGTAGGCTGGCGAGTAGGCTGGCGAGTAGGCTGGCGAGTAGGCTGGCGAGTAGGCTGGCGAGTAGGCTGGCGAGTAGGCAACACTGGGTGACAATAAACAATGACCCAACAAAGACAAGACAAAAACACCAGGTATATATACACAGGGACTAACGAGCAGGGCGGGAGCAACACAGGTGAAAGACATGAGGCTAATGAGGCACAGGCAGGGAGAGAGAGAGAGAGAGAGAGAGAGAGAGAGAGAGAGAGAGAGAGAGAGAGCAGGGGAAAACAGAGACAGACATGCAGAGGGATCACTGGGGTAACAGACATGACAAGGGTTACCAAACACTAGACGAAAGACAAGACAGACCCCCAAAACCCAACAGACCAGAATAACACTAACTAAACACAAAAGTGCAAAACACCACATGGCAGACAGGCAGAGTGTGACAGATTAATTTATTTGTACAAATGTGAATTCATTCTCAGCTTTGTTTAGCTTTTTTTAGCCCATTAAAGAGCAAAAGTTTAGGGTTTCAGCTTGTGTACAACAAATTATAAAGAGCGACATGAAATAAAACATTAAAGAAAAAGTTTAAATATATGTACAATAACTATTTACTGTAGATTTAGTTATTATAAATAAAGATTATTAGTATTATAAAGTTTGTTCACATGCATCTTGGAAGTATGTGAAGTTGTGCCAGAAAGCTCTGCTCTGCTTTAAATGACTCGAGCAGTTTACAGTCTGCTTGTAAAATATTTTTTAGATGTATGTTTTCTCCGTCGTTTCATTCTGTGTGATTAAAGTTTTGCTTCTGTTTTCACTCCTCAGAGCCTGAAGGACAGCGACGACGCCTCAGGTAAAACTGTCTGCTGTCTGATTTAAATCATCTGTTCTTTGATGTTTTTATTCTTATTGTCAAGACTCAAACCAGCAGCGTGTTACTGTGTTTATCAACGCTGTCTCACTTCCTGTCTGTGGCTCTCAGCTCTGAGCCCATTGGTTCCTACTGAAGACATAAATCAAACAAACATTTGTTGACTCTAGTGAGTATTTGGGGCAGCAGGACGGTGTATGTGGGACCGAGTCAGAATAAACTACAGTGTGTTCATGGTGATGAAGGAACATGTGACCCAGAGCAGCAGAGAGGCTCACTGATGGGTTCAATGGTTTCTATGGCTCAGAGGAAGAAGAGACTTCAGGCTGTGAGACACACAGGACTCATTAGGAGATACGTTCACCGCTGGTTCGAGTCTGAACATCCGCTGTGGCCTGTCCCGCCTGTCGTAGTGCGCCTTAGTGTCCCTGCTGCCCCAAAGGCAAAAATAGCAGGAGAACTTAGTTAAACCGCCTTGAAGACCCATCAGGAATGCCACTGTTTGGAAGTCTCCTTTGACCTCCCAGCCGTACTCATCAAACTTCAAGGTGCCCAGCAAGGTCTTGGTGCTGTTGTAATCCTCTTTGAGGTGCACTGAGTGAGCCAGGGGGAAGAGACGGGTACTTGTTACCATTATGGAGCAGCACGGCTTTGAGGCAGGTGGACCATCGGAAGGTGCGGGGGCCACCACTGCACGTGAAATTGTGCCTTATGAAACAATTTTTCATACTGTTGAGGCATAAGCAAAGAGGAAACACCACATAACTAACCAGGAAGGGAAAAAATAAATACATTTGTTACAGGGTGCTGCTTTAATATTATGGATGTGAATATGTTGGACTCATCAAAAGGCTTTATGTTGTTTTTTGAGTGTAAAGTGTCTTTGCTTTGGAATGAGATATTTTTACGAGCTCACTGAAGATTTATTTCTGCTTTCTTAAACACTCTGGACTTTGGTTTACTGAGTTTCTGTGAGCAGTAAATTAATCTGAACTGAACAAACCTGATTGTCTCGACAGATTCAAAGACAAAGACGAAGTCAGAAGTTAAGCCTGGAGGTGGAGCTTCAGCAGAGAGCAAAGAGGGTAAAAACAAGAACGAGGAGGTCTGTGTCTGTGAAATCAGCTGTCCTGGTAATAGTTCAGTCTTTTCAAGTGACTCAAATAAACTTTAAATTTTCTGCAAATTAGTTTGTAATTTCATTTAGTATTTTATCATTTAGTTATCAAATCTTTTGCTTATTTTCAATAATTACTGCATCTTTGCATTAAAGGACAAATAAAGTTATTATTATTATCATCAATATGGCTCTATTGTACATAAGACAGTTGGTTCTCAGCTATTGAGACTTTTAGTCAGTTTACAGCAGGTCAGCTGAAAATTCAAAAACGTGCAATGGAGAAGTTTTTCAGTAATTAATGAATCAAAATCTACTTTGGTTTAAATAAAACAGTATTTTTAAGGAAATTCTTTTAGAAATGAACAACTGCTTTTAAACTCAATAAAACTGACTGAACTCTAATAACTGTTTCTGTCCTATGATTAGTGTCTTTCTTTAGATTCTTTTAGGAAATAACAGACCTGGGAAATAAACCTGTCCAATGTTTCTAACATTCAAAACAAATACAGATAAAGATACCAAGGTGGAGAAGGTAACGTCCGTTCAGAGCGTTGCTGTGGTGTTGGAAAACGTGGACAGCATGTCCAGAGATCTGCTGTCCATGCTGGTGGAGAACATCTCAGGTTTGGAGGACAGCGCCTACAGCCTGGAGATCATCTGGGAGACCAACAGAGCCGTGATCACCTTTAACAGCCCTGCAGGTAGGAAAGAACGCAAGACGTCTTTCACCACGTCAAGACCAGGTCCCAGGTGGGTCAGTCTAAAGCAAACTGAGACATTTTTAAAAACAGCATCACATAGACAAAACATCTGGGCTCCTAGGGTTCCTACACACTATGGAATTATATTTTATCCTATAAGGTATTGGTTCTATACAGCGCAGATGTTACACCCATAGAGTGCAAGTTGACTCAAGGGTTGACATATTTTAGAAAAGATTTACGCTGAGAGAATAAATACAACACACGGTGGTTAGTTGGCTGGTCCTTGGTTGTTTTACTTTTTTCTTGTGGTAACAATACGAATGACAATATAAACAACAACAAACAATAACAATATAATACAAAAAGCACAATTTGATATTAAAATCTCATTAAATCAAAATACAGTAATAGCTATACATTTCCTAAATATTTCCATTTAAAAATAAGATAACAGACTGACAATAAACATAGCTGTTATACAAAAGGAAACTCTTAAAAGTGATACATTTTATACTGGATATTAAAAGTGCTCATTCTCTATCATTCTAGTATCTACAGTCTTAAAATTACAATTCTTATCATTACCAGTATAAAGCAATTATTTTATCTACTTATAGGCCTTCTTCAGTCACAAAACAATTAAATTAACGATCAATCTCTCTCATTCGTCCTCTTTGTTTACGTATGACGTAATATAACATGTGAGCTGCCTGGTTCCCTCGGCAACGGTAAACTACAGCGCTGCTAATCAACGGTTCAGGATCTGCCTCTAAAGGTCTACATTCTATTAGCTAAACGTTTGGATGTAATAATAATAAGAAAAAAGAAAATGTAAACTACAAAACACTGTTTTGACATGTGAAACTGGACAACCACTCATACCGGACCGGATACCTAGCTTGCGCAAATGTCACAAATAACTACAGACTACATATATTGCACTTTATAAAAGGTACACTAAACAGATCTCGATTATTGACAGACGACATGCTTATGTGACATTTAGCCACCTGAAAGAATAAATGACATACAAGGTGGTGAGTTGGCTGGTACTCAGTTTTACTTTTTCTTGTGGTAAGTGCCAACTGAAGAGCGCAGCCCAACCCACAGCTTATAATAGAACTGTTGAAAATTGAATGGGGGCCTTTATGCCACACAGAAATCTAAATCAGTGCCAGGTTTATTTGTGCTGTTTGAATAAGAATACAAAAAACAAAACAAGGAATTAGAAACAGCAGTGTTCAAATGAGGCCAAATCTGTGACCAATAAATGAGACATTCTGAGAGAGAGAGTAAAAAATAAATAAAATAATAGTAATAAAACTCTTCTCTCCTGCCACCTAATGAGCCTGTCTCAGTCTTTAAGGAGTAATCTGGAGTATTTTGCAGATGTGGAGAAGTTCCTCACTGTGAGTCAGTCCAGCCAGAAGCTGCAGAAATACGGACTGACCGCTCGGCCGCTGGAGGCTGCAAAGAGCGTCCGACTGGAGAGTCTTCCTCCGACTGTGACCAAAGGTACACAAACTGTTTAACACAAGCTGGTCTGGGTGTAGAGGAGGTTCTGTGGCTTCAACAGGGACATAAAGACCGGAGCTGCTCACATGATACTCAGATAAATGAGCTTCATGTCTTTGTGTGTTTTGAGAAATTTCAGGTAAATTCTTTAGTTCAAAGTTTTCTCTCTTCTGATCTTCTTGCGTCACCTTTAAAGGGTTTTGAGATATTTGATGTTTTTTTTCCTTGAAGTTTTCAGAGATTTTTCTTTTCTTTTCCATCATGGTGGTTGTTTTTACCTTCTTTCAGTTTTTACTTGCATGAAACCGCACGTTACTGTCACATTTTCTACCACTGAAGTTGTTTCACCTTGTTGTTGGTTTGCAGTGAAAATGCGACCTGATAAGATGATCACATCTGTGCTTTTCATGACATTATACTGCACACCTCCATATAGTAATCCACATTTTGGAAAGAATATAAAAGTGTTCCCATTCTTGAACTCTTTTCACACTCTTAAAATTGTCTGCAAAATGTGTTTTTTTAAATTATTATTATTGTTTATTTCTTATTCCTTTCCAGATGTGTTGGAGCTGTATTCTGAGAAGAGCTGGTCTTTGCCGGACAATATCGTCATGATCCCAAGTGAACAGGCTGCCATTGTCGCTTTCAATGACCCTAAAGGTTTTTCACTTACATTGACTTGCAATGTATTACCCACTGTTATTTGTGTGTTCTTCTTTACAACTAACATCTAGAAGTCTAATGAATCTGGACTAAGGGTCATTTCACTCCTGAATGTCCGAACCAAATTTCATGTTTTGATACATTCGGTTAGTTTTGGTTTGGTTTCCCAATTCTGCAATTCTGCTGAGCGCACAAAAGAACTTTACATGACAGACGTGCGTCCTGTCGTCATCATTTCTTTGGACTGGGCCCACTATACTTGACACTATTGGTCATTGGAACAGTTCCGCATGGAGCTTTGACAAGAATGAAAAAACAGATGCATATTGTTGCCACTATATTGTTATTGTTGCGGCATTAGCCTACTACCTGCAGCACCAACTTAACTCGAGGCTCGTTCACCAAATGAACGTCCCAGGTTGTGCAAACATCATCGCTGGCAGGAAAGGAGGAGACCAAACAGATACTTCCATAGTGGCTGTTTCAAAAGATGTGCTGTCAAAGGAACGGAAAGGAAATTGTGTCCTTATTTCAATGCATTTCTCTGTATATTTGTTTGTATGGGAGTTTCCTGTAAATAGTCTGAAAGTGCGAACCATCCAAAATATTATTTCACACTATAAATGAACCGAACCATGGTTCAGTTTGATCCAGACAGAGACTACCTCGGACCAAATATTGTCTGTTTGGTCGGGAACGTGGTCCAGGGAGGTTTCACCTATGTAGTTTTGTTTGGGATCAAACTGAAAGTCTGAAAGCCTGGACCAAACGAGGTAGGTGTGAAAGCCCCCTAAAAGATGCTGGCAAGCTCAGAGACATTTTTAAGACCAAACAACAAGAAATGCACTTGTTGGTCAAAAGTATGCAGGCACCTGAACATTTCACGTACGTTTAACATGCAATTCCAAATCCATAGACTACTTCCCATAACAGCTTCCACTTCTGGTTGCAGACTTTCCACCTGTGTTAATCTTAGTGAGGTCAGTAATTAAGTGGCAATTCATAACAGGTAATCTCATTGCATTTTTTATATAGGGCAGGTATAGACTGTGCTCTTTGAAATCTTTGAGACCTTACAGTTTCGGTCATGAGCAAGATCTTCGCCACAGTGGCAAGGAAAAACTCTCTTTTAACAGGTTGAAACCTCAAGCTGAAACACCTGCGGAAAGCGACGGGAGAGAGGAAAAAGTTGAGAAAATACAAAACTGCGGGAGAGGCAAGAAGTTGAGTTAGTAACATGGATTAATGGGATAAGAATGCATACAGGAGGAGAGAGGAGCTCAGTGCATCATGGGAAGTGCCTCAGCAGTCTAGGCAGCATAACTAAGGGATGGTTCAGGACTCACCTGAGCCAGCCCTAACTATAAGCTTTATCAAAGAGGAAAGTCTTAAGCCTACTCTTAAATGTGGAGATGGTGTCTGCCTCCTGAACCCAAACTGGAACCTGGTTCCACAGGAGAGGAGCTTGATAGCTGAACGCTCTGGCTCCTAGTCTACTTTTGGAGACTCTAGGAACCACAAGTAACTCTGCATTCTGGGAGCGCAGTGCTCTGGAGAGTCTTACGGGACTAAGGGGTGAACAGCCTGAAGGAACTGCAGTAATCCAGCCTAGAAGTAACAAATGGATGGACTAGTTTTTCTCCTTAATCGTTTAAAAAGTGGGAGTTAAAGGAGATTGTTTTGGTGTTCCAGTTCATCCCAATGGGGTTGGATGGGGCTGAGGTCAGGACTCTGTGCAGACCAGTCAAGTTCTTCCACACCAAACTTGAAAAACCAGGTCTTTATGCAAAGGGACAGAGACAAAGTTCGACGAACGCTTTTAAGTAAAATCTCACTGTATGCTGCAGCATTAAGATTTATTTTCATTGGAACTACTAGTGTATCTTATTACCTGGTAAGAAATTCTGTATTATTTAAATGTAGCTACAAATAGAACAACCACTTACCAGAGCTTTCTGTTTTCTTCTCTTTGTTGCTGCAGTTGTGGAAAGCATTTGCACAAAAGACAACTATGTGATTTGCTCCACTACTGTCAAGGTGTATCCATACTACGAGTCCCTGGGCACCGCCTTGTACGGCAAAGAACGACCTACATGGAAGATGCCAGAGCCCTTCACGGAGAGGGTTCACCCTGCTGTCTGGAAATTCCTCCAGATGAAGAAACAATTAAAAATCATCAACGATCAGATGAGTCCGCACTTCTGCAGTGTGGACTTGGATAACCCTGAGGTGAAACTCAGCCCTCTGCCGAGCTTTTTGAGGCAGAAAGGTCTGACTGCCAAACATTTAGATATGTGGATGAGTACCGCCCAAGAGGCCTTCCGTCAGCAAATGTCTCAGTACACTGCCTTTGAATGTCCAGTGGACACACCTGCATGGAACGCTGCAGAGAAAGATGTCCTTTCGGTTATCAGGGACGATGCCTTCCTGGTGATGGATGCATCCAGGGGGGTTTTGGTTGTGGCTGGCCGAGCTGATGATATAAAACAATTCAGGGCTCCTGTGGAGAACATTGTTCTCAAAGCCATGAGTCAAATTAAACGGCAGACAGATGGTGTCTCTGATGGAATGGATTTGTCCCCAGCAATGTTTTACATCCTGCAGCAGGAAGGGTTGCAGAAAGCTGCACTGAACATTTCCCCTGACATGAACCTCTCCTATGATGGAGGAACCCAGAAGTTAACCATTACAGGACTTCCTGCAGAGGTTTTCCAGACTAAGGCGTGGATCTTGCAGAGGAACATGGGTATGTGTAAAAAACCAATGAATGTCCCTCCATGTCTTTTAGACTTTCTCAAGACTGTGGATCCCACAGAGATGTCGCAGGACTTGTTCACATCCCAAGGCATCAGTGCCATCTACAGCATTGAGGACAAAGGGGTAATACTGTTAGGGAGTTCAGAGAATGCCCTTGCTGATGCAGAGAGTAAGATGAAGACGGTTTTTGCCCTGCAGACTCTGGATGTGGAAGACCAGAATGTTCTGAAACTTCACAACTGGGTGAGCCTGAATCAACAGCTGTTGGACACCTTCAACTCATTAAAGAAGAAAACAGTAGCCATTCAGATCCATCCAGAGAGAAGAGACAAAATAACGGTGGCCGGCTTCCAGAATCCAGTGAAAGAGGTCAGCTGCACTCTGAAGGAATTCATTGTGAACTACTCACGAGTTCAAGAAATCTTTCGGGTAGAGTCCTGCGCTGTTGTTCAGTTTATTGACAAGAAAAAATCTCAAGATTGGTGCAGTATTGCCAAAGCTAATGATGTGACAGTCCGTTTTGATGAAGAGAGGCCAAAAATCATCATCACTGGGGCTCGTCTTCACGTCCAGAAAGCCAGATTCTGCTTTCAGGAACTGACTAGTAGCCTCATAACTGACAACTTAATCTTAGAAAAGCCTGGAGCCAAGAAGTACTTCCAGTCTCAAGGGAGCCTGTTTCTGTCTACAATAATGTCAGACTTCAACTGTGTGGTGGTGCTTCGCCCAGAATCTCAAGAGGAAGAGGAGGAAGAGAACTATGAAGAAGGAAATGGCCTTTGTTATTGCAAAGTTCAGACCAGCAGTGGAGTTCTGGTTTCGGTTAGCAAGGCAGACATCTGTATGTTCAGAGTTGATGCGGTGGTCAATGCAGCTAATGAAGACTTACAGCACATTGGCGGTCTGGCTTTGGTGTTGCTTAACGCTGCAGGACCTCAGCTGCAGAAAATCAGCAACGACTACATTTCCACAAATGGAAAACTACGTGCAGGTGACGCCATCGTTACAGGTGCGTGCAACCTGCCTTGCAAGTACGTCGTACATGCAGTCGGTCCCCGGTTCTCTGACTATGACAAGAAGACGTCAGTGTCGCGTCTGAAGCTTGCAGTTAAAGAAAGTCTGTCTCAAGCAGAGAAGGTCCACTGCTCCACCATTGCGCTACCTGCAATCAGCTCAGGTGTGTTTGGTTTTCCTGTTGACCTCTGTGCTGACACGATAGCTCAGGCAGTGCGAGAATACTGCGACAGACCAGGAAGTCTGACATCGTTGACTGAGATTCACCTGGTGGACAATAATGATAACACAGTGAGAGTCCTGGCTGCAGCAGTCAACAGAGAGTTCGGTGACCTTGGACCTACGATGACCGTTCCACAGTGGGCAGAAAGAAAAGGCACCGGAGCTTCAGGGTAAATTGAAGAGACGTTTTTATTACTTTGAATTTGCTTAGATGATTAGAAGATACTTTTTGGAGATGGGTTTCATATTTCATGAAATACTTTAACATTCTGTGTAATGTGCTTGTTTGTTCTTCTTTGTTCCATGAGTAAGACGAGTAGATTGATACCAGTTTCATGTCTGAATGATAAATATGTATCTACAGCCAGCTGCCGGTTAGTTTAGCTTAGCATATAGTCTGGAAACAGCTAGCCTGAATCTGACCAAAGGTAACAATATCCACCTACAAGTAAAAAGAATTTAAGTGTAAATGCATTAATTGTCTGTTTTTAGACGAGTTTTATGCCAGACTGTTCATTGGCTCTGAGTAGCTGGCAGTCAATCATCAGACACTCCATCAAATCATCCAATAGGACTATTTTACTCAGGACAGAGGTGTTTTACAGACCAGCCTTGCCATTGCTAGAGCCATATTAATTCCTAGTTACCAATTATTCCAACTGCTTTTAGTTGTCAGTAGAGTTAGGAAAAAGCTGTCAACATAACTACAAAGACTGGACAAGAGATGCTGCCTTCAGTCAGAGCCCATAAAACCATCACTAAATGCTGTTAAATAAATAACATTTGTAAATCCAACAGACTTGTTGTTGGTGGTTTTTGTGTGTTTGAACTGTATTTTTCATTTCCTAGCAGATATCAATGGGGTCGAGGTAGAGGTCAGAACCAGTCGCCCAGGGGCCAACAGTTTGCTGAAAGAGGAAGAGGAGGAGGACTTGAAAGAGAGGCTGGGGGAACAGGAGCTGGATCTCGGGGAGATTGGCAAAGTAACAGTGGAGGTCAGAGCTCCAGGGGACACACCAGGCCTGGAGAGCATGGAGGGTAAGCTTCTTTGTCTTCTATTTCTCATTGTTCTTTTCTGTTGTCTTTTGTTCTTCTTCTGTCTTCTTAATTTAACTTGTTTTTGCAGACTTGAGACTACTTGGTTATGGTTAGGAAAACATCGTTGTTTGGGTGTAGTTACAGAATCTGATAGGTCACAGATTTTGGTGTTACTCCGGCTTGTTAAAGAGCCATGCAGGCTGCTTTCCAACAGGCCACCGGTTAATGAAGCCAAATGCAGATTACAGACTGATTAAGTTATGAAGGTATAAATGGAAAATGTAGCGAAATTAAAAGTAGATTACTGGCCCAAAGAAAATACTTAGTAAAGAGAAAAAGAGAAAAAGTTTTAAAAAGTCTGTAGCCTAATATTGAGCGGCTTTGCTGCAGCTGTCTCAAGCAAACTGTTTTTTTTTTTCTCCTGTAACTTTTCAGCACCATCTTTGCCTTCTGTCGAATGTTTTCTATAGGCCTACATGATTGTTGTTGGCGTTTCAACCGTTTATTTAGCCTATATCTGATGTGGAATGTGTGATTGATTGACTAGTCACTAGTAAACCAATGGGCCAACTCTGAAATCGCCGGAGAAAAGTGATCGGGACAAAACTTATATTTTGAAACAGTTCAAAACCAATGCAAATCCTACAGAAGAAAAAAAACTAAAAGGAATAGAGAGAGCCACATACTAGTATAGTGAGGGAGTTTGGAAGTCATGCAAAGGTATGCAAAGGTGTGTGAAAGTACTGGAAAAAATTGCATAGGCAGTCTCTATCCGTCGCTAAACTTTTCACATATTTTGTCTTTTTGAGTAACAAAAACATACTTTGTAATCAGTAATGGTGACTATGCTCACTGTGATGACATCTCGTCCTGTTCTTTGATTGGCTGTAGACCCGGGAGGATGGAGCAGACCACAGCTGAAGGCCTGAAGATTGCTCTCTGCAAGGGAAACATTCAGGACCAGAAAGTCAGTACTGACCCTGTGATGCCTTTTAAAAACGAGTAACAGTTAAAACCATAGTATTACTGTGGTTGGCCATCACTTTTTATTATGTCTTCATGTAAGTAACCCTGGCCTAAAGGAAACTTCCAGTGGTTAAACTTGGATCTTATTTTTGTAGTTTTGTTCATTGTTGCTATTGGTTATGATCACTAAAAAGAAGGCTGACGGGGGAAGAAACGCGCAGTCAGATGATCAGACACGAAGTTTATCCAGATTATCTAAACACTTGATTTGGAGGTCAAACTGAAAGTGAGCGCACCTGAAATGTCACTTATAAAAACTGTGTGAGCAGAACTACGGGGAGTCCAGGAGGTCAGATGTGAAGCAGGAAGTCTGTTAACTGTGATGGTCAGTTTGGGTTTAATCATTTAGTTGTTCATTTTCATTTTCAAAGAAGTTTGTCTAACCTGTTGGTTTGTTTCCTGTCCAATGGTCTGACTGCTGCTCTACTTGACCTGTCAGGCTTATTTTTCTTTAACGTCTCAGCAATTGACTTTGTGAGTTCAATGTTATCACAGATGGCAAGGAAAACTGAACATACAAATAATTTAATAATTCTTTAAAGCTTTATGGATGCAGAACAATCTTTTTTTATGAATATAATGGGATAAGGGTGTTCAGTACAAATATTACAGTAATCCTCCAACATTACCCAAGCAGGGAGGTCAAAGGTCAGCTTCAGGTCCAGATTCAGGGATAGCTGTTGTTTTTTCTGCTTAGTTGCTAATAATGCTTTAATTAAGAGGACAGAGTTCTGATGAATATTTGAGTTTGAAAATGACACAAATTCACACCAGTCAGGTGTTGGTGTACACTAGTACACTTCATCACAGATCACAGGTGTAAGCAGGAACCCTCTGCCTACGTTAGGAAAAGACAATGCTCAAGAATTTTATAATTTTTTGTGTTAATAGCAAATGACGCAACGTGACAAAAATTGTGACAAACAGTAAAATAAATAAGGATTACTTTATTGTCTTTATACAAGGTGACATGATGGAAATAAAGAGATTTAATTATATACATTCTTTTTACAGTGCTGCCATTTTTTTCCACAGACTTTCGCCATCGTCAACACCATATCCGAGAACATGGACCTGAACCAGGGAGCGGTTTCCAAAGCGATCCTGGAGGCGGCCGGATCCGCCCTGCAGTCAGCTGTTCGGTCTGAAGCCAGGGTGGCAACGCTGCAGCGTACTGACGTCGTCATCACAGACGGCTTCAAACTCAGGTGTAGGAAGGTCTTTCACGCTGTTTGCCCTTTTTGGGACAACGGAAGAGGCCAGGCAGAGGAGGTGATTAAACTGTCCACATGTCCACAAGAGACTTTAAGAGAAAAACTGTCATGGAGTTTTGCTTCAGGAACCCTGAATACCTGAAATAACTCCTCTGTTGGTGGAAGAATGCCTCTTTAGTAACACACAGTGGCAGCAGTAGTAACTACACCCACATTAGCAAACACGTTCACTTTCAGAGCATGATGGAGGAAGTATTCTGATTCTTTACTTAAGTTAAAGTTGCAATACTGTAATTTAAAAGTAATACATTACAAGTAAAAGTCCTGCATTAAAAATGTCACTATTTAACAACAAAGAAAATGTAGTCTACTTAATGTATCAGTTAAAGTATTCTTTATTCAGAAAAATGGCCCCTGAGTGAGATACTGTTAAATCTTACATTACTAGATTATTATTACAGGTGCATGAATTTGTAAGTAGCATTTTACTGTGTTTGTTAGTTGAGATGGAGCTAATTTGAACAAATTTTTATACTTGTGTGTTTAATCTGTCAGAGTGCATCTTATTTTCTTCACTCGTCCTTTTTGGTATTGTTCGTATATGAATCTTTAAAGCAAGTAAGTACAGTTGTAAGATACATGTAGTGGAGTACAAGTAGAAGTAAAAAGCATAAAATGCTTTATTGAATGAACCTAACAGGCTCCTGCCAGCTCCATGTATGACTTTATACTACTTACTGTATTTCCCAGCCTGTACAGCAGCTGGTTTAAGCCCACAGTCTTTGTAGTCCAGCCTCACTCTGTCTTCTTTGTGTCTCAGGAGTTAATCACCACCGTCAGATATTGTCTGGATGCGGCTGAGAAGCGTAAGATGACGTCACTGTCCTTCCCGGCCATCGGTACAGGAAACCTGGGCTTCCCCAGAGACTTGGTGTCCAGAGTCCTGCTGAGGGAGATCCACTCATTCAGCCGAAATAAAAATCCTCGCCATCTGAGAGAGGTGGTCATCGTCGTTCACCCGAGTGACAGCCAGACTGTGGATGTGAGTTTTCACTTTGTTGAAGACGGCGTGTTTGAGTGCTTATCATGTTCTGACAATGAATTCATCAGAGCTCTCTAAAAACACAGCTCTTATTTATCGGTCGAGACAATCAAAGCACAGTTTATGTATTAAAACCAAAGAAGAAGAAGTGCATACTGCACATATAAATACTGAGCGTTGATTCTGCCGCTTTCACTGCCGACATTTGAATTATTAAAATAATGAGCCAACCTCTTGTTTGCCAGTGTTTCACCAGGGCGTTCAGAGGTCAGACTGACCAGAGAAACATGAGGGAAGCACAGGAATTTAACGAGGCACCAGTGGCATCTGTCAGCCAATCACAACAGCCCTCAGGTAAGGAGCCTTTCATTTAAACCTTTACCTTGTGTGTGGATTTCACGACTTTAAAGACAGAACAGAGATATATAAAACCATGTGTCATCCATCCATCCATCCATCTTCATCCGCTTATCCGGGATCGGGTCGCGGGGACCATGGTCGCGGGGACCATGTGTCATGGATTGCTAAATATCTTCAGATTGGGAATCAAACCAAAGACCTTTGTTCTGAAAGGAGATAATTGAGCTAACCAATGAATTCAGCTGGTGTTTGGTGGTTCTGAAAACCTGCAGACTCTCGGCCCTTCATGGCAAACAGTTTGATATCTTAACTCTCAGTTTTGTCTGTTCAGTGTTACTGTAAGTGGTAGCAGGTCATCTTAATTGTGTGTGTGTGTGTGTGTGTGTGTGTGTGTGTGTGTGTTAGCCTCCTTCAGTCAGGTATCGTCGCCCTCCCTCGGTGTGCATCGGATGCAGATGGGTCAGCTCACCCTCGAGGTGTCGTCTGGAGACATCACCAAGGAGGCCAGTGATGTCATCATCAACTCCTCCAGTCCGGACTTTACCCTCAAAGCAGGTGAGCCTCCTTCCTGGCAGCGCTGCCATTGTCCTGGAGTGGATACCACAGTCAAGTAGTTTAGTGATGAACCTTGAGTAACAGTTCATTCAAATGACAAATTTTAACTGATGACCCTTTTTTACAGGCAGCCACTGGTTTCAGTTCATTTCAGTGAAAGTCGACTTGTAGAGACTTTTACTTGAAACAGCGTCATTTCTACCTTTTCACTGTGTGCTGATGCAGTGAGGACTTTTAAATAAACCACATGGTCTGCACATTTAAAAAATTTATTAATTGATATTATATTTTTAGATATTTGTAATTAACTGGCAATGAGCATTAGACATACATTTTTGACATATCAATCTGAGGTCAAAGTGAAAGTCTCTATATAAAAAAACAGTAAAATGTACCATTGCTGAATTCAATAGACACCTGAGGTTTTACCGCTACAATCAACTCATTAAAAAGTCAGCAAACTTTAGTGAATTTACTTTTCAGTTAACTATGCAAACATTAGCCACTTTTGCTTTATTCTACTTGTGCTCCTGTTACACTACATTTGAACATGTTTCTCATAAACATAATAATGTCTTTAATGCAACAAAGGCAAATTCAGTGTGATTATTGTCCTGTCCCACTCGCTGCATGGCAGAAGTCTTACTTTAAGTCTGTAGTCATCACACAGCGATATCGTTACACTGACCACAAATAAAAGAAACAGAATGTGTCATGTCAGAAGTTCATGGAAACCAATGGATGATTTCATTTGGGAACATCTGTCATTAGTATTCTTAAATTAATATGTTTATTTTGGTTCTTCTGACTAACAGCAGCCTCATTTGTTCTTCAATGTTCTTTCTATCATATATCAGGAGTGTCCAAGGCGATCTTAGACAGCGCTGGATTAAAAGTAGAGATGGAGTGCGCACAGATCGGTATGTAGCTGGAATTTAACCTTCATTTATCCACACACTGTTTGCTCTGGAGCAGCCGAGCGTTGCTCAAAGGTACATTTGCTGTAGTTATTGATGGAGTGGAGAGAACTCCACAGATTTTCACAGCCAGTCTAAGGTTTTCACTTACGAAGGATCTGTGGCACATGTCCGAAATTATTTGTCCACAATAACTACAGGGCCAGCCTGAAGATTCGTGCTGCCAACGTGACAAAAAAGCAGGATTACTCTAAGGTCAAATATCTCAACACCTACCTGATGGATTGGCAGAAAATGTTGTACACATTCATGTTTCCCAGAGGATGAACTCTACTAACCATCTGACTTTTCCAACATTTTTATCCCTCCAGTGTTTTGATTTATGATTAAATGCAAAATGGCATTCTGACGTCATGGACACTTTGTATTTAAGTTAATACATTTATATTAAACGTCTTCAGTCGCACTGGATCTGTATTGTAAAATTAAACATATTAAATCAGTGGGTTTTGCCTGACTGTGTCATGAGCGTTGTTTGATTCCTCTCTGCAGTGAATTCTCCGGGTTACCAGCCTCGTCCGATGATCCTGACGTCGGCCGGCCAGCTGCCCAGCAAAAACATCATCCACATTGTTGGTCGGAATGATCCTGCACAGATCAAGGACATGGTTTATTCAGTGCTGAAGGTCTGCGAGGAAAACAAGTTCAAGTCCGTCTCCTTCCCAGCCCTGGGAACAGGTCTGTGCAAACAAAAACAATATACTGTGTACATCTCTGTGCTAATTAGAATCGGACGAAGAGTGTTTGATTTTTACTTCTGTCAGAGCTGTAATGAGACTCGAAGTCTCTGGCTTCTCTCAAACATTTCCTTTTCTCTCTCGTATGCTGTTTATTGATTCATGTCGTCATTCCTGTCATTTCACTGGTTCGCTGTGGTGTCTTTGTTATTATTCACTCATTTCGCTGTTTTAGAACAGACAGAAGATGCATTTTAAGTATATTTAGAAAGTCAAAAATATCTGAAAGTTTTTGTTTCACGTCAATATTAAAATCCAACATCTTCAAAGGACAGAACTAAAACACACTGACTCATCACAAATATTTTGTAATTCTTCATTATTTATAAAACTACACAGAAAATCCTTCAGTTAGAACTAAAATGTGTCTTTTCTGCCATTCTGTTAACTTAACTTGGCCTCAAGACTGTACATGTATATTCTCAGACATCAGATCGCCATGAGGTACTGTGGGAAAAAAGTTCCTTCCTTACAATCAAACCATTTCAAATAGGTTGTCTTGTTTATTTGATCTCAGTGCTTATGGTTAACCCAATTTATTGTTATTTGTAGGCCATTACTCCTTTTTTTTTTCACAGCCACCTAATTATTAATACTGCATGTTCCCACCTTTAAAACCAACGAACACTGAATGAACAGCCTGCAGGGGGGACGCTAGGACTTTAGACTTTTAGTCTGCCTATCCTCTCATCCATCCTCACATTATGTTCATCATCATCATCACCTGTTAGGTCAGGGAGGAGCCAAACCGTCGGCAGTGGCGGACGCCATGGTGGGAGCGGTGGTGGAGTTTGTGAGAAAGAAACAGCCAAAGTTTGTTCGCAGCGTGAAGTTCCTGATCTTCCAGACGTTCATGGTGAAGGAGTTTCACAAGAGCATGATGAAGAGAGAGGGAGAGGGGGTGGAGGAGAAGGGCGTCTTCACCAAGATCAGAGGTAATTCAACATTTTTTTGGCTCCACCTTCTCTAGATGTGTAATTAATTTTTATCTTTTCATCTGTGTTATTTTGATCAAGATTACTCAGAAGAATGATTGTGTGATTGTTATTTCTTAGAGATTAAGAGAAAATGCTACAAGGCCATTGGTTCCTGCTGGAGACAGACATTTTATACAAACAACTATTTAGTAACAAATAACAAATACATAGTGTTATGTTTATAAAGGTTCAGTAATTTCCTAAAATAGTTGCTGTAGTTTTTATCAAGCAGACAGGAGGAAATAGTGCATTTATTGGGGACTATTTTCTGCAGCGGATGAATCCACATGTGGTGATGTAGTGAGTGTTTAGGGCAGCAGGACGGTGTACGTGGGACTGAGTCAGAATAGAAGGCCAGCTGTGGCTCGGGAAGTAGAGCGGGTCGCCCGTTAATCGGGAGGTCAATCAATGCCCCCGTTCAATCCGGGCTGTATGTCAAAGTGTCCTTGGGCAAAATACTGAACCCTGAATTGCCCCTGGCTGTCTGAATGTATGAATGTAGGCTCGGTGTATAAATGTGTGTGTTCATGGTGATGATGGGTTTAATAGTTTCTGGACAACAATCGAGCTCTGTGGCTCAGAGGAAGTAGAGACATTACTACAATCAAGAAGTGTCCAAATAACCGTTGGACTAATGTTTTCACTCAATATCCATTTACTGTAGAATTTCATGGATTTATCTGTTCAATGTCGTCATAAAGCTGCACTTTATTTAGCTGAATTAGTTACTTATACCAAAACTGCCTACAGGCCTGCCAACAGGGGGGGTCAAAGGGTACAGATGACCCCAGGCCAAAGCCCAGGTGGGGGCCATGCAAAGGTCTATGGTTGACCCTTAAATGGGATCAAGCAGAACACTTTACTTACTGTATTATATCACTAACGAAACTGTTATAGATGTATTTACATGATAAATAAATTATTGTTATCATTAAAGCATATTTCATACTTGTCATCTGAAAACCTGCCCCCCGCTGTTATTGTGAAAATGGTACGGTTGAAACATTTAGCCATTCAGATGTGCAGGAGCTGCTGATTTAAAATGAATGTAAATGCTCCGTACGCCTTTCTAGTCTTTTCGACCACTCAAAGCACTTTTACACTACATCTGCATTCACCAGTCATACACATTCATACACTGAGCCTAAGTGCTCAAACGGAAACTAACATTCACACACTGGCAGAACAGCTGCCAGGGGCAATTCGGGGTTCAGTATCTTGCCCAAGGACACTTTGACCTTCCGATTAACGGCCAACCCGCTCTACCTCCTGAGCCACAACCGCTTTAAGTGAACCCTGCACTTAAAGCGACTGGCAGGGTTCAGGGGCTCAGGAAAGCCAAAACACAAAGAGAAAAATACAATCATAGGGAGACAATGGCCAAGTTTAAGTGTAAATAAGCACCATGTATGTCTGACAGGTGAAGGTGAGGCGCTAACAGTTATGCAGACTAGCAAATAAAGCTTTAGCTTGCTTAACCTTTAAGTAATGTAACACCAGAGCTGCAACTCTCAGGCATCGAGCGTGAGACTCAAGCCATTGCCATTTTTCACACACTCTCACGCTACACATCAATTTTCTCCCGCAGTGAAAAACAAATGTATAACTGATAATATGGACTCGGGTGAGTGAACTCCACCCAGCTGATTCGACTTCGGCATCTGTTACTGTGACTTGACCTTTTGTGCTTTATAATCATATTATAGTAATTTAAAATGTATGTGAGCATGGCCTAGATGAGTCTACAACACTCAATTTGGAGATGTTTGTTGGGGACTCCTTCTGTGCCACTATAAGGCTGATGGCTAAGAGCTTCTTTGAAATTGTCAGCATTCTCTACTCTCATTTCTTTATCCTCTCCCATCATCACCAACATGTCTTTTGACCTGGCTCAGTTTTTGAGAGTGCCATTCTGAGATCATGCTGAGCATTTAGTCTGTTTCTGAATTGTTTTTTCAGGTAAGCTAGAGTCGGAAAGCCAGATTCACACAAGTATGTTGTGCCAAATTGAATCAACACATCTTCTTTGTCAAGAAAAAAAAAGTTTGGACTTTAACCGATACAGCGAATGTTTCGTTTGGAGACGCCTGTCCATTTTATTCATTTTAAAATGTCATTACTGAGAACCTGCCTACATATTACACATTGAATCATCTATAAAACTCATCCTTGTACTGGAGTTTAGACATCATAGGATCGACAGTGACAGAACAGACTACAGAAAGAAAAATTCTATATGAATGTGGACTGAAGATCAGGTTAGGCAGAAGAGAGAGAGAAAACTTCACACAGCATCTGAGCTGAACCATAGCCAACCAATCTGAAGGCCGGCTGAGCGAGCTCAAACAACTGGGTGTGTGTCCCACCCACTGAAACACACCTTTTGTCTTGGTAATCCGGAGGGCGATCTCAGCTGAGTGTAATCAATCTGAATGCACCTTTGTGCAATTAGACTCACAATACTTCACTGAAACCTATTACTGAAGCGTCGGCTCCATGTGTGAAGACCTTCTTGGGTAAAGACCAGCGAGTCTTCCTGTGCGAGTCCACTGAGCACGGCCACCTACAACAGTAGCTTTTTTCCTTTTCTTAAGCACTTCTTCTCACCTAAAGCTGCCGGCTACAACTACACACAGGCCATGTGCTACCATACTATTCCTCTTGTCTCCAGTGCACGCAAGAGGTATTGTGCTCTCTTCAAGCCTTTAAAACAGACGCCGCCCACATCTGTTTACTTCTCTGTTGGGTCATGGAACTGCCAGTCTGCAGTCAACAAAGCTGACTTTATCACTACTTATGCTTACGCATTATCTCTTGGGCTACTGGCGCTCACTGAGACCTGTCTCCAACTCACTTTGCCTCAGTGGTAGCTTACACTCTACCTTCCCTCAACACATTTTCCTCACTCTAGGTCAATGATGCCGCACAATCTCTGTGCTCTACACTAAGCTCGTGCCTGGATAGCCTGTGTCCTCTATCCACCAAGTCCGCCTGCCCGAACCAGTCCCACTCGTGGCTAACTGATACCATCCGTGGGCTCCGTACTGATCTCAGAGCTGCTGAAAGAATATGGCGAAAAACCAAAGACCCTGCCGACCTTAACGGCTACCAACTGTTCCTATCCTCCTTCTCAACAAGCATCAGTGCTGCCAAAACCGTGTTCTATTTTGACAGAATTTGCAGTACCACTGACTCAAGGAAATTATTTTCCACTTTTAAAACGCTACTAAATCCTCCTTCACCCCCACCTCCACCACCCACAAACCTGTTTGCCAATACCTTTGCTGCCTTCTTCACAGGCAAAGTGGCGGCTATAACTAGCCAATTCTCTAAATCAACCATTCTATTCCCGCTCCAGTCAGCTCCCACTGTGTGAACACGGCACAGGAAAACCTATCATGTAGCAGTCCTTACATATCTCCCTCCCTCTCCCTCGGGAAATGGCGCAAAAGGCTCAACACCAAGGCTAACATGTAGCAGTCCTACTACATCTGTTCCTCTGCCCTCTTAGGTCAATGCCACTTCTCCTCGTTTACTCCTCTCACGGAGAACAAAGTATCAGAACTCCTGACCCATAGCCATCCCACTACATGCCCACTGGACCCGATTCCTACGAATCTCCTCCAAGCCATATCTCCTACTGTGGTTCCGGTAATCACTCATGTGCTAAATACTTCTCTGACTTCAGGAACCTTCCCGACCATGTTCAAAAGGACTCGGGTTACACCCTTGCTTAAAAAGTCTTCAATCGGCCAGTTTCTCTTCTACCATTTTTATCCAAAACTATCGGGCAGTATTCAAACAGGTCTCAGAATTCCTCTCACGGAATGACCTCCTAGATCCATATCAGTCTGGTGTTAAGAGTGGCCACTCTACTGAAACGGCTCTTTTGTCTGTAACAGAAGCCTTAATGTCAGCTAAAGCTGCAGCCCAATCCTCGGTCGCTTGACCTATCAGCTGCCTTTGACACAGTCAATCACATGATCCTTCTATCTACACTCTCAGCAATGGGCATCTCGAGTAAAGCACTCATGTGGTTCGAATCCTACCTCTCGTGGCGTTCCTACAATGTTTTGTGGCAAGGACAATTAGCCTCCCCCCACGGCTCAGTGCTAGGGCCCCTTCTCTTCTCAATTTACACCACCTCACTGGGGCCGATCATTCGCTCTCACGGCTTCTCTTACCACTGCTACGCAGACGATACGCAACTCTACCTATCCTTCCCGCCAGACGACCCCAGCGTCTCGGCATGGATCACAGACTGCCTCTCGGTCATATCTGCATGGATGAGGTCTTGCCACCCTCAACTAAACCTCTCTAAGACAGAAATCTTCGTCCCTCCAGCCAAGCAATCTATCCACTATAACATCAAACTACAAATTGGCTCCTCAATCATCACTCCAACCAGGGTGGGGAGAAACTTGGGTATCATGATTGATGGCCAGCTGTCCTTTTCAGACCATGTTGCTACTCTCTCTCGGTCGTGCCGCTTTTCTCTATACAACATCCGAAAAATCAGGCCCTACCTCACTCAGTACGCCACCCATCTTCTGGAACAGGCCATGGTTACCTCTTGCTTTGACTACTGCAATGCCCTCCTAGCAGGTCTTCCAGAGAAGGGGCATCCCTCTCTAACTTCAAGAAGGTTTTAAAAACTCATCTCTTCTGAGAACACTTCCTCTTATAACACCTCTAACTCCTAACTTCTAATATGCACTTCCTGTGCTCTTCTTCTTCCCCTACAATTATCTTGTATTGATTGCAATTTTTCCCTAGATATTTACCCCATTAATGCTTGTATGTGCCATTAGTGCTTACTAGTATTTATTGCTGCTTTTATTAATGTGTATTGTCAGTTGTAGATCTCGTGCTGTATTTGATGCTCTGTTGATGATTGTACGTTGTTCCTCAAATGTCGCTTTGGATAAAAGCGTATGCCAAATGAGTACATGTAAATGTAACCAGACTAGTGGAGCAAAATGAATGCTCATTCAAATATTTACATTGTTAAGAATTGTACTCAACCCAATAAAAAAGGCCCTTGACCCATGTTGGGTCCCGACCCTAAGTTTGGGAAACATGGTATTAGAGGGTGGGTGGGTGGAGGTGGTGCTGGAGTGGGTGTCGATGAGGGGCCCAATTTGGGAAATGTTGTCCCCCTGTCCATACTTCCTAATGGCTGGCCTGACTGCCAAACAAACATGTCTTACTGTACTGTACTTACTGTAATACAACAAAGTTGTTGTTTTATGTTGTTTCAGACTCAGTCACCACATTTGTTAGTACTGTATTTGGTACGGAGCGGCGCAGCACTGATGACTTGGATCTAGAGAGGGAAGAGTTTGAGCCCACAGTGTTTCAGCTGTGTGCTGACAACGAAAAGGTGAACATTTATTGAAGCCTTTATTCTATACTGTGTTTTAGCTCGATGTTCTGAAAGAATATCAGCTCAGCACACTGTACATAAAAAAATGTTAATGCTTATGTAGAAAGTCATTTGAAGATGGATGTCAGACAGGAAGTAGAGGGAAACAGCTAGCCTTTCCATCATTCAGAAATACACCTCTAAAGATGTAGTGGAGTAGAAGTAGAAAGTAACAGACAATAGTAATACTCAAAGTACTTGAGACAATGTGGTAGGTTGCCATTGTATTCATCCAGTTGAAACGGGTGACTTACAAAAAGTTTGCAACCAAAAGGTTAATTTAATCTGACTTGGGACACTCATGATCAAATGTCACAGAAAAATTAAGAGAGTGAGAATATGAAAGTGTTCTTTCATGATGCAGCAGTGCTTGTTTGTAACCTCCACAACCGTTACCGCCACTGCAGGCTGTGAGTCTGGCTAAGAAAAGGATTCAGGAGGTGATTGTGGCCGAGCAGGCGGAGCGCACCATCACAGATCAGTACATCAATCAGCTGTCGCAGGCTGACATGGACCAGCTGAAGGCCCTGCAGAGGGAACTGACGGTCAGCATCCGTCTGGACAAAGGGCAGGAGGACCAGGAGCCCAAAATCCACCTGGAGGGTCTGACCAGAGACGTCTTCACCGCCGAGGCTACGGTCAGGTCAGTTACGGTGGAGAGAAGAGAGCTTCGGTCCAGAGCGCCAAATGTTAGCGTATTCCTTTAAATGTGTTTTCTGGTGACCATCAGGGACATCATCCGGAAGGTGGAGAGGACGGAGACCTTGAGGAATAAGGCCTTGCTGGTGAGCGGGCTTGTAGAGTGGCAGTTTCAGCACCACAACAAGGCGACGGTGCCCTTCGACATTCACACCAACCTCAACCTGGAGGAGGCTCTGGAGAAAAAACAAAGTGTGAAGATCAAGATCCTCAATGAAAATTACAACGCTGACGCAGTGCTCAGGAAAGCAGTTTCAGTGAAAGGCAATAAAATGGTGGAGCTGCTTAGAAAAGACCTGAAAGGTGAGTGGTTTTATTTCCATAGAGCTCATATTTAAAATAAAAACACGTTCATATTTACAGTGTTGTTGGAATCTCCGTTCATAAAACAGTTTGCCTCTGTTTATACAATATTTTAAATTTTAAATACAAAGTATGTAACAACTGTAGTGCACACTCTAACACTGATGCAGAGTAATGGTCAAAACTATAAAAACAAGATCCAGGTTATAAAAACTGTACTTTACCTTATTCTCTTTGCAGGTACAGACGCCGCGCTGCCGCCACATTGGGATGACATGAAAGGCGACCTCCTCAAGCTGTTTCCTCTGACTACAGGATCCCAGGAATACAACGATGTGGAGACAGAAGTTAAAAAGATCGGCCTTGCTGCAAACATCATCAGTGTATGTTCAATCTCTGATAATCACAAATGGGTGTTAAAGCAACACAAAGTCTGTTTGTGTGGGCATGTTGTTTTAGGTACAGGAGAGATGATGAAATACAATCCAGGAAGTTCAGTTTGAGCACCACATCCAAGAGTTTGAAGGTTTGAGACACCAAAAAACTCAACAGAGGTTCATAAAACTGAGGGACAGGATTTTATAACTCTGTAATGTTTTCATGGCGGCAGTAATTTTATTATACATTTCAACACATGCGAGGTAAACGGTAGAAATATGGTGTTTATGTTAGAAATGTGGGCCTGCAGGTATATGATTGGCCACCGCAGCGTCTTAATGGCCTCCTTCAATTGAATGAGCGGATGCATTTTCTCACACTAAACTACTGAACTAAACTACTGAACTAAACTAAGCTGAAGTTTAACCTGATGGCCTCACACATTCAAACTTAACCACAATTTGTTTGCAATCCTTAGAATGACTTCATGTCCTCAAAATAATTTATATGCACATAGCAAAATAACATGAATTGCCAATATATCAATATATATAGATATATATTTAATATATGATGACACTTGGATACTAACTTTGTTGCAAAATTTGTTGAGTGGTTGGTTTTACTAACACTCACAATGTAAATGTACTTCAGTTTATTAGTTTTAAATAAACCACTACTAAATAAAAAGTGATGCTGGGCTGTTCAAGACACATTTCTTCCCTCCAGATGTTGCACCACTAAATAGAAGCAACCAAAAGTACAAAAGTTCGAAATAATAATCTTGCGCAAAATCTCATTACATAACACAAGTTAAATGTCCGATGTCAGCTGGGATTGGCTACAGCAACCCTGTACGCAGGACAAGCGATTCACAATGGATACTTTGTTGATTACCGAGTAATTTGGACTGACAGAAGGAGCCAGATGCAACCATGTTGGGCCAACTATGTTAAAGATGAACAAGGATGTTGCTCGGTGTCTGCTGGATGTAAATGCAGCACTACTTGATAAACTAACGGGTTGCGTTGGGAATCTTTCTGCCTCCTAGTGATAATAGAAGCGGTAAGGACGATGGTCGTTCCTGCTGAAAATGGAGCTGTGCCAGTGGACTGAGTCATGTGTTGTTTTGTATCTGTGTTTGCAGATTGAACGGGTTCAAAATTCGACACTGTGGCAGAGCTACCAGCTCCTGAAGAAACAACTGGAGGTGAAGAACAAACACAAAAACAACGAGAGGCGACTGTTCCACGGCACCGGAGTCAAATCCATCAATCTCATCAACAATCAAGGATTCAACCGCAGCTACGCAGGAACACAAGGTAAGTAAACCAATGCACACTCTTAAACAGTGTTGGGTACGTTAGTCAGAAATTATAATATATTACTAGTTCATTATTACTCCTTAAAAAAATAATTAATTACTTTACTTATTACTGGGTGATAAAAGTAACTAGTTACGTTACTATATTACTTTCCAGTCTTTCCCAAAGAATGACAGGAGGAGGGTTGGGGGGAGTTTTGTAATGTCCAAATCATCCCCCCCCCCCCTTCACCCCCAAACAAAGCTGTGTCTCCCGACTTTTAAACTAACATCATATCCATAATAGCAGCAAGGAGTGTGGTTTTTACAAAGCATACAGGCCTAACGTTTCTTAACGCCACCGGCTGAAATAAAAACATAAAGCAAGTAAATCCCGACTTAAACAGTGTTTTTTCTGCACATGTAGCCTGTTTATAAGAGCAGTATTCAGTAGTTACAAAACGTTGCGTTAACGCCGCTCTCTCCTAACGAGTCCAAGCATCAGTGAAAGAAGCTGCCAGAGTTTCTTTCTGTAAGTTTCACGTTGATGTGCTGCTTCAGCAGATGCTTCAATAAATCAGATGTAGAAATGTTCGCAGTTGAAAGCTTTTTGCTGGTCGCACAGAGTTCACAATAGATGACAATTCTTTGCATCTTAGCCTGTGACACAATAATGGCAGCAGCTACTTCCAGCTGTGGAAAGAATGCCTCTGTTACTCGTTCTCCATTCTTCATTTAGTTTTTGGCTATCAGCGGACATGAACAACAAAGTCCGGTCCCGCTGAGCTGTTGCACAATCGTGGATTTACGTCAAGGATAGTATGTTCAGTAACGAGTAACGCAGCATTACTTGCCTTAGTAACTAGTAATAATATTTAGAAAAGTAATTAGTTACACTACTTAGTTACTGAGAAAAGTAATATTATTATTACATTATTATTACTGCCCAATACTGCTCCTAAAACAGTCCTAATAGAGCATATGTACATTTCAAGGTTCAGTTTGTAATATTTTTTAGGCTCTATTCAATGAAATGCAATATAAGATCCATAACTATGTTTTCAGTGGTGTGTAAAGACCTTTCATAATGAAGCGTTGTGTTTTTATTACCTTGGAATGAGCCATTTCTGTCTACATGGAGGTCACTATGTTTGTACAGTAGCCCAAAACTAAATTTGGTGTTGAAATGTGGTGGGGACATGAGGGCTCAGATTAGGGGCGTTTTGATGCATTTGGATCACAAGACGTGACAATGCACAAGAATAACACGAGAAGATTTGTAACACTATTTTGAAGATGTAGGTAATGCTGAAATATAAGAGTGGAGGGTCTGGGGGTCGAGTGGAGGGTCTGGGGGTCCTCCCCGAGAACAGTGGAGCAATAAACACTTAATTTCCTGCTTTCTGGAGACATTTCTGCTCCAATTTACAGTAGAAATGTCTGTATTTATACAAAGGGAAAGAAAAAATTCTGCTGGCAGGTGACAATTCATAAATATAAAAATATAATAATGTGCAGTAATCAGCCTCTTGTTTTGTTTTTTATTTAAGTTACTTTTCTTTGGATAATGCTCATTTGTTTCTTCTATATTTAAATTGCATTACATATTTTCTTATTGTGCAAATAAACCTTTGTTTCATTTGTTAATTAACATCTTTTGGTGCAAACTATTTTTTAGAATATATTTAACAGATGCTTTAAAAAAGTGATGGGGACAGCCAGCCATTTCAAAATGTGGTGGAGACATGTCCCCAGCGTCCCCAGCGTCCCCAGTTCATTGCCCAAAATCACTACGTTCTTCTTCTTCTTGTAGAATTCTGGCAGTGTAGACACGCATCGCCACATTAAATACGTAGATTTGAAGAAGAAGTAATAATATACAGCAGGTGTCAGCACATAAGTTTTGCATTGGAGAAATTTTTTTAATCATTAGATGGTGAGAACAAAAGACATAATATTAAAACCAAAAATTCTGGTGTTTGGTTGGCTCAGTCAGTAAAGCTAGTAGTATGTAGCTGCAGTACCGCAGGCTGCATTTTCCACCCCTTACCCTAACCATCACAAGGGTGTGTGCCTAAACCTAAGGCAGCGATGTGCATGTCGACCAGTTAACCCTACAGCTGCGCACATCAGCCCTTTCCAAGTGGTAAACTAGGCAGTTGGTTGCAATTTGCAACCTCACCACTAGATGCCACTCAATCTTACACACTGAACCTTTAAAGAGTTTTGGGTTACTGTAATGTTTTCTCTTTCCATACTGAGTAATCTGCTGCAGTAATTTGTCTTACCACAGTCTGAGTAACAAGAATTATGTGTGTGTAGATTTATTGTTTATACGCGACTATCAGGACGTGTCGTTTTGTTGAGGCTCGGCTTGGAAACACTGTCCAAGGAAACAAAAAGACTTTGCACTAACCGTACCTTTTGGAAAAGAACCACCAATTTTAACGGTCATCGCAATGTGTTTCTAGATGACGTAGCATTGTTGCAGCTCAAAGTTTTTTTTGGCCTGACTGGAGTGCATGATGTTGTATGTTTTCATAGTACTGTTGTCTGTCTGAACAAGGCCTGACTGTTGGGTTGTGTTGTTCTTGTTTTCAGTAGGTGCGATGTACGGCAATGGCTCTTACTTTGCAGTGGACCCGGGATACTCGGCCAATGGCTACGCCAAACCCGACGCCAAGGGGCACAAGCGCATGTATCTGGCCAGGGTCCTGGTTGGAGACTTCACCCAGGGAAAAGGTGGGATCATCACCCCGCCTGCCAAAAGCTCTAGCAATTCTACAGACCTGTATGACAGTGTTGTTGATCAAACTGCCAACCCAACCATGTTTGTCATCTTCAATGACATCCAGGCATACCCAGAATACCTGATCACATTTACATGAGCTGCTGGTAGTGCAACAACTCTGGTAAAAAACAAACCTGTCATATGTGTTACAGTTTAACTCAGTTTATAAAACAGTAAATATTTATAGTATTCTTTAATATATAATTATATTATTGCTTAATATTTTCACCCATTAATAAATGTAAAAGAAAGTGTCACACTGTTTGTTAAGTCAGCTAAAAAAAGTTCCAATAAATTAACAAAAGCACTAAAACTTTGAGAATGAATATGTTAAAACCTTCAACCTTTGTTTATGACATTGTTTTGTTTTGGGAATATAATTTGAAATACTATATTAAAGGAACATTAACCATTTTCTTAGTTGTTTTATTAAAAATTGGATAAGATTTTCAGTCTGCATCATTATATCTTATATCTATTAATTTCACTGCAACTAATGTTGCTGGTTCTGTCTGGTATTTTTTATGCTAGCACCACGGCTGTGTGGACGGTTTTCCTTACAGGGTGATGTTGAGGATGAATTTGAGTGACCTTGGTGATCCCAGGACTTTTTATGGAGCCAACACGACGTTTGTTAGAGATATTTCTTAGGGGGCTTGGAGTCATTAGCTGACCCCACAAGTGTTCACTGACCTTCCAGCTTAAGTTATTTCTCTCATGTAACTGTCCTTGTTAGGGAGGCAACAGACTGGTAAGGTAGAGACAGTAGCTCCAGTATCAGGCTAGCAGATATCAGGGTTCTCTGGGAATCTTACAAGGTTGAGACCTACAAGAATGTTTAGAAGAACTCGTTGGCTCCACAGATTAGAGAACTCATGGATAGTAATACTGTAGATTCAAACATGACGTAGCATTGGAGTCTAAACATTATATAGATTTGTTGTTGTAGATTAAGGCCAGCTAAAGATGACCTAATAGAGAAACCTACAGGCACCAGGGTGAGGACAGAATCCTTCAGATCTGGTGTTGGCATTTGACGTGTTCACATGTTGTATGATGGCACTGTATCTCCTCAGCCGGGCTCAATAAACCATGCTATGTTAAGTCTTCATCTGTTTCTGAAAGTTCTTCACAGCTGAACCTGACTCACAATATGTTTTCAACAACATTCAGATTTTAGTATTTTGGTGGAATTTGTCAACACGGAAAAGCTGATTTATCAAAAGCTTTTCCTCATGACACCTACAGCATTCTGTAAGGTGTATGGTATATTGTATAAATCTGTATAAGTCTACCCCTATTTAGCCCTATATAACCCTGCGTAATTTAACATTAATGAAAATGTGAAAGAGGAGCTCTTATTAGACATTTATTGTCAGCTAGATGTATGTAATGTGTGTTTTGCACTTTAGTGTCGTTCCTTCTGGTTTAATGTCTTGTTTAGTTCTGGGGCCTGGACCACGAAGCGACAACATAGCCAGGATATGTTTTTGTTATCTGGCTTAACTAACCCTAACAATCACGGTCGGGATAAGCAGTAGGCCCCTACCGTGATAGGGTTTCCCAATCCAGCCGTGAGCGCGTTCACAAAAAAGAGGCGATGTTAGCAGCAGATGACCAATCACAGACATGAACAAGCCCACTGGCAGCAGAGCATCATATTTTACAAACGAGCAAACCGTAACACTACAGAAATGCTACATAGGCTAGGCCTAGATTAAGTAATACGGCAGCAGCTGACACACACAGGTAGACAGAAATTCGCAGACAGTGTGAATGCCTAAATGAACAGGTGTAGTCTATAACAATGCGTTGATTTGATGTGTTCTTATGAGCTGTATGAAAACATCGCATTATTCTTTCAGCTCAGCTGTGTGTCGGCGTTTCCGCTTTAAAAAACTTGGACATTGAATAAGTCGTCATTCCACTTCACTTTAAAAAAACTTCTCGTCACGTCAATAATGACATTAATTCATTTAACACACTCAAAAGTGTTCCAAGCATTGTTCTAAATTAACTTCATAAAGTAATGAAACGAAACATCCATTCATGCCATAAAATATGCTCAGTGTTTAGCTGAGGATGTGGCCTTTTATTGTGGCCAGTCTAAGGCCTTTTATTGTGGCCAGCCTAAGGCCTTTTATTGTGGCCAGCCTAAGGCCTTTTATTGTGGCCAGCCTAAGGCCTTTTATTGTGGCCAGTCTAAGGCACACCTGTGCAATCCCCATGCTGTCTGATCAGCATCTTGATATGCCACACCTGTGAGGTGGATGGATTATGTCAGCAAAGGAGAAGTGTTCACTGACACAGATTTTGACAGATTTGTGAATACTATTTGAGAGAAATAGGCCTTTTGTGTCCATAGAGAAAGTCTTAGATCTTTGAGTTCAGCTCATGATGAATGGGGGCAAAAACAGAAGTGTTGCCTTTATAATTTTGTTCAGTGTATTTGAGCTTACTGAAGAAGAATTTTAAGTCAGTTAAATAAAAGTTTTCCTTCAATATTCATTTTGTGAAATAGTTTAAAACAGTTATTACTCTGCATCTTCAGCAGCTGCTCTGAAGAGACTCCTTCATCAGCAGATGGAGTTTCTTGTGTTGGAGTTAACAAATGTCCAAGTTTCTATATTTTTGTCTGAGTATATTATGGACTTCTAATAAACATAATAATTAATTTATTTTAATGCATATGCAATTTATCATCATTCTGGTGTTCTATAACAGGGGTTGAGCTGAAACAATTAGCCAATTATTTGATAGACAGAAAATTAATAAATCAAAAACAGAGAAAGGCATAAAATCCTCCTGGTGATGATTTGATCAACATGTTCCATTAAACTGGAAAGTCAAAAGAAGAGTTCAACAGTTTCTCCACAGGGTGGCGCTGTTGGTTCTTTAATATTCTTATTGTTTATGTTCTGCAAGAGAAACATTGGATTGAAGAAGTGTGGTTAGTTGGTTGTCATGGAAACTACAAATGCCTAAATTTCCATTTTATTCCGAGCACCTCGTGAACTTTTCATCCTTGTTAAATTAAGTAATTAGTCTAATCTGAAGGCATTTTGATAATCAATTCGTCCTCATTTCATTATTTATTACCAGCTTCTCAAATGTTGAAATGATATCACAGGAAACTGAAAACCTTTGGGACATTTGGACATTAGAGTCGTTTTTCTGACATTTTATTCACTAAAACAAAATTCATTAAATTAATCAATCATTGATTTTAATATGACGACAAACTCAGGCTCTTATTTTCAATTATTAAACAAAAATGGCGGTTTTTAGTCTAAAGAGAAAAGTGTCTGTCTGTTTCCAGGCTAATTAATATGGGGTCTCTCAAATAAACTGAACATTAATTTAAATAGGCCAACAGATATTTGCATTAGCCTAGAGGCTATACAGGCTACTAGAATTACATATATTGAAAGAGAGAGAGAAAAAACAATAAAGACCTTCTTTAAAAGTAAAAATTCTGTATTCAAAAAGCTTAGATATATTAATTTTACCATATTTCTGAATAATTAATGAGTCATCATTATGGTAACTTCTTGCAGGTAAAGTTCTTAAAGTATCTGAAGCCTCCTTATTCTTCAGTGAGTCAGCTCTGTTGATCTCGGTTCCATTTTCCCGTCATTCAGTGAAGAATCGAAAGTGAAAGCAGCCTGCAGTCTGCGGAGCTCCGCCGCTTCTTACTTCAGTCTGTCGGTGTGTTTTGTACCGGACGGCAGGATGGCTGACACCGGGTGTCCGCCGCTGATCGTGGAGGGGGACTGGAGTCCGGCTCAGAACAAAACCATGAAGAACAAACTGCAGCTGTACTTCCAGAGCAAGAAGAAGTCCGGCGGAGGAGACTGCCGCGTGGAGGCGGAGGACGGAGCTCCGAGGGCTGAAGTGTACTTCATATCAGAGGAGGGTGAGTCTCTGGATCAGGATCAGGATCAGGCTGCAGGACAAGTTACTGCTCAGCTCTCTGAAGGGAACTCACATTATATTCGTTTATTTACTGGATTAAAGTTTCAAACTGAAACACAAAGTGAGTTTAAAAACGTTTCTGCGAGTCATTCTGATGAAGAACAGAAACAAACAGTTTCACTGCGACATGAACAACATGTAAACTGTAGAAACTCATTATAATATTATACAATAACATTTAGGAAACTAAAACGCTGAGAGTCGTTTCCTTATCTGGTGAAAACACTAGCTCAGATTTAAGTTGGTAAATAAACTCCCTGAGCTTGTCAGCTGATTTCCCAGCATGCACTTCGCCTCTGCAGCTGCCACACTTGGGTCTTGTTCCCAGGGGCTGATTTGTCCTCTCAGGTGGGTCAGAGGTGTTGACAGAGGAAAAGTATTGTGGTGGAACAGAAAAACAAACTGGTCTGTAGTTTTAAACCTTCATGTTGAAACATCATCACCTGCCAGCTCCTCTAAAGTCAGGTTGCTGTTTTATCTGATGCACTGTTTCTTGGCTCTGAATCAGCAACCAGAGGCTCCAGGAATAGTCAGGAAATAGTTTCCAGTCTTTATGCTAAGCTAAGCTAACATATTCATATTAAACTGACAGTGGCCTCAATCTGACCATCTAACGTCTGATCATTTACTAATATAGTGATAAAACACACTAGAATAATAACTTGTACATTTCCACACAGTGCAGCAGAGTTTCTATTGGCTGGATGAGAACACACACAGTAAGGTAAACAAAGGTGAAGTCTCACCTTTCAGTCCACCGGCGCAGCTGGAGGCGTCAGTGAAACAGGAAACACTTAAAATCATCTGTTGTTCGACAGTACAGTGGATAAGACACATGGCCTTTGTGTGGGAGACCCGGGTTTGATTCCCACTGCGACATCCACCAATGTGTCCCTGAGCAAGACACTAAACCCCTCGTTGCTCCAGAGGCGTGAGACCTCTGACATAAATAATATAAAAACATCAGCTAAGTGAATAAATGAAATGTTCGTAGTGTGATGTGACCGGACGTTAACTCTTAGCCAGAGAGAGTTTAAATAAGCGTGTTTACTAAAAGGTCAAACTGTAAGAGTTCCTGTTTTGAGAGAACTCTGCAGGATTGGTACCTGTTGGGAAACTGATGATGACTCGTGTGTGTCATGTGATTCCAGTGAGAGAGCAAGTCCTCGCCAGGACAAACCACGAGATCGTCCTGGAGAACCAAACTGTCAAGTTACGTCTGATCTCTGCGTCGGTAAGTACAGAAGATGTTCAGGCTGTCGACATGTTACAGTGACATTAAAGAACGTGACGTCCTCTGACTCCTTCCTGCCAACCGCCTAATATTCAATCAAAGCACTTTCTACCTGATCTCACAGTAATTCCCTTTGCAAATGCTGCGAGATCAAACAAAAGGTGGTTCCAACCTGGTGCAGCTGAAGAAAAAAAGCAACTGCAGTCACTGGACTCAGTAAACTGCAGCCGCCTTGCTCCCACAAGGTGTTAATGTCATGTGACGTGGTGACGTTTTGCAGCGGACAGAATTTCTAACCAGCATGTCTTAAGTCAGCTCGTCAGGACAAACTTCATATTTTTAGTGTAAATTAATCTTCAGATCGTTGTTATTTATTTCTTTATTTCTTAGAAAAAGGCCGATCTTTAGTTTGTAATTGTGACTCTGCACACAAAAGTATCTGTCAGTAAATTGATAACAATTTCTGATTTCCAGAAAGACTCGAGGTCCTTACTAACTTGCACTGGACTTTTCTGGAGCACATGTCACAGGAGCGTTCTCTGCTGTCTGAACATGTTGGAAACTTATTGTACGTATTTTAAGTAGTTTGCAGATTTGACTTCAGTTCTGATGGAAATATATTGTTTATATTTTTAATGTTAAGGGAGGAACTCAGAAAAGAGAAGTTGTCCTGTCTGGTGGCTGTAATGAGCGAGCGTATTTTTTACTGTTTTCTTGTGTTTGCCGTAAAAATATTTGCGATATGAGGGGTATTGCAGTTTTTTCCAAGTCGGGGAGAATCCAAACAAATATTATATAATGCTGCAGAGGGTCTGCTTCTGCATCGTCAGTCTTAGTACTTCTAACTTTATGGCTTTCGTCTTCTGTAAATAACTTCCTGGATGTGTGACGGCAGCAGGAAGTTGGACTTTAACACTCTGTTCTTCTTCTTTTGTTGCTGTTCTTGTGTTTTTGGACTCTGACACTCTGACAGGGTGTGACCGGCTCAGCAGTAGCTGCTAGCAGATCAAAAATGACCTAATGACATAGATAATGTTTCATTCTGTACTGTGAGAGGTAACATGTTGAAGTACTTCTTATTTAAGCAACGTTCCTACATGTTCTGCCCCTAAAAGTTCCCCTTGGTTCCACTAAATGAACAGTTAAAGTTTCACTCTAATGTCACAAATAATGTAGTTTATCATCTACTTTTATCTATTGAAATAATCAAACCCATGTCTCCATGTCCTTGACTTCCCGACCGTAGAGCGGAAACATATTCCCCCGTGAAACTAACTGCAGCAGAGCTGCTAGTTTTATAGCACGAGGTTAAACATTTACACACTGAGCAGCTGTAAAACCGTCCTGTGTCGGGTTGGGCTCTTATATTTCCGACATGCTGACGTTTTCCTGAATGCAGATAAACATGCTGCAAATCCTGATGTGCATTTTGTTTCTTTGCGCATTTTCTTTAATTCATTTATTTTTTACAAAACTTCTCATTGTGAGTTCATTCTGAGCTTTTATCAAACAGCGACACGTTTTGGTTTTTTATGTGTGGACAACAGTCAATGGATGGAAAAGTAGAGTCTTTTATCTACAATAAATATTTATTGTTGATATATTTGTTATGTGTGGATAGCTCAGTGGCTGATATATGTGATTGGTTTTCCTGTAATTTTTTTATTTGTTGTTTCTAAATGGACATTTAGGATGAGAACCCTGATGAAACACGTTGATCTCACAGTAAATCTGTTTTTTATTGGAGTGTTGCATTTTTCCCTTTCTCCATAATAATAATAATAATAATAATGATAATAAAGTGTATTTATTTGCACCCGTGCACCTTGGAAGTTTGTGAAGTTGTGCCAGAAAGCTCTGCCCTGCTTTAAATGACTGAACTTGAGTAGATTTTTAGACGCATATTTTCTCCATCGTTTAAAGTTTTGCTTCTGTTTTCTCTCCTCAGAGCCTGAAGGACAGCGACGACGCCTCAGGTAAAACTGTCTGCTGTCTGATTTAAATCATCTGTTCTTTGATGTTTTTATTCTTATTGTCAAGATTCAAACCAGCAGCGTGTTAATCTGTTTATCAACGCTGTCTCACTTCCTGTCTGTGGCTCTCAGCTCTGAGCCCATTGGTTCCTACTGAAGACATAAATCAAACAAACATTTGTTGACTCTAGTGAGTATTTGGGGCAGCAGGACGGTGTATGTGGGACCGAGTCAGAATAAACTACAGTGTGTTCATGGTGATGAAGGAACATGTGACCCAGAGCAGCAGAGAGGCTCACTGATGGGTTCAATGGTTTCTATGGCTCAGAGGAAGAAGAGACTTCAGGCTGTGAGACACACAGGACTCATTAGGAGATACGTTCACCGCTGGTTCGAGTCTGAACATCCGCTGTGGCCTGTCCCGCCTGTCGTAGTGCGCCTTAGTGTCCCTGCTGCCCCAAAGGCAAAAATAGCAGGAGAACTTAGTTAAACCGCCTTGAAGACCCATCAGGAATGCCACTGTTTGGAAGTCTCCTTTGACCTCCCAGCCGTACTCATCAAACTTCAAGGTGCCCAGCAAGGTCTTGGTGCTGTTGTAATCCTCTTTGAGGTGCACTGAGTGAGCCAGGGGGAAGAGACGGGTACTTGTTACCATTATGGAGCAGCACGGCTTTGAGGCAGGTGGACCCTCGGAAGGTGCGGGGCCACCACTGCACGTCAAATTGTGCCTTATGAAACAATTTTTCATACTGTTGAGGCATAAGCAAAGAGGAAACACCACATAACTAAAATAAATACATTTGTTACAGGGTGCTGCTTTAATATTATGGATGTGAATATGTAGGACTCATCAAAAGGCTTTATGTTGTTTTACAAAGTGTAAAGTGTCTTTGCTTTGGAATGAGATATTTTACACTCACTTATTTCTGCTTCCTAAAACACTCTAGACTTTGGTTTACAGAGTTTCTGTGAGCAGTAAATTCATTTGATCTGAACAAACCTGATTGTCTCGACAGATTCAAAGACGAAGTCAGAAGTTGAACCTGGAGGTGGAGCTTCAGCAGAGAGCAAAGAGGGTAAAAACAAGAACGAGGAGGCCTGTGTCTGTGAAATCCTGATAGAAGTTCTTCTCATGAGTTCTGCAGATGCAGTTGTCAGCTGTCCTGGAGATAGTTCAGTCTTTATCAAGTGACTCAAATAAACTTCAAGCACAATTTCTGGAAATTTGTTCATAATTACATTTAGTATTTTATCATTTTGTTTGCTTTTGCTTATTTTCAATAATTACTGCATCTTTGCATGAAAAGTACCAATAAAGTTATTATCAATTTGGCACTATTGTACATAAGGCAGTTAGTACGTTCCCAATTTATTAATTCTAATTAATAACTAAATTAGTCTTTAGTTAGTTTACAGCAGGTCAGCTGAATTTTTTTTCAATAATAAATTAAAATTGAATAAAAATCTACTTTGGTTTCAATATAGCAATTTTTTAAGGAAATCAACTGCTTTTAAAGTTAATATAACGAACTAGACCCTAATAACTGTATCTGTCCTATGATTAGTCTCTTATCATGTGGTTGTGTCCAGGAATATGTCAAGAATGTTCTTTAGCAAATAACAGACCTGTGAAATGAACCTAAACCCAATTTTTTCTAACATTAAAAACAAATACAGAGAAAGATACCAAGTCCGTTCAGAGCGTCGCTGTGGTGTTGGAAAACGTGGACAGCATGTCCAGAGATCTGCTGTCCATGCTGGTGGAGAACATCTCAGGTTTGGAGGACAGCGCCTACAGCCTGGAGATCATCTGGGAGACCAACAGAGCCGTGATCACCTTTAACAGCCCTGCAGGTAGGAAAGAACACAAGACGTCTTTCACCACGTCAAGACCAGGTCCCAGGTGGGTCAGTCTAAAGCAAACTGAGACATTTATAAAAGCAGGATCAAACAGACAAAACATCTGTGCTGTCATATTGTTGGCATAGACCTCATTTATTCCTAACGACAGGTGTAACTGACGTTTGTGTAGTAAAACTCTTCTAGCCTGTCTCAGTCTTTAAGGAGTAATCTGGAGTATTTTGCAGATGTGGAGAAGTTCCTCACTGTGAGTCAGTCCAGCCAGAAGCTGCAGAAATACGGACTGACCGCTCGGCCGCTGGAGGCTGCAAAGAGCGTCCGACTGGAGAGTCTTCCTCCGACTGTGACCAAAGGTACACAAACTGTTTAACACAAGCTGGTCTGGGTGTAGAGGAGGTTCTGTGGCTTCAACAGGGACATAAAGACCGGAGCTGCTCACATGATACTCAGATAAACGAGCTTCATGTCTTTCTTTGTGTGTTTTGAGAGATTTGTTGGCTTTTAGTTAAATTCTTTAGTTCAAAGTTGTCTTTGTTTTGATCTTCAGATATATTGTTTCACATTAACATGGTTTTGAAATATTTGATAGGTTTCTTTTCCTTGAAGGTTTCAGAGATTTTCATTTTCTTTTAAATCATGGTGGTTGTTCTAACCCTCTTTCAGTGGTTGTTTGCATGAAACCACACCTTTCCGGTCACATGTTAGAACTGAAGTTTTTTTCACCTTATTGTTCTATTGAACTTCACCTTATAACTTCTTTTGCTTCAAGTGCTTTTCATGACATTATACTGCACACCACCTAATAGTAATCCAAATTTTGGAAACAATATAAAAGTGTTCCCATTCTTGAACTCTTTTTACTCTGTTTTAAAATCTTCTTTCTGCAAAATGTGTCCTTTATTTATTTCTGATTCCTTTCCAGATGTGTTGGAGCTGTATTCTGAGAAGAGCTGGTCTCTGCCAGTCAATATCATCATGATCCCGAGTGAACAGGCTGCCATTGTCGCTTTCAGTGACCCTAAAGGTTTTTCATTTACACTTGTGATCTTTTACCAACTGTTATTTGTGTGTTCTTCTTTACAACATATGTCTGGTAGTGGAATGAAACTGGACTAAGGGCCCTTTCAAACCTGAAAGTCTGCACCAAGATCAGAACTAAAGTTCATGTTTTGGTTAGTTTTGCTTTGGTTTCACACTGCAATTCTGCTGAGCGCACTAAAGAACTTTATATGACAGACAAGCATCCTTCATGATCTGTTTGGGCTGCATCGCCCTGTACTTGACACTGATTGGATTTGTAAAAGGTTTTGCGGGGAGCTTTGACAAGATTGAATGAACAAATGCATATTGTTACTATATTGTTATTGTTATGCATTAGCCTACTACCTGCAGCACCGACTTAGCTCGAGACTAGTTCAAATTTACCAAATGAACGTCCTCGTTGTGCGAACATTAAATTGTCGCTGGCAGGAAAGGAGGAGAAGAGTACAAGCGATCCTTCTGTACCTCCGTTTGAGGAGAGACCAAAGAGGTGCTTCCATAGTGGACATCTGTTTCAAAAGATGAGCTGTCACAGAAGATTTATATTTGTGTCTTTATTTCAGTGCATTTCTCCGCATACTTGTTTGTTTCTAGTTTACACAGGAACCACCAAATGTCCTGTAAATAATCTGAAAGTCCGAACCATCCAAAAAATGCTTTCACACTAGAAACAAACCGAACCATGGTTCAGTTTGATCTAGACAGAGACTACCTCTTTTTGTCAGACCAAATTTTGTCTTTTTTGTCCGGAACGTGGTCGGCGGAGATTTAACACCTGTAGTTTTGATTGGGATCAAACTAAGGGGGGTTTCACACCTACCTGGTTTGGTCTGGACTTTTGGACTTTTCAGTTTGGTCCAGCCTAGAAGCAACCTATAAACAGACTACTTTTTCTGCATCATTTTGAGACCAGATGTTTTGATGATTTTTTGCAATATTACTAGCCCTTATAGTTTTTATTATGTGGGAGTTAAAGGACATATCCTGATCAAAGATAACACTGAAATTCATCACGGTGGTGCTGGAGGCCAGGGCCAGGTTTCTACATCCTGAAGGTTTCATATGACTTGAAAAATAGATAAAATTGGTGATCATCTGCATACAATGAAAGTTTATAAAGTGTGTACTAATAATATTACCCAAAGGAAGCATATAGACTTCTGAACTGGATTGGTCCAAATCCAGAATCTTTGTTCTGTTGCTGTTAGAGTTCATCCCAATGGTGTTGGATAGGGTTGAGGCCAGGGCACTATACAGACCAATCAAGTTCTTTCACATCAAACTGGGAAAACCATTTTTTATAGAGCTACTTTATGCACAGGAACAGAGACAAACACAAACTGTTGACCCAAAGTTAGAAGAATCTCTTTGTATGCTACAGCAGCAAGGTTTATTTTCATTGGAATTACTCCTAGACCAAACCGAACACTAAGCAAACAAGTGTGTCCACATATATTGCTATCTAAATAGTGTATCTTATTACCTGGTAAGAAATTCAGTATTATTTATATGTAGCTACAAATAGAACAACTACTTACCAGAGCTTTCTGTTTTCTTCTCTTTATTTCCTGCAGTTGTACAAAGCATTTGCACAAAAGACAACTATGTGATTTGCTCCACTACTGTCAAGGTGTATCCATACTACGAGTCCCTGGGCACCGCCTTGTACGGCAAAGAACGACCTACATGGAAGATGCCAGAGCCCTTCACAGAGAGGGTTCATCCTGCTGTCTGGAAATTCCTCAAGATGAAGAAACAATTAAAAATCATCAACGATCAGATGAGTCTGCACTTCTGCAGTGTGGACTTGGATAACCCTGAGGTGAAACTCAGCCCTCTGCCGAGCTTTTTGAGGCAGAAAGGTCTGACTGCCAAACATGTAGATATGTGGATGAGTACCGCCCAAGAGGCCTTCCGTCAGCAAATGTCTCAGTACACTGCCTTTGAATGTCCAGTGGACACACCTGCATGGAAAGCTGCAGAGAAAGATGTCCGTTCGGTTATCAGGGATGATGCCTTCCTGGTGATGGATGCATCCAGGGGGGTTTTGGTTGTGGCTGGCCGAGCTGATGATATAAAACAATTCAGGGCTCCTGTGGAGAACATTGTTCTCACTGCCATGAGTCAAATTAAACGGCAGACAGATGGTGTCTCTGAGGAAATGGATGTGTCCTCTGCAATGTTTTACATCCTACAGCAGGAAGGGTTGCAGAAAGCTGCACTGAACATTTCCCCTGACATGAACCTCTCCTATGATGGAGGAACCCAGAAGTTAACCATTACAGGACTTCCTGCAGAGGTTTTCCAGACTAAGGCGTGGATCTTGGAGAGGAACATGTGTATGTGTAAAAAACCAATGAATGTCCATCAATGTCTTTTAGACTTTCTCAAGACTGTGGATCCCACAGAGATGTCGCAGGACTTGTTCACATCCCAAGGCATCAGTGCCATCTACAGCATTGAGGACAAAGGGGTTATGCTGTTAGGGAGTTCAGAGAATGCCCTTGCTGATGCAGAGAGTAAGATGAAGACGGTTTTTGCCCTGCAGACTCTGGATGTGGAAGACCAGAATGTTCTGAAACTTCACAACTGGGTGAGCCTGAATCAACAGCTGTTGGACACCTTCAACTCATTAAAGAAGAAAACAGTAGCCATTCAGATCCATCCAGAGAGAAGAGACAAAATAACGGTGGCCGGCTTCCAGAATCCAGTGAAAGAGGTCAGCTGCACTCTGAAGGAATTCATTGTGAACTATTCACAAGTTCAAGAAATCTTTCGGGTAGAGTCCTGCGCTGTTGTTCAGTTCATTGACAAGAAAAAATCTCAAGATTGGTGCAGTATTGCCAAAACTAATGATGTGACAGTCCGTTTTGATGAAGAGAGGCCAAAAATCATCATCGCTGGGGCTCGTCTTCACGTCCAGAAAGCCAAATTGGGCTTTCAGGAACTGACTAGTAGCCTCATAACTGACAACTTAATCTTAGAAAAGCCTGGAGCCAAGAAGTACTTCCAGTCTCAAGGGAGCCTGTTTCTGTCTACAATAATGTCAGACTTCAACTGTGTGGTGGTGCTTCGCCCAGAATATCAAGAGGAAGAGGAGGAAGAGAACTATGAAGAAGGAAATGGCCTTTGTTATTGCAAAGTTCAGACCAGCAGTGGAGTTCTGGTTTCAGTAAGCAAGGCAGACATCTGTATGTTCAGAGTTGATGCGGTGGTCAATGCAGCTAATGAAGACTTACAGCACATTGGCGGTCTGGCTTTGGCGTTGCTTAACGCTGCAGGACCTCAGCTGCAGAAAATCAGCAACGACTACATTTCCACAAATGGAAAACTACGTGCAGGTGATGCCATCGTTACAGGTGCGTGCAACCTGCCTTGCAAGTACGTCGTACATGCAGTCGGTCCCCGGTTCTCTGACAAGAAGACGTCAGTGTCGCGTCTGAAGCTTGCAGTTAAAGAAAGTCTGTCTAAAGCAGAGAAGGTCCACTGCTCCACCATTGCGCTACCTGCAATCAGCTCAGGTGTGTTTGGTTTTCCGGTTGACCTCTGTGCTGACACCATAGCTCAGGCAGTGCGAGAGTACTGCGACAGTCCAGGAAGTCTGACATCGTTGACTGAGATTCACCTGGTGGACAATAATGATAACACAGTGAGAGTCCTGGCTGCAGCAGTCAACAGAGAGTTCGGTGACCTTGGACCTACGATGACCGTTCCACAGTGGGCAGAAGGAAAAGGCACCGGAGCTACAGGGTAAATTGAAGAGACGTTTTTATGATAATGAACTTTATTAGATGATTAGAACATACAAAAAAGATTTGGAAATGGGTTCATATTTAATGAAATAATTCAAAATTCTGTGTAAAGATTGATACCAGTCTTTTGCCTGAATGATAAATATGTATCTACAGCCAGCAACCGGTTAGCTTAGCGTAGCTTATCATATAGTCTGGAAACAGCTAGCCTGGCTCTGTCCAAAGGTAACAAAATCCACCTACCAGAAGAAATAATTGTAAAGGAATTAATTATGTTAGTAGTAGTAGGTGAGTTTAGTGCCGGACTATTCCATCAAAGCATCCAATAGGACTATTTTACTCAGGACAGAGGTGTTTGATCGACAGCAATTGCCATTCCTTGAGCCGCATTAGCTACTAGTCACCAATCATTCCATCTACTTTAGTTGTCAGTAGAGGTAGGACAAAGCTGTCAACATAACTAGGACTGGATTTTAGAGATACTGCCTTCAGTCACTGAGCCCATAAATCCAACACTAACTGCTGTTTAAACCACAATGTCTTCTTACGTTTCTATTTCTACACCTGGTCAATAAACAACATTTGTGAATCAGAGAGACCTGTTGTGTTTTGGTATTTGTGTATGTTTGAACTGTATTGTTCACTTCCTGGCAGATATCAGCTGGGTCGAGGTAGAGGTCAGAGTCAGTCGTTGGAAGGAAGACGAGGAGGAAGAGGAGGAGAAAGAGGACGAGGAAGAGGACGAGAAAGAGAGGCTGGGGGAACAGGAGCTGAATCTCGGGGAGGTTGGCAAAGTAACAGTGGAGGTCAGGGCTCCAGGGGACACACCGGGTCTGGAGGGCAAGCAGGGTAAGCTTCTTCATCTTCTTTTTCTCATTGTTCTTTTCTGTTTTTCTTCTTCAGTTTTCCTCTTCACTAAAGATTTTAGGACCACATTACTGGAGTCTGAGATATTTATTATTCCCGGTCCGTCATAGGGTCAGAAACAATTCAAAACCAATGCAAATCCTACAGAAGAAAAAAACCTAAAAGGAATAGAGAGAGCCACATACTAGTAGTCACGCAAAGGTGTGTGAAAGTACTAAAAGAAATTGTGTAGGGACTAACAATTACTAACAAAAACATACTTTGTAATCAGTAATGGTCACTATACTCACTGTGATGACATCTCGTCCTGTTCTTTGATTGGCTGTAGACCCGGGAGGATGGAGCAGACCACAGCTGAAGGCCTGAAGATTGCTCTCTGCAAGGGAAACATTCAGGACCAGAAAGTCAGTACTGACCCTGTGATGCCTTTTAAAAGCATAATTTGAAGAACAGTTAAAACCACAGTATAGAATAGATGAACTGTTGATGCATGATTCTGACATGAAAGTGTGATGGTTTATATAAAAATTTCCACTGGATGGCATAATGGTGTTTTATGTCTTGTAATTATGTAACCCAGGCTTAAAGAGTTGGTATTGTGCTTTTTGGCTTTTCCCCTGTCCTTTATTGAGTTATATACTTTTTTGTGCATGTAATAGGTGTGCAAATTCCAGCCCAAAGAGAGTTCCCATCTCTCACAGAAAACACTGCTCTGAACTGAACAGAACAGAACAGAACAGCTTGTTTGTAGTCCAGCCGTTTCAAAGCATAATGTGCGTCGTATAACGCTCACCGGTTAAATTTGGATAATTTTTTTTTTGTTTTGTGCATTAATACGATTACTTATGAGACTTCACTAAAAAGAAGTCTGACGGGTGAAGAAACCAGCAGTCGAATGATCCGATACAGATTATCTAAACACTTGATTTGGAGGTCAAACTGAAAGTGAGTGTACCTGAAATGTCATAACAACAGTTTAAGCAGAACTACGGGGAGTCCAGGAGGAAGTGGGTCTGTTAACTGTGATGGTCAGTTTGGGTTTAATCATTTTGTTGTTAATTTTCATTTCCAAATAAGTTTGTCTAACCTGTTGGTTTGTTTCCGACCTGTCCGATGGTCTGACTGCTGCTTTTCTTGACCTGTCAGGCTTATTTTTCGTTAACGTCTCAGCAATTACCCAATTAGGGAGGTCAAAGGTCAGCTTCAGGTCCAGTTTCAGGGATAGCTGTTATTTTTTTCTGATGAACTGTTTGAGTTAAGAGGACAGAGTTTTGATGAATATTTGAGTTTGAAAATTACACAGATCCACACTAGTCAGGTTTTGGTGTACACTTAAGCTGATCCACCAAAACTGGTTCCATCACAAGGTGAAAGCAGGATCCCTCTGCCTATGACGGCATTCATTATGACAGGCAATGCTCAAAAGTTTTATCATTTTGTGTTAATAGTAAATGATGCAATATGACACTTTTTCTAAATACATATATTAAAAAACATTGACAAACAGTTAGTTAAAATAAAATAAAAGGGATACATTTTTTGTCTTCATACAAGGTGACATGATGGAAATAAAGGGATGTTATTTAAGCCTTAAGACTTATTAGCCAATTAGCCTGTGATCTTTTTGAAGTATCAGCATATAATATCATACATTTTAACTCTAGAAATTACTTAAAAGAATAATCATAGTCCTAAATACATTTTCTGTTGTAGTCCAGTTTTCTTTTTACACTGCTGCCATTTTCTTCCACAGACTTTCGTCATAGTCAACACCATATCCGAGGACATGGACCTGAACCAGGGAGCGGTTTCCAAAGCGATCCTGGAGGCGGCCGGATCCGGTCTGCAGTCAGCTGTTTGGTCTGAAGCCAGGGTGGCAACGCTGCAGCGTACTGACGTCGTTATCACAGACGGCTTCAACCTCAGGTGTAGGAAGGTCTTTCACGCTGTTTGCCCTTTTTGGGATAACGGAAGAGGCCAGGCAGAGGAGGTGATTAAAAACAAAGCTGTTCATGTTTTGAGAGTTTCATGTCCACAAGAGACTTGAAAAGAGAAAACTTTTGCTTCAGGAACCCTGAGTGCCTGAAATAACTCCTCTGTTGGTGGAAGAATGCCTCTTTAGTAACACACAGTGGCAGCAGTAGTAACTACACCGACATTAGCAAACACGTTCACTTTCAGAGCATGATGGAGGAAGTATTCTGAGTCTAAAAGTTGCAAGACTGCAATTTAAAAGTAATCCATAACAAATAAAAGTAATTGAAAATGTCACTATTTAAAGCATTGTTGTTGCAATGTACTTCAGAAAAATGGCCCCTGAGTGAGATACCATCAAATCTTATATTACTAGATTATTATTATTATTATTATTACTGGTGCATTAACTCACTCTGTCTTCTTTGTGTCTCAGGAGTTAATCACCACCGTCAGATATTGTCTGGATGCGGCTGAGAAGCGTCAGATGACGTCACTGTCCTTCCCGGCCATCGGTACAGGAAACCTGGGCTTCCCCAGAGACTTGGTGTCCAGAGTCCTGCTGAGGGAGATCCACTCATTCAGCCAAAATAAAAATCCTCGCCATCTGAGAGAGGTGGTCATCGTCGTTCACCCGAGTGACAGCCAGACTGTGGATGTGAGTTTTCACTTTGTTGAAGACGGCGTGTTTGAGTGCTTATCATGTTCTGACAATGAATTCATCAGAGCTCTCTAAAAACACAGCTCTTATTTATCGGTCGAGACAATCAGAGCACAGTTTATGTATTAAAATCAAAGAAGAAGAAGTGCATACTGCACATATAAATACTGAGCGTTGATTCTGCCGCTTTCACTGCCGACATTTGAATTATTAAAATAATGAGCCAACATCTTGTTTGCCAGTGTTTCACCAGGGCGTTCAGAGGTCAGACTGACCAGAGAAACATGAGGGAAGCACAGGAATTTAACGAGGCACCAGTGGCATCTGTCAGCCAATCACAACAGCCCTCAGGTAAGGAGCCTTTCATTTAAACCTTTACCTTGTGTGTGGATTTCATGAACAACAACGAAACACAAACAGAAGTAATCTGTGAATAGAGATTTAAGACAGAATCGGGTGAGTCTAATGGATGACTTAAAGACAGAACAGACACTTTGATATATAGAGCCTCCAGACCTCCTGCCTCAAATCATGCGCCATGGAGAGCTCAATATCTTAAGGTTTGGGGTCAAACCAAAGACAACAAGAGATAATTGATTACTCTTGTTCACCTTTAACCTATGAGCTGATGGTGGCGCATAGATAAGATGTTTGCTTTTGGTGTGGGAGACCTGGGTTCGATTCCCTGAGCAAGACACTTAACCGTCTGCTAAATGAATAAATTTAAATGCAGTGTAAATTCAGCTGATGTTTGGTGCTTCTGAAAACCTGCAGACTCTCAGTTTTACAGCCCATCTTTAATTGTGTGTGTGTGTGTGTGTGTTAGCCTCCTTCAGTCAGGTATCGTCGCCCTCCCTCGGTGTGCATCGGATGCAGATGGGTCAGCTCACCCTCGAGGTGTCGACTGGAGACATCACCAAGGAGGCCAGTGATGTCATCATCAACTCCTCCAGTCCGGACTTTACCCTCAAAGCAGGTGAGCCTCCTTCCTGGCAGCGCTGCCATTGTCCTGGAGTGGATACCACAGAAACTATATAGAAAAGCAATAACAATGCACCGTTGCTGAATTTAGTAGACACATGAGGTTTTACCGTTTAATCATAGTCGTTCAGGTAATCCAATAAGCTTTATTCTACTTTTGCTCCTGTTACACTACATTTTAAAATAATAAACTAGGGCTGTCCCCAACTAACGATTTACATAGTCTAATCAGAATCGTCAAGTCCTGCCGATTGCGGGGGGGGTTACACATGATAGCTCCGCTTTAATCTGGAGATGCAGTAATCTCTGTTCATTCAACTGACACTGAAAGTTTCCAGCTACACTGAAGCTTATTGTTGACCACTCTCTCTCTCTCTCTCTCTCTCTCGCCTGCCATTCACCATTCCTGTGCAGTATTTTGTGTGCACGCCATGCTGCTGACAATTGCTTGCATGTATTTCAAGTAGTGGCTGTTTAAAAACGATATAATAGTCTTTGTGTGGTTCATCAACAGTGATAATTTATCCAAAAGTCCCGCGAGGTGCGACTCGACATAACACCGGTGAAGCTGGGGCTTCATCTCTTCAGCAAGTGTTCCTCTTCGCCCACTACACACATACACGCTACGTCTACACAAGCACACTGACGACCCAGAGTTAGGGTGACAATTTTGGATTTATTTAAGCACTTAATATTTACTGAAAGCTTTATTCTCTTACATGTTTATTTACAGCATTAAATGTTGAAATGTATATTGTAACAGGCTGTATATCAACTTATTGGGAGAAAACTGGTAGTTCTATGTAAAATCAGACGTTGAACACCCCCATATCACCAAAATGGCATGACCCTAGTTTCACTGCAAAGCTTCGACTGTGAGATTGACAGTCGAATCAGGCTCCGCCCATCGAAGCATCAAATCTTCGACTATTCAGGGTCAGCCCTATAATAAATAGTATTTTTTTATGCAATAAAGTCAAATTCAACATGATTGTTGTCCTCTCCCACTTGCTGCTTGGCAGAAGTCTTACTTTAAGTCTGTAGTCATCACACAGCGATATCGGTACGCTCTCCACAGATAAAAAACAGAACACAGGTCTGAAGTTCATTGAAACCAATGGATGATTAGGAGAATCATTTGGGAACCTGCAAACAAGAGCTTTTTTAATTTGTTTGTTTCTGTCTTTCCAAGGAGAACCACTCTTTTCTGCATCTGTCATTAGTATTCTTAAATTAATATGTTTATTGTGGTTCTTCTGACTAACAGCAGCCTCATTTGTTCTTCAATGTTCTTTCTATCATATATCAGGAGTGTCCAAGGCGATCTTAGACAGCGCTGGATTAAAAGTAGAGATGGAGTGCGCACAGATCGGTATGTAGCTGGAATTTAACCTTCATTTATCCACACACTGTTTGCTCTGGAGCAGCCGAGCGTTGCTCAAAGGTACATTTGCTGTAGTTATTGATGGAGTGGAGAGAACTCCACAGATTTTCACAGCCAGTCTAAGGTTTTCACTTACGAAGGATCTGTGGCACATGTCCGAAATTATTTGTCCACAATAACTACAGGGCCAGCCTGAAGATTCGTGCTGACGTGACAAAAAAGCAGGATTACTCTAAGGTCAAATATCTCAACACCTACCTGATGGATTGGCAGAAAATGTTGTACACATTCATGTTTCCCAGAGGTTGAACTCTACTAACCATCTGACTTTTCCAACATTTTAATCCCTCCAGTGTTTTGATTTATGATTAAATGAAAAATGGCATTCGTGTCAGCCTCAGCTGTACTTTGTGTTTAGTACTAATAAGCTAATGATGGTAGAACTACAATATAAATGCTAAACATCAGCATGTTGTCATGTGAGGATGTTAGCATTTAGCTCACAGCCCCTCTGTGTAGAAGTACAGCCTGAGTTGCCAGCATGGCTGCAGACGCTCAGTCTTGTTAATGTGTCTGACACAAGTCCACCAACATTTCTAGTGCAGCCCTTTCACTGCTTTTTCTGTAGTTTGTGATCGCATCGCATCTCTGAAATCTGACGTCATGGACACTTTGTATTTAAGTTAATACATTTATATTAAACGTCTTCAGTCGCACTGGATCTGTATTGTAAAATTAAACATATTAAATCAGTGGGTTTTGCCAGACTGTGTCATGAGCGTTGTTTGATTCGTCTCTGCAGTGAATTCTCCGGGTTACCAGCCTCAGCCGATGATCCTGACGTCGGCCGGCCAGCTGCCCAGCAAAAACATCATCCACATTGTTGGCCAAAGGGATCCTGCAGAGATCAAGGACATGGTTTATTCAGTGCTGAAGGTCTGCGAGGAAAACAAGTTCAAGTCTGTCTCCTTCCCAGCCCTGGGAACAGGTCTGTGCAAACAAATATATCTGTCACTGCTGTGTTTGAGAGAAATCTTCTCCTGACGTGACTGATTGTGACTGCTTGTTTCCTGTGTATTTTTTCATTTCCTCATTTGTGTCATTTCACCGGTTCGCTGTGCAGCCATGTTGTTTGGATTTACAGTCAAACGTTGATGAGGTATTGTTCACTCTCTGCCTGTATTAGAACAGACAGAAGATGCATGCGATTTATCACACAGGTAAAGTAGATTCGGAAAGAATCAGAAAGAATCCGAAACCTGCATAAGTTTGTCAGGTCAATATTAAAACCCAACATCTCCAAAGGACAGAAGTATGACACACTGACTGATCACAATATTTTGTAATATTTCTTCATTATTAATGGAATTACATAGAAAGTCCTTCAGTTAAAACACATCTGTACATATATTTTCTCCCAAAAGACATCAGATTGCCACGGGGTACTGTGGAAATCCAATATGACATTGTCAGTATAATTCAGTAAAACCATGTTGAAAAACATTCCTTCTTTAAAATCAGACAGAAACCTTTTAAAATATAATGTAATGTTTATTTCATGTGAGTGCTTATGGATAACTTGATTTATTGTTATTTGAATTACTTCTTACAGCTGCTGGAATCAATTATTTAGTTAGCCACCTAATTATTAATACTGTTGATCCTACATACTTGTTATGTGGAAAATAGATTAAAAGCAACAAAACATCAGAGCTCGATTGGGCCATGTACAAGCTGCGGGATGTCCGTGTTATTGACCTAGTGTGTCAGACAGGAAGATGTCTCACCAGTAGGCACTTGACTGTGTTTAATGGGACAGACGCTAAGAAGAGCTAACAGCAAGTTGTTTGACCCGTTGCAACCTGTCGGGGGCGCTAAGACTTTAGACTTATAGTCTGTCATGTACAACATCAAGTTTCATGCACTATTCCGATCCTCTTGTCCAACCTCACATCATCTTCATCATCATCACCGGCCCTTGTCTGCCTGTTAGGTCAGGGAGGAGCCAACCCATCTGCAGTGGCGGACGCCATGGTGGGAGCGGTGGTGGAGTTTGTGAGAAAGAAACAGCCAAAGTTTGTTCGCAGCGTGAAGTTCCTGATCTTCCAGACGTTCATGGTGACGGAGTTTCACAAGAGCATGATGAAGAGAGAGGGAGAGGGGGTGGAGGAGAAGGGCGTCTTCACCAAGATCAGAGGTAATTCAACATTTCTTTGACTGTAAACTCCACCTGCTCTACATGTTGAATTATTTTGTGTCATTTCTTCTGGTTTATTTTGATGAAGACTGCTCAGAGGAATGATTTTGCAGGTTATTTCTTAGAGATTAAGAGATAGTGCTGCTGTCTGTCAAACTATATTGTTTTATGTTGTTTCAGACTCTTTGACTACATTCTTTACTTCTACTGTATTTGGCGGGGGGCGGTCCAGAATTGATGACTTGGTTCTGGAGAGGGAGGAGTTTGAGCCCACAGTGTTTCAGCTGTGTGCTGACAACGAAAAGGTGATCATGCATTTATTCCATACTTTATACATTTTAGCTCTTTGTTCTGAAAGGATCTGAACACAAGTCAGCACATTTTACATAAAGAAACCAACAGAGAGAAACATACAGTGGTTGTAATTATAGCTGATCACTAACAGGAAAGACGTGGGACAGGTTTGTAAAGTTAAATTTATAATTTGTTTTAAGCCAGGAGTCAAGACGTGGTTAGCCTAGCGTAGCATAAAGTTGGGAGCAACTGCTGTGCTGTGCAAAGTTCAGAAATCCACCTCTCAACGCCTCCAAAGAGCAGTAGTTAACACGATGCAGAAACACTCAAATGTTTTGGTTGTACTTTGGCATACTCTTTATTATGTCCAAAAGCGTTCAATACTGTTGATCATGAAGTTTTAAAACTTAGACTTATTAACTCGGGACTTTCAGAGCAAGCAGACGCTTGGTTCTCCCACTACCTTAGCAATAGCTGTCAGTGTATTAGATATGATGGTCTATGTTCCAATACTGTATCAGTCACATTCCAAGGGAAACGCTCCCTTGGAGGGCAAAAAAATTGCTATTTTCTGCTGCCCGCCAACCAGGAAGCAAGTGATACACTGTTACTTTGAGTTTGTTATTTTTGCTTTGCCAAAATGCCGGATGGTTGTTGTGCTTTCGGATGCACTAATTGAGGAGGAGACAAGCCTGAGCTGTGATAGGTAAGGCATTCCCTGCATGGTAAACATTACTGCAGTTGAGCGCTGGCAGGACCCTGGCAGTTTTTAACGACGAAAAAAAAGGTCAGCAGGTCCAGTATATGGATCGCAAGTGCCCCAACACTTGTAGTTTGCATCCATAGCTATTTTCTTCTTGAGTTGAGAGGTAATCCAAATAAAATTTAACGGCTTTTGTGGCATCTGTATGAGGGAATCCAGTGTGAGCCACTATCTTGGTCTGTTGTTTTGCCCTCCAGGTCACTGCACATGTCACATGACAGAAAACTATGAATAAGGGTGTGCCGCAGGGCTCTGTATTAGGTCCACTTTATTCACTATTGACATAAACAGTATTGGTCAAAATGCGTCAAATGCTAATTTTCATTTTTATACTGATGATACTGTTATATATTGCTGTGCGTCAACTCTTGTACAACTCACTGAATATTTGCAAAATGCATTTATTTAATTCCAAAATACCCATATGCAGCTGAAATTGGTTCTAAATGCAGTTAGGACTAAACTTATGTTGTTTATCAAACCCAGGAACAGGCCAAAAAATATCCCTCCGGTGGTCACTCGGGGTTGCTCCTATAAAACTCCTATAAATACCTCTGTGTTTTGATTGATAACTCCCTGACTTTTAAGTAGGGCTGAACAATTAATTGCATTTGCGAGATTATTGCGATGTAATAAAACAAGATTTTCTAATCGCAAAGGCTGCGATTACACTCTGGTCACCTGACACCCAAGAGGAAAGCAGTCTGCAGACAGAGCTGATGCTTTGTCTACACGTTACGCTGTACCTTGCCTTCTTGTTGTACAATGGCCTTAAGCTTGACAGAAGCTCACGCTACATAAATTTTAGTGTCACACAGGGAATGAAAGCAGCAACTTTGTGGTGGTGGTGGGTGAAATCGTCGGACAGGAAAAACGCACAACAGAAACACACATGTAGTAAGATAAGCGCATTGTGTCAATTTCCACCTGCGTCACACACACAGCCACCAGTCAGCTCAGGAAATATCTGTGAAATGGCATTTCAGACTAAACGCACAAGTCCGAAAGAGGCCCAGTCTGTCCTGAGTTACAGTCTGGTTACAGCCAGTGCTGCATCGCAGGCTGTGGGGGAACTCCGGTGTTGTAGGTAAGGTAAAGAGCTTTAAAATGAATTGCATATCAAATCGCAATATTGGTAAAAAAAAAAAAAGGCTATTAGATTATTTTCCAAAATCGTTCAGCCCTACTTTTAAGCCACGTGTGCTGTACCTGGGGAAAAAGCTGATGCTAAAACTTTTTATTTTCGAAATAAGTTGTTTTTCTTTTAATGTAAAAAGTGACTTGTGGCTACAACTTTTTTATCTGTTCTGGACTATAGTGATCTTTTAAATATGCATACCTCAGCACAGAGTATTCATATTGGATTGACACAGCTTGCCATGCTTCCTTGAGGTTCATTACAAATCGCAAAGCTATTCTCGGGTAGAATGGCCTCCTCTGGCCACCCATAGGCTCTGTCATTTTTACACCTTCATATATAAGGCATTTATGCTCTCTGTGCCAAATACCCGTACGGAAACTGGAAAGAAGGCATTTGTGTATTCTGCACCCTCAGCATGGAATATGTTGCAAAAGGCCCTGAACTCATTGATTTAATCTTGCTAAATGCTTTTAAATCCAAAATGAAACACTTTGAGGCAGATAGCAATCCGGATCCTCGTAACATGCGGCATAGAAAAAAATCGTTATGTGTACAACACAGACATTAAAGGCTTATGTTGTGATGACAGTAGGAAGAAAAGAACAGCGGCGTGCAAGGTCTGTGGCTCAGAAATCTGACACGACCACCGACACATCCAACTAAAGAAAGGTACGTTAGGTGACTGCGGCTTTTTAGCTGTCTGGTCGAACGCATAGAGAGCTAGCGTTAAGTTTAAGCTACACCCAGTTGTTTAGCTGCAGTTTGTAACTTTATGTGAAAACCTCTTAACATTCCTGGTGGTAACACGTCCTGATGACAGCTTTCGTTATTTGTCCACAACTGCTGTGTTAAGTTCATATAATACACCGTTTGAAAGCTAAAATCCTTGTGATTCGACCAATGCAAACCACTTCAAGGTATATTGGTATTCGTATAAAATTTAAAATTGGACTAGGTAAGACTTTATGCTGTAACCCCAAAGCTAATAAATCCCAGCTGTAGTTGTCTGCATCATGCATTTGTTAACAAACTCTTTTCAAGGGGAAACAAAAATATATTAAATATAGCCTAGTTTAAAATGAATTTTACAGGAATGGTAAGAGCTTACCGTTACTGACACGTTTCTATTACTCTACTATTTTTCTACCCCTTTTCGATAATCAGTGAAGCTTATAGTAGACTAAATAATAGAAACACCTTTGTGTTTAGTTCAATATCCTTAGAACAGAAACACACACTACATCTTCCAAAATGATCATTCACTTACACTGTTTTTTCAAAGAATTTCATATGACTTGACTTGCTTGACCCCAGCAATGACTGATTGATTTACATTTTAGTTATTTACTCCACTCTGATGAAACTTCATTGGCAGCTGAATTATTAATATTTTCTAATTGATTCGGGTACCACTGCTGACTCTGAATTTCTTATGTTCACATCTACTGATTTTGTGAATTTAAACCTTTCCACAAACTGAGCAGAACAGGAAGCTTTATATAACAATTTGTGGATGGAAATAAAATGTCACTGATGCTGACCTCTTTATTGAACCCATGGTATTCATCCAAGAAGTATGCGGTTAATTTACTGAAGTTAAAGTAGTTTTTGGGCCTCAAACAGGCATAGAAATGAAATCTGACTTGGGACACTCATATGATCAAACCTCACAGAAAGATTGAATATGAAAGTGTTCTTTCATGATGCAGCAGTGCTTGTTTGTAACCTCCACAACCGTTACCGCCACTGCAGGCTGTGAGTCTGGCTAAGAAAAGGATTCAGGAGGTGATTGTGGCCGAGCAGGCGGAGCGCACCATCACAGATCAGTACATCAGTCAGCTGTCGCAGGCTGACATGGACCAGCTGAAGGCCCTGCAGAGGGAACTGACGGTCAGCATCCGTCTGGACAAAGGGCAGGAGGACCAGGAGCCCAAAATCCACCTGGAGGGTCTGACCAGAGACGTCTTCACCGCCGAGGCTACGGTCAGGTCAGTTACGGTGGAGAGAAGAGAGCTTCGGTCCAGAGCGCCAAATGTTAGCGTATTCCTTTAAATGTGTTTTCTGGTGACCATCAGGGACATCATCCGGAAGGTGGAGAGGACGGAGACCTTGAGGAATAAGGCCTTGCTGGTGAGCGGGCTTGTAGAGTGGCAGTTTCAGCACCACAACAAGGCGACGGTGCCCTTCGACATTTACACCAACCTCAACCTGGAGGAGGCTCTGGAGAAAAAACAAAGTGTGAAGATCAAGATCGACAACGAAAATTACAACGCTGACGCAGTGCTCAGGAAAGCAGTTTCAGAGAAAGGCAATAAAATGGTGGAGCTGCTTAGAAAAGACCTGAAAGGTGAGTGGTTTTATTTCCACAGAGCTCATTTAGGACTAGCGTATGTACAGAGTGGAATCTGTTGGATCTGTTGTTGGAATCTCCGTTCATAAAACAGTTTGCCTCTGTTTGTACAATTGTTTAAATTTTAAATACAAAGATGGAACAACTGTAGTGCACACACTAACACTGATGCAGAGTAATGGTCAAAACTATTAAAACAAGATCCAGGTTATAAAAACTGTACTTTACCTTATTCTCTTTGCAGGTACAGACGCCGCTCTGCCGCCACATTGGGATGACATGAAAGGCGACCTCCTCAAGCTGTTTCCTCTGACTACAGGATCCCAGGAATACAACGATGTGGAGACAGAAGTTAAAAAGACCGGCCTTGCTGCAAACATCATCAGTGTATGTTCAATCTCTGATAATCACAAATGGGTGTTAAAGCAACACAAAGTCTGTTTGTGTGGGCATGTTGTTTTAGGTACAGGAGAGATGATGAAATACAATCCAGGAAGTTCAGTTTGAGCACCACATCCAAGAGTCTGAAGGTTTGAGACACCAAAAAACTCTACAGAGGTTCATAAAACTGAGGGATTTGGATTTTATAACTCTGTAATGTTTTCACGGCAGCAGTAATTTTATCTTTCATTTCAACACATGCGAGGTAAACGGTAGAAATATGGTGTTTATGTTACAAAGTTTTAATCAGAAATGTGGGCCTGCAGGTTTATGATTGGCCACCGCAGCGTCTTATTGGCCTATTTCAATTGAATGAGCGGATGCATTTTCTCACACAGAACTAAACGTGGCTGAAGTTTAACCTGATGGCCTCACACATTCAAACTTAACCACAATTTATGTGTAATCCTTAGAATGACTTCATGACCTCAAAATCATTTATGTAAAGCATGTACACGTGGAACAATAACGTGAATTAATAAATATTACGTAGTTTTCCACAATTTGACAATCTGCCTCCTAGTGATAGTAGATGTAGTCACATCTAAAATGCCACCATGGTGGTAAGAAGGACGGTCGTTTCTGCTGAAAATGGAGCTGAGCCGTTGGATTGACTTGTGTTGTATCTGTGTTTGCAGATTAAACGAGTTCAGAATACGACACTGTGGCAGAGCTACCAGCTCCTGAAGAAACATCTGGAGGTGAAAAACAATCACACAAATAACGAGAGGCGACTGTTCCACGGCACCGGAGCCAACTCCATCAATCTCATCAACAATCAAGGATTCAACCGCAGCTACGCAGGAACACAAGGTAACCAAACCTTTTTGGCCTGACTGGAGTGTGAGAGACTGCATGTTTTACTGTGCTGTTGTCTGTCTGAACACGGCCTGACTGTTGGTTTTTGTTGTTTTTGTATTCAGTTGGTGCGGCGTACGGCAATGGCTCTTACTTTGCAGTGGACCCGGGATACTCGGCCAATGGCTACGCCACGCCCGACGCCAAGGGGCACAAGCGCATGTATCTGGCCAGGGTCCTAGTCGGAGATTTCACCCAGGGAAGACGTGGCATGATCACCCCGCCCGCCAAAAGCTCTAGAACTTCTGCAGAACTGTATGACAGTGTTGTTGATCAAACTCCCAACCCAACCATGTTTGTCATCTTCAATGACATCCAGGCATACCCAGAATACCTGATCAAATTTAGATGAGCTGCTGGTAGTGCAACAGCTCTGGTAAAAACAAACCTCTTTCATATGTGCTCTAGTTTAACTTTACAAAACAATAATTATATAGAAGATTGTATAATATTGCTTAATATTTCTGAAACGGTGGAGTTGCCAATTTCTTGAATTAGTTTCAATCAGTTCCAATAAATTAACAAAAAGCGCTTAAAGTGAGTGAATATATTTATTTTTTATTGTTTATTAAAACATCGCATCCATTTTGAATCGAGTTAGGTTTTCAGTCTGCTTCATTGTATCCGGGACATTTCACTGCAACGTTAGCTGTCTGGTAGCTTTAGCCATGCTAGCACCACGGCTGTGTGGATGGTTTTCCTTTGGTGCCCCACTTTTGTCCAAACTTAAATATCTCAACAACTAGTACCTCAAATTTAATAGTTTGAGGTACTCTGTAGTAGATTTTATAATATCAATATCCAGCCTTAAACTACCCTGCTTAATTTAATAGTAGAGGAGCTTAGTTTATGGACTGTTTTATATCTATAGGTTTTTTAACTGCATAATTAAAATGTAAAATTTAATATGTATAATTAGTTTAAAGACATCATATAAATCACTATACACATACTCAGAAAATGATTATGGCAGTTATTTAAGTTCCAGCCATCTATCATGTGAATGTATTTCATTATTTCATAGCAAAGGTACCAAAGACAGTGACAGACACGACAAATACAACAAAAGTCACAGGATTAAAGTATTCACCACTGGGGACGACAACGTCTGTTGTCTCCGTGTCCTCATCCCGTGTTCTCTGCCTGCCTGTTCTCCCCTTTGTTCTGCACTAAATTCTGAATTATACCAATCAGCCATAACATTATGACCACCTGCCTATATTGTGTCGGCCCCTCTTTTGTCTCCAAAACAGTCCTGACCCGTTGAGGCCTGGACTCCTGTGGTATCTGGCCCCAAGATTTTAGCAGCAGATCCTTTAAGTCCTGTAAGTTGCAACCATTGTTGCTTTGTGGCAGAAAGCATTATCCTGCTGAAAGAGGCCGCTGCCATCAGGGAATACTGTTTCCATGAAAGGGTGAATGTGTTTAAGTATGTGGTACATGTCCAAACAACATCCACATGAATGGTTGGACCCAGCAGAACATTGGCCAAAGCATCACACTGCCTCCCCTTGCTGGCCTTCTTCCCATAGTGCATCCTGGTGCCATGTGTTCCCCAGGTAAGCGACGCACCCAGCCAATCCACCTGATGTGAAAGAAAACCTGGTTCATCAGACCAGATCGCCTTCTTCCATTGTCAAATCAAGACTGAAGACTTTTCTATGTACTACTGCCTTTAATTAAATCAAGGCTGTAGATCAATATTGTACACGGCATTGTAACTTTTACTGTTTTATCTTATTTACTATTTCAAACTTATTAAAATATTTTATTGTGTTTTTTTCACTTTATTTATAATGCTTTTATGTTTCTGCGTCATTGTAAGCTCTGCATACAATGAAATTATGAATGTCAGTCTCATGGACAAAACATACTGCTAAATAAGCACTAAAAACAATAAAATAATGCTATAATAATTTGATTATTACTTTGTAATGTTAATAAAGAGTAAGAGAGAGAGTCTAACAGTGATGTTTGTGTTTAAAGTGCAAATTGCAATTGAGGGTGCAACGAATATGGTCCCAAACACATTCTCACACACGCATAAAAAAACGTGAAATCATGGACAATCATGGACAAACATTTTACGCACAAATCAGCATGTGAATTCATGCTGTGAGAGTTGCACTTGTTGAACACATTAAAATAGGACGTTTGGGTAATTGGGTGAAAAACATGGGGTGGAAACTTGTTAAATGTAATTATACTCATAAATACATTTGGAACAGTCGAGAGAAGAAAATGTCTTGATATTTAGTTTGAAGTCAAGACTTTACACTTCAAGTAGTAATATTCATGACAGATGAAACAGCAAAACGTCACAGCAGCAAATAAAGAAAAACGTTATGATTGAACTGGTTAAAGTATTTAGCGTCCATATCCTGAATTTGAATGTGTGTGACCATATTAACTAGAAGGATAAAGCAACTGAGAAAATATAGTAATATCAGCAGCAGTAAAACTATTTTCTCACACTCTTTCTAAGCAGCAGTGCAACTGAGAGAAAAGCAAAAATTATGAGGGAAACTTGCAATGGCATCTGGGAAAACACAACAATCAGGAGCAGGGCAAAGTACAGGAAACCTTCAGGCAGCTACAGCCAGCCGGACAAAGTGCTGATCAGTTCATGTTCATTCCAGTTTTACATACAAATATTATCCAAATACTATTGTAGCCTTGGACCTTTTGTCTTGTAAGGAGAACATTAGATATGAAAACCTCACGTCAAACATTTCTCTGATAAATATGTAAACGGTTCAACAGTTTTTTGTACAAATAAATGATAAAAGCCAGTTTGTCAGTCAAATACAGAGAGATTACTGTACAGAGAGAGTTTGGTTAATAAATTAAACAAAAGTATGAACATAACAGAAAAGTCCAAGTAAAGCGGTGGGCCAGTGGATCAGAAACTGGATTTCACCCAGGAGATGAGCGTTTGTTTGTGAAACAAAATGTCAATTTTTTTTGTTTTTTACTGAAAAGTTTTAACCCAATCCATGATTTTTTTCTAAAGCCTACCAAGTACATCACACTGTGTGTGACCCCTGTGGCCACGTGCCTGATGTGAGTTATTGGGTAGCTCTGTAAGTAATATTACAAAAAGTACAGATCAGACCTGCTTTATTTGTAAAGTACAATGAGATAACTTGAGAACTGGAGCTATAAAATTAAATTTTACGGTCTTTAATGACCCAGGTGTAAATACACAGGCACCAGACGACCTTATCACATTTACATATACTGCTAGGATCTCTTTGTGCAACAGCTGTTATGAAAACAAACCTGTCAAAAGTGCAAACTCACATTTTAAAAAAATATTTCATATAATTATATATAATATTGCCTATTATGTTTCTAAGGGGGAGATACTATTGTCTTGAATTGGTTTCCTAATTGTTGGCGCACATTTAAGTTGTTTTGCACACGTGTCTCAGGCGTGCTGTTTCCTTTTGGCTTAAAATAATTAAATTAAATAATAAACTTTCAAAAGTCTGAACTTAACGTCAGATATGCCAATCCATTTATTAACATAACAAAAAATAAAACATTTATTCAATAATAACTTAACTCAAGTCAGTCTCCATAATTACACGCCGTGCCTCACGGTTAAAAACCATGAACCCCGCAGTGCGCCACACCTGCACTAATTACCCAGTGTCTTAAGTAGACTTGTGGCTGCACACAGCGCCAACCCATGGCTATACACAGAATGGCTCCAACACAACCAGCCCCTAATTGTTCATGGCAATACAAGACATAACAATTATAAACATATACACGTATGGAGACATAAATGCAACAAAAACATCTTACAATAAAAACAACAAACAAATAAACGAACAAATAAACCCCTATTTGGTGTGTTTGTTCACTTTTACATTGACTGTTCTACCAATAGGCCTAATTTTGTCACTGGTCTCTCAATTATGTTTGTTCATGAACATTTTTAAGAATTAACATGGAGATGTACTGATCTTTACACAGGATGACTGGGTGTTTGCTCTCTTCGGGCATTGTAGTCCTGGACAATCTTCCACCTACTCTTAACAGTCCATCCTCTAGAACAGGATTCAGCTTGTAGATAGGGCTACACTTTGTTACAGGTTTTCCTGTCCTTAGTGCACAAATCTCTTTGTCAAATCTTTCCCTTTGACAGAACTGAAGGATAGCATTTTCTGCCGCTAATAGATCCTCAGTTGATATACTGTCTCATCCTGATGACTTTCTGGCTTCCAACATTTTCTTGTCCACATAACAAAGATCAGCCATTTCAACCATCACAAGTTGCTTTCTTCTTTGACTCAACTCCAATAGAGTCTTCTTAACCTTGAGTAACCATGCAACTGCAACCTTCAACCTTTTCCAGTCAGAGAAATATGTGATGAGTTGATTGGTTGCATTATCCTCTTGAATAGTTATTGTGTTGGTAGAGATCTCCAGTTTTACCTCTGGATCATCCTCTTCTACTGTGGATTCTACTTCATAATGTATCCACGTTTCTCTTGCTTTCCACAGGAATTCTGGACCTGATAACCACGTTTTGCTGTTCAGAAGCTTGTGGACTGTCCGTCCTCTAGATGCGTCATCTGCAGGATTTTGTTTTGTGTGAACATATCGCCACTGTGCTGTGTCTGAAGCTTCCCCAAGAAAGCTTGCGTATTCTTGGTGGAACTTCTCATTTCTTTCCATTTTCCTTCTTAATCCAGTGAGGCGCTGTTGAGCAATACAACGATTGTTTGGCAGTGTCACTTTCTGAGCTTTGAATGGCAATTTTAAACTGTAATGTCCGTCTTTTAACTTTACAGATTGGTCCATTATTTCAATGAATCTTGCCTCCTGTCTTGACATTTCTTCTCTGTCGTCGGCGATTTTTTCATTGAAGTCACTTTGGTACTGCTTCTCCAATAGCAGCTGAAGTGATTCCACAGATAATTGGTTAACAGTAACACTATGACCACCATTGTCATTCATGTCTTTGCAATCCTTTCCGAAGCCATTGACCACCCACCCCAATAGAGTTTTAACAGCAAAAGGACCCTCACCTTGACTATTCACAATTTCCCATGGTTCCAGCAACTTTGAAGCATTAGTCCCTATTAATAACTCCACATTAGCATCAATTTCAGGGATTTCAATGTGCTCAAGGTAAGGCCACTGTGTAAGGTCCTCTTGTTTGATGATGTTTGCTGTATTCACTGGCATCGATTTCTGTGTGTAAACATTTGGAAGACTGTAGTACCTTGTACCATTAAGGCTAGCTATTTCAAGTCCATTCACAATGTATGTTGACACTGATGTCTTTGGGCTCATCGTTAAACATATTTTTGACTTTGTCCCAGTGAGATTAAGCCTACGCATAAGAGCTTCAGAGCAGAATGTGGATGTTGAGCCATTGTCCAGAAGAGCATAGGTCTGAATCACCTTGTTGCCTTTTTGTGCTTTTACCTGAACTGGCAGGATGGAGAGCATTCCATTGCAACCGGCCCCGGTCTGGCTCCCAAATGTCTGAGCTGACACAAGCGTATGGTTTACAGCTGGTTTAGTTTCACTGGGGTTCATTGATTTGTCCAATTGTTTGACGTGAATGTGTAAAGATGTTGGATGGCTCTGTTTGCACTTTGCACAGATTTTGCGCTTATCACAATTTTTGCTCAAATGCCCAGTGTTGAGACAACCAAAGCACACTCCTTTTTCCTTTAAGAAGTTGATCTTTTCATGATGTTTGTTATTGGCAAATCGTTGACATTCATCCAGACTGTGATTTTGTAAACAGAATAAACAATTGATGCTGATGTTGCTGTCCCTATGCTTACCTTCCTGTGTGTCTTTGTGTTGTACTTTGCGAACAGCGTAGACGTTTGTAGCAAAGTTGTCTCGCTTCAACTTAGACTTTGCTGTATACTCATCCCTTTTAACATGTACTCTTTCAGTACTTTGAATATCACCAAAAATAGGATCAGACAAGATTTTGACTTGATATTCCACAAAGTGTACAACGTCATTAAAGTTTGGTCTGCGGTTGTGTCTCTCTTGAATATCACATGCAGAATTTCTAAATTTTTCCCTCAATTTAAAAGGAAGTTTCGAAACAACAATTTTGAGGTTAGCAGACATGTCCAATTCTCACATATCCCTTAAATCTGACATTGCATTATTGCAGCCACGTAAAAATAATGCATAGTCCTGTAGCAACGAAACACTTTCAGCCTTCAC